AACTCAGCCAGGATTTGTACATTAAACATGTATGAATGCAAGAAAATAAAACTCCAGGTATGTTTTTGATGAGAAAACAAAATTATAACATAGATCAGAAAACAACATAATATGAACCCTTTAAGCAGAGGCAATGCCCATTTTTAGTTGCAGAGCTCAAGTGCTGATTCAACTGAAGAAACTAAAGATTTGCAGTTTTATTCCAGCTCTCACCAGCTGTTTTATCCTTGAGCAAGACATTTCACCCACCTTGCCCATCTATGAAAGTGTTCGTTTGTGTGTGTGTGTATGTGTGGTTTTCTGCCTGTCACATCAAGACATTTTGTGCCCAGTGAGTACTGCTGTGATACTGCCAGAGTGACCGACCACACCTCTGCAGTGATGGGAAGTAACTGAATACATGTACCGAGAATACATATTCAGAATACTTATTGTGAGTAACTGTATTCCGGTACAGTCGTTACTTTTTCATTCGATGTTTTTTCAGAATACAGTTATTTTTCTAAAATCAAAGGAATACCTGATGACACAATTTTGGCTTTGAACTACGTGTTTTTGGTAAGAAAAATGTCACACAGAACTCTCGTGGTGTGTGTGGATGGAAATTTTCCTTCTCTAATTAGACATAAATCAATTCAGTAAATTGATGACAACAAATAAAGCTGTTTGTAATTCTATGTTGTACGTTTTTCACTATAATATAATGCAAATTGGTATAAAAGTATTCCAAGTATTCAGAATGCTGTACTCTGATTGGACCATGTAACAGAATACGTTACAAAATACATTTTGTATCGAGTATTCTACTCAATATATTCTCAAAGTATTCTTCTCATCACTGCATCTGTGTCAGTTTGAGTCACGGTAGCTGCAGCAGAGTGAATGAAATGTTATTTTTGGTGCACGACATACATGCAGTTGGTTTTGTGTGTCATGTCCTTATGAACCTCTCAAATTACTTACTACTACAACTGTAAAAGTATCTCTTATATTAATGCAAAGTATGTACAGAGTGTGCAATCAGATAGAGAGGACCTAAGCACAACTTTTTATTAGAGCTAAGCCTCATTGACTAAAGAGGAAAGAGCTCCTTCCGCACAATCTCCAGGGATGCACAGAGGCAAAGTGGTGGGCACTTCTATCTCTTACTAAGGTGAGCTAATTGTAGGTCTTATTATTGTACAGGGCTGCCTGACTCACAAGCAGAGTGCATTTCCTCTTTGTGTTAATGTGAGTCCTCTGTTGCATAACTTAACTTCTTACCCCTTTACAAAACATGACCCTGCAACTCAGTGCTATTACTGTAATCAGGGTGCAGCCAATCTGAGACCTGCTGTTGTGGAAACATTTTTGAACACCCGCATTTGCACATTGCTTTTTGCCTATTTTACTTGAATGAAACCAATAGAAATAAATATATGGATCAAACTGACAATTTGAAACTTTTTTTTCACTAACAAATGATTTAATTTTCTGCCCCAAGCACATTTAATATCAAATGACCACTTTTGAATGGGTAAGTTTTGTGATAAACAGTTTCCAGTGTCACCTCAGAATGAATGGTTTGGCTTGTCAGATGTGACCAAACAGTATTTTGAAAAGCAATTCTTAGCTGTCCCATGTGGATTGAAGCTGCAATTACACAGACAGTCCATTACTGAAAACATTTACCAAGAAATCTGTGCATCTCTTTAAATAGATCTTAAAGCGCTGTTTGCAGTGGTCTAAAGTTGTTTATCACTTACCTTATTCATTCTGAGCATTGTAATTATTCACTGTGATGAGTTAAGAAGTGTGTTTTACAACTTTCAGAGTCCAGAGTAGTAGCAGTAGGAGTTTTGTCACAGTAAAATTAACAACTAGAATGTAAAACTGTACTTCCAGACTATCACACAATAAAACACTTTATACTTACATGCAAACACTACACAGTACACTTATTTTGTCCTCAAGAGCTACTTAATATCTGTACTAGTGCAAGACAAATTATGGCCAAATAAAGGGTAATTAAAGGGCACTTTAGTTTGTAATTAATGCAATCACACCCGTAGACTATATAAATTGACATAGCTAACCCACTCATTGGTTTTAAAATGTTCGTATTAACCCACTCTACATGCTCCTGGTGTTTTGATTTCACTATTTTGTCTGTAAATAAACTCCTATTCCTAATCTGGCACTCAGCTCCAAACTCACCCCTATAACAGCTAGCCTCGTGAGCTTCATTTGACTGGAGTCGAGCGCTATGTCACACTCCCTTAGTCCACATGTTGCCTCGGTACATAATTGTCTGGCTGGTCAGATGCCACAGAACAGTATTCTGAAAAACATTTCTCAACTGTCTCTTGTGAATTGAAGCTATATAATCTAGACTGAAAGCATTTATAGAGAAGCCTGTGTACCATCACTTTAACATTCACCACTGAAAATGCAGCTTTACAAGTCACATCTCTGGAAATAGATCTTAATGATGAATGACTGTTGGTATGTCGACAAAGGTTATTTCTGAAGGTTAGAACATTGGTGTCAGCCCATTAAAATTCTCACTAACAGGAAAGGCAAAAAACTCATTATATAGAAAAAAATGTGTCTGTTATCTGCTGCCAAGGATCCTTTTACATTTAGTTATATGATACAAACTTGTTTGAAAACTCATTTAACTACAAATTAAACACAGAGAAATGGCCAAGACTCTGATCTGTTTAAAATGGTTCAAAGTGAAGGAGAGAGTGTTTTTACCTTTTGAAATTATGTAATGTATATATATATATATATATATATATATATATATATATATATATATATATATATATATATGTATTGTTGTTGTTTTGTTTTGCTTAAAGCTCTGCAGCTCTAAAAGAATTGGGTCTTTTAAAATAATGAGATCCAGATCCAACTGTTCATGTTAAAGGTGTGCAGAGAATGTCCCACAGCATGGCTATAAACCTATGAATCTCCATGGAGACTTGAAAGCCAAATTACAGGAGAGGCGGCCACACTCACAGTAGATATTTATGAGCAAGAAATAACACCTGTACCTGAATAAATACAAGACAGACTAGTTTAATACCATACTGTGGACAATTTCAACATCTCCTTGGGGACATACAGGTTGCAGACTCCATCCAGAAAAGTAACACAATGCACCTTTAAGGAACTGCTCTAAGAACAGATTCCAACTTACTTAATAATAATAATAATAATAATAATAATAATAATAATAATATGAAATATAGTAGTAGTCATGGCATCAGTAAGTGTGTCTGTTAAAAACTGTGATCTGTTATTCTACCCAGACCACTGCAGTGAGCAAGGGGCCAGACGCGATGGAAGTACATATGCCATTCCAATTATGAGATTAGTCCTTCATCTGCTGTGTGTAGTTAGAGGCTCCACTCTCTTTGTCCCCAGTTTGTGCAATATATTCTGGAATTCCACATTCTCGCATTTTAGTCACTCACGCGTCCCAAACACCAGACCGCGTACAGAAATGCATTGTTGCAGTGCCAATAGAGGCGGGGCTTATCCTCACGCGGACTCTACATGCACAAGTATATTCATTCTAATTGTACAAAGCTGGTATTATAGAAGCTTGTTATGACATTTTCATTGGGGGTATTGTGCATCGCTATGGTTACTGCCTCCTGGTTTTATAGTACTACATTATACTCTACATCTGATTTCAAATGAGATTCAAATGACAGCGTTTGAAATATTTAATGCCTCATATGCGCTGGAGCCGATCTCGTACGTGTGTGTTGAAAAGCTGATGTGTTGCTATGGTAACATATATGGTGGTAGTGGTGAGGCCAGTGCTTTAGTAGAGCGGTTGGCGTACTGTAAGAGCCAGATAAGCGCTGCACTGTGTGTAGAATTGTAAGAGGCTGCAGAGGAACAGCAGCAGCAGAATAAAAGGGGGTTTGGAGCAGACAAGAGGGGATCCTGAGGGACGGCACTAATGCAGGAAGTGTGGATTAACTGGCCCATTTGTTGTGATAGTTCATAATCCGCTAATGGCCACTTTATGGGCTCTGTTGTTGTGGATAGATGGATGTATTCAGTCATAAACATCATGTCATGCAATGTACTGAAGTTGAATATGTGGAGGTTGTTTACAAGACTTTTGTTAATGTATAGCACCTTCTTTGTGTTCTATAAATATGTTAGAAATTTGAAAAACATTATCTTATAATTATAATGATCGATGTTATCAAAAATCATATAACATTTGGATTGAGGGTTCATCACCTGCTCATCTCCAATGGTATTGCTTTGCCTGGAATGTTTTGCAATTGAGCATTAAATCTTTGCTTGAGATCCAGACTACACACTTCTTTAGTACTTTACAAAGATGTGAGTCTGGTTACCGGTAGATCTCCCCATTTTCAGATGGGCATGATTGACAGATGGATAAGTAGACATCTCAAAAAATAAAGGGAAAATATCATTGAGAACTGAAAAACATTGCTGATTTCTGCAAAATTAATGAGCAAAGCATTATTATTATTATTTTTTTTTTTTTTTTACGTGAGATGAATTAGATAGTATTTGTAAATCATAGGTGAGCTCCTTTATTTCACATGCAAATCAAATCTGATGCAAGGTCATGCTTTGTTTTCAGACAGAGGGCATGGGGACCAGACTGATATCAATCTGTATAAAAATCTGTAGAGATATCATAAGACATCATCAAGTCAGATCTGTGGAGAGACTCACAGTAAGAAGAATGTATCTAAATGTGTTAACAACAGAAACACTTGAAATTTAATAAATTCATGATAGATAAGATTAATGTCATACTGGAACTTCTAGACAAAGCAATAACATCCCTATGAAAACAAGGAAGTGGCAAAACTCCCATTTAAAAGTCACGTCATACACCTTCAAAATTATCAGGTTAAATCTACCATTGAAGTGCATTCACAAACAGAAGCAACACTATATTTCCATGGCCTTACTTTTCCTTTGTCTTTCTTTGTCTTTCTTTTGTGCAACAGGTAAGTCCCAGGATGGGAGTATCTCAGAGATGGAGGAGCTCCCCGTCCCCCAGAACATCAAGATCAGTAACATCACCTGTGACTCCTTCAAAATCTGCTGGGACATGGAAGCACGCAGCAAAGAGCGCATCACCCACTACTTCATCGACCTCAACAAGAAGGAGAACAAGAACTCCAACAAGTTTAAACACAAGGTACTCACAGTTCCTTTAAGCACCATGACTCACCAATGTACCACTCACTCAGTGCTGTGGGTGAGGTCAAAGGTTAGTATTACAATAGAAAACTGCTTCACAGTAGATACAGACGTGTAATTGAAATATCTTGTGACAATGTTCAAGTTCTGGGGAATATGATTGCAGGATATGTGCTTTCCAAAATTGTACACCCCTAATCCTAAACACAGATTCCAACTGATTTTCCAAATAATGTTGCTATAGTGTGTGTCATAGCAGCAGTAAGCACTAGCATGTGAAACAAGGGTGTAGAAGTAGCAGTAGCAGACGAACTATGCATTCAGCTATCCATGGGTTTCAGAATGATGAAAAATGAGGACTGTTGCCATAGCAATTCCCAGTTTAAACAAAAAAAAATTATAGCTTTTGAATAGTGAAAAATCATTAAAATGTTGCTTATAACAGGAAGCTGAAGGCCATGAATAGATTGAGGAAATGTAATGTAGTATTGTACTTGTAAGTTGGAGCTGGAGTGGTAGCAGCTATAGAAGTAGGCGATATGTTACTATATGTAGTAACAGTACTGTTACAAAAAAAATAAAATAAAATTGAGAACTAGAGAATAGATAATACTGTTTTGGGGTATTACAGCTACACATATAATAACTACACTTTCATTTGCCTCAGTACAATATTTGTTAGTGAAGTCTTAGTTCATGCTTTATTAAAACTAATTAGTTATTATATAGGCTAGAGGTACCCAATGTTTTGTGCATTTTCCATTTCCACCCTTTACTACCATCACCATAGTAACAACACAAAGCCTCCCTCCTTCTTTAAAGTGAACAGTGGATAATTCACAGCTCCTTATTTCCTCAGTCTCTTGGTGCTCTGCAGTGGCTTCCTTCCTTATTACAGGTGACCTCTCACTGCTTTGACTGTGCGCTGGAGATGGTTGCTAGGCAAAGACCACTGCTCATATCAATGAACAACCAAAGCCCTCTGAGACTCCACAGGGCTGTAAGGACCCACACAATAGTCACCAAGGACACTGCTACCCGAATGAGTGGAGTCATTTAACACTTTCTCACACAAATACTGCGTAGTTCTGAAAAATACACTGAAAAATTCACCTTGTATATACTGAAGAGCAAGAAGAGAAAAGGCGTTAGGTAATCTAGAGTCTGGAGACAGTCAGTCTGAGGGGAGGCTCTCAGATGTGGTCATGTGATCACTAACATCATCACTCACATAAAAGGACTAGACTGAGTTTGCCCCTGTAAGACTGGATGAAGAGCGGATCAGGTTAAGGCAATAACTGTGCTCTGGCGTGGGAACAGCGGAAAAATCTATCTCACCATAGCAGAGACATGGATGGATTCTTGTATTGATTCATTTTGTGCGATAAAATGTGTAAATATTTAATGCAAATGAAAAGTGATGGATTAAAACATGCTAATCATTTTTAAAAGAGGGTATTATGCAAAATCAACCTTTTTGAGCTTTCAACCTTGATATAACATCCCCTCATTAAACACATGCATGAAGAGGTTTTAGATGTCATCCATGCATGTTTGAGTATTTTACTGATCTTTCCTGGGCCCTGTTTGGACCCTCACAGTTAGCTGTGAGATTCTGTCCAATGCTCAGCCCACAAGGCTGCCCCCACACAAAACACGTCTCCCATAAATATACAAAAAGAATGATGCAGAACTGTAAACAACAACTTGGCAAACCTGATGCCATATGGCAAAGTATCATTAGTGAGATGCATGCTGATTCTGTTGTGATAGCGCTCTGAAAGGGAGTGACTTAGTACAGAGAGCAAAGGACAGAGACATATAGCATTTTCAAAACAATAAAAGGTAACAGGGTGATCTACATATGTTACATGTTAGCAGGTAATACCCCTACTTAGCTAAAGGGTTCAGGTTAGAAGCCAAGCTTAAGGGATTAAATAAGTAGTTACTAAGCCTGAATCATTCTTAATAACTTTTGATATACGATGTGTTCATTATGAATTAAATTAAAGATTAAAGATATTATAAGTGCAGTTATTATAAACTCAACTCAAGTCAACAACGTGACAGGTTTGATGCCATCTCGCAATAGTACATAAAATTCACAAAATTCCAAACTGTACCAAATGCAGTAAGATATTTGTGTATATTTCTTCATCTTAACCCTTTAAGCCCACATACTACATATATATATACTACATATATATACCACATATATGTAGTATAAAATATTATTACAGGGGCCGTGTGTGGGGATGGCTGCTTTACATTATCAATGGTCTATTACTGAAATGTCCTACAATTTACCTTATTCAACAGATTTAATACTAATTTGTTGTTTTCCAGGATGTCCCGACCAAGCTGGTGGCCAAGGCCGTGCCCCTGCCCATGACGGTGAGGGGACACTGGTTCCTGAGTCCTCGCACAGAATACACAGTGGCTGTCCAGACTGCATCCAGACAAACGGATGGAGACTACGCTGTGTCTGAGTGGAGCGAGATCATTGAATTCTGCACCGCTGGTAATGTCTCACAGCATCTAATACAACACGTGTGGAAGTGCTACCAGGGCTAATATAGATTCTGTGGTGGAGAGGATTGATGGAGAGATAGGGATGGGGTGGAGGAGGAGGAGAGGAAAATAAGGGATTATGGGAAAGATGCAGAGGTCAGTAGGTTGGACTTTACACGCGGCAGGTTTTAGAGGGGGAGGGGAGGTACAAACAGCTGATCTGAGGGTAATAGAAAAAGGAGGAGTCAGTGATAACCAGCACAGTATTTAATGTTTTTGTTGATATTGGTAACAGAGTAGTACTTGAAGTTGTAGGTATATACTAGTTAGATTTTTTTGTAGTATTTGTCATAATATAGACTTGACAGTGGGAGAAAAATCATCACATACACATTTACTACTATTTCCACAAAACAATAAAGCACTACTGACAGAACAGCGTTAGTAAGATTTGTTTTTAGTCAGTAAATCTTTAACTACAACATGAAATCTCCAAATCAGTACCTTCTGAAACCTTGTAGTTGTAGTAATAGTTACAGTAACCAAGGTAATGGCTATTGTACAAGTAGTAAAGTACCAGTATAAATAATAGGTATTGTTGAAGCAGTTACAGTTAGGACTGTCCAAAAAAACTGCTTACAAAATATTAATTTAACTAGTATCAAAACTAGACATTCATTTGAGCAAATTCATTGTACTGTATGAATTTTTAGTATCATGACACTTATTACAACAATAGTAGTTAAGACCTGTTGTTACTCTGCTTTATGTTGGGGCCAAACAATAAACTGTATAAAGAAGTGGACTAAGGGCGTGTGATGTCACCCATAGCTCCAGTCAAATGAAGCTCACAAAGGCTCGCATTACAGGGGCAAATTTGGATCCAAGTTCCAGCTGATGGAGCCTGAAGCACTCCCATGCTCTTTTCCTATTTGGAATGCGGTGGCCAGCAGGTTAGCTACGTCCATTTACAGTCTGTGGACCAAAGCCAATTCATTATAGGAGAGGCATGAGTACTAGATAAATTTCTTAGGAATAATCTTAAACTTTTCATTTACTGCAAATTGAGGTACTTCTAATCTACCACCTCGGCCTTTTACATTTACACAGGAAAGATATAGCAAAGACACGGCATAAATGGAAATAGGACAAGAGGCTGATAAAGAGGTAATAAGAGAAAGTGCATAGAAAAATTCATCTGATCTTTAGTTCCTTCGTGAGTTCATTATACTACTGCACAGTCATGATGAGGTCCTTTAAGGATACTGCACACTATCTTTGATGGCTATTTCAAAGTTGTAGCAATACATAATTGTGAAAGTTTTACAAGGTTTTTCATTGGCTATGTTTACATTTATACCAAAAATCAGATTTCTGGAGTTATCTGATTATTGAAATGTCATGTACACAGTGAAATCCGTTTTGGAGAAATATGATTTCTTTCTGATTGTTCACAGCTGTGCAGATAATGACATGGAATATTACACAAAAAAGGGCAAACTAAAGGCAAAAATGAAAGAAAATGTTAAAGTGCCCATTTTAAACAATTCACTGATCTGTGCTATAATGTTTCCTCATCACAAACATACCTGAAATTACATTTTGTTTCATTCACACATTCACATAACATTTACACACAAAACCTGCAAACCTGATATGAGTTCTTTTCTCAAAAAGAAAACACTCTTTTTCACCAAGATGTCATGTGGTAATACAAGTGCTTCACTGCATTTTTAACTCCATACAACTTCACTAGAATAAGGTGGATAATTTAAATTCTGGAACTGAGTATCTCTACTGAGCTAAAGTTAAAAAGAATTGTTAGCTTGAAAACTACTACAGCTACAGAACATCACAAGGTGGAAGAGAGCATTTAGAGCTTTGGAGATGTAGACAGACTAATAATAAAGAGTCTGAAAGTGGTGAGTGCATGAGTGTTGGTGGTGGTTGGAGGGGCCAATACCACAGACTGGCAGCCTCACTTCCGTCAGTCTGGTGGCTTCAAGAAAAAGTATCTTACCACCACTGGGTATTGAATGAATGAAAAATGCTCTGGAAAATGTCTTTGAGTGTCCAGAAAGTGCTACAGTATATAAAATTGATGCATTATTGATGCATTTCTCAAACATCTGTGAATGAAACAAAACAACATCATAACAAGGCTTAAAGCTCACAAGAGTCAATTTTGCGTAATATAGGACATTTAAAGATTGCAAAAAATGTACATTGTCTATCAATTACAATTATTACTTAAAAAACACATTGATGACTCACCAAAAATCAGACATAATTACTGGGTTCTCAGATATTCTAATTATCTGATTTTACTGGTCACATAAATGTACCCCATGCAGTATTTTGCTATAGATTAGTGAACGCCATGCAAATTCAAATATAGGTCAAATCCAATGTTTAGGAGTGGTGGCAGATGGCGGTGTTGGCATATTGACAGCTGGAGTCCGATGAGCTGTGAATCATTTGTTACTGAAAAGGACCCTTACTCAAAGCATAGTGGTGTTGTGCATTTTTTAAATTATTTTTATCAAGCAGATGAAAAATAGACTTGTGATCTCGGGATAACAGCCTTAAGAGAAACTGTGAGCGTGGATTTCCAGTGTTAATAGACCTACCATTTTCAGCTAGATCTTGCCAACACAGAAATCAACGCCCCTCCCTGTATCTGACAGCAAATAAGACTGTTGTTCACTGTGTATGCTAACTTTGTTAACACTTTAGTTTAGGGACCCCAAATTAATCACGAATTAGGTGGAATTTTGAATGTTAGTTTGTGGTCAATCAAGTATTTGGCAGTGTTTATAACTTATTAAACGTCCTTTGACTCTTCTGAACTTTAAGACATTTTAGAATGGTGTTGTGTTTTGTTTCATTCACAAATTTGAATAAACCTTTATTTATAAGTCTGTCTACATCTCCAAAACTCAAAATGCTCTGTTCCATATGTAATGTTATATAGTGGTAATTTTCAAGTTAACAGCTACCTTTTACCATTAGTCCACTAGGGAATTGGCAGTTACTAGCCTGAAATTGTCCAAATGATTCTAGTAAAGATGTACAGAGTTTAAAAAAACAATGGAGCATTTCCTGTATTACCACATTACATCACAAGGCAGAACAGAGGGTTTTCTGTTTGAGAGAAGAACTCAACCTAAATATTCAGGATTTGTGAGTTAAACATGTGTGACTGGAACAAAACAACTCAAGGTACATTTGTGATGAGTAATGTCCAATAACATCCATATGATGCTGAAAACACTGAGAGTAATAATGGCTAAAATAAAATTGTTAACAGCTAAATGCTTGGTAAATAGCCATACAGAATAAAACATGAATAAGTACTTTACTTTAAAATAAACAAAGAAAAAATGAACTACTTATACTTATTACTTATACCTATACTCACTGTTGGGGAGTAACAGATTACATGTACCGGAGTTATGTAATCAGAGTACAAATTATGAGTAACAGTTACTGTTTCAGTGAGTGGTAAAATTGGAGGTCTACAAAACAGTCTACTTTGTTGAAATAAAAATAACAGACAAAACATTACGATATCCTAGTCTGGCAGGATTCCATTTACTCATTTAATGTTACGTTTACATTTTGGGATGTGTAATCTGTAATTTGTAGGGGAATACATTTTAAAAGTAACCTTCCCAACACTGCCTATACTTAACTGCTTAGTATACTTATCAGTACTACCAGTTAGCCTTTAGTATGTGGTCCCTGAACTAACTTTTGAATGTGATTTATTCAAAAATAGATAGAATTTTGTGTTTTAATATATGATTTTGTACTTGCTTAATGATGTTGTCTTTTTGCAGACTATTCCACCGTGCATCTAAACCAGCTCCAGGAGAAAGCTGAGGTCATCGCTGGACGCATGCTGCCTTTCTCCGTCTTTTACAGAAACCAGAACAAAGAGTACTTTGACCACTGCAGGTACAATATAATTATTTCTACTGTACTCCAAAATGGTCTTTTAAGGGATAAGAACACCAAGAGCTCATCAAAAAGCTCATTTAAAAAGTTATTAAGTTTAGTGCATGAAGATAAGGACAACATAGGGAGATTGTGTTCTATCTGAAGAGAAATTATAATAACCATTTCACAAAATAGGGCAAACAGTAATCATTGTATAATTAAATAAATATAAATAATATAAACAAATATAAAGTCCTATGTGATTTTCCACACCTAGACAAAAATGCCAGTCTGTATCTTATTGCTTTATGACAGAGTCCAAACAGCTAAGGGTTAGTCTGACAGTTTTAAAGAGTGTAAAAGGAGAAAAATAACTAAGAGCTTTGCATTTGCCCGCCTTTGTTTTGATATGAGAGGACAGTGTGACAAACACAGTCTCTGGATCTGTTTTTAGGTTGTTGTAGCATGAGTTTCCTTCCCTGCAGTTTTTAGGTTTTTGTGACAGAAACACACAGAAGCCCACATCTCTTTGTTAGAGTACAGCATGACGTCATGTAGGTAAACATTTTGCTGAGTGTTTATAATGGCCTTTAAGAGCATGGGTTAAACTGCACCATCGTGTGGCCAGTTGCAGTAGTGTGCTCACTGTACTAGTATATAACAGGTGTTTGTTTGTTTGTTTGACCTGTGGGGGAGATGACTTGCGTCACTATGACAACAACATTGCATCAGTTTTCATTAGATTAATTGTACTTTAATGTTCATCAGTTATGTCCTCGGGAGGAACATTATTTCACAAGTTTCCTTCATTCAAAGTTGTTTCCTGTTATTTTAGTCCTAATTCAATTTGAATTTGGATTGGTTTATAATGTAATGCCTCTTGTGTGGCACAGTGCAGGTATGTGTATACTGTTTTGTGCTCTGTACATAGCTTTCTAGTCATTCTAGTCATTAAGTGTGTAGGTATCTTTCATTGTTGTGTTGTGTAATAATTTGTTACAAATGCTATCTCAAACAAACAACTGTGTTTCAGAGATGCGCAGGAGAACCGCATGCTGCCCTCAGTGAAGGACAACAGTGGCAGTCATGGCTCCCCCATCAGTGGGAAACTGGAGGGCATCTTCTTCAGCTGTAACACAGAGTTCAATACGGGCAAACCGCCCCAGGACTCCCCCTACGGACGACAGCGTTTTGAGGTGCGAGCAGATGCCCTCTTAAACCCAGACACCAACCTGTACTTTGGGGACCTGTACTGCATGTACACAGCCTACCACTATGTCATCCTGGTCCTGGCACCAAAAGGATCCAGAGGAGATGACTTCTGCAAGGAGAGGCTCCCTGCTCTGGACATCACCAACAACCGATTCCTGACGTGCAAAGAGAGTGAGGCGGGTGACGGGCGCCTGGTGTTCCACCATGCCCAGGACGTGATCCTGGAGGTCATCTTCACTGAGCCCGTGGACCTGTCACTGGGAAAGGTGGCAGAGATCAGCGGGCACCAGCTCATGAGCCTCTCCACAGTAAACGCCAAGAAGGATCCCAGCTGCAAGACGTGCAACATCAGTGTGGGGCGCTAAGAAGAGGTCTGAGAAAAAGAAGCCGGGATGACCAGACAAGACTGGCCTGAGGACATAAGTCTACAAACTGAAAAAGCAGAGCAATGCATGAAGCAGCCGATCTTGTAGGAGCCTAGTCATACTGGACTTCATCCCCAGAGGAATAACTCACAAACTGGTAAAAAAAAAGATGGCCCCAAACAAAACACAGTCATCACAAGCAAACCCACAGTAAAATACAAACAAAGCAAAGCATCAATAAGCCCTGGATCCTCACAGTGTTTATCCAACCCTTTAAACATACTAACAAACAACAGCTGCTTCTGCTTCATAAGTTATTTGATTTAAAATACTCTTACTCACTTCTTTGTCAATGATGATCTTTTTTTTTTTTCATTAATTGCAAACGTTTTTTCGAACCTATTTTACATCCAATTTGGAGCAAACACTTTGGGACTGCAGCCTCAGTCATTTGATTTCATACCAAAGGTGTTAAAATGCGATATGGAAAAGATATGTCGTATGAAAAGTTTGACAACTGCAGCCTGATAAATCTCTACTGACGTCTGACCAATGTGACCTATTCATGAAGATGTTGACCTTTAAGCATGACGCAGTTCTGTGCCGCATGAAAAAGGCTGTCAGTACCTCTGCCACGCATTTATTTTTCTGCTGTAAACAGAGAAAGTAGAACCATATACTGTGTTTAGCAGAATAAATGTGAAAAAATATTTATTTTTATCAATATATATAGATAAATATATATAAAGAAAAATATATAAACCAGAAGTGCACAATATCAAAGGTTGTCAACAGTGTCATTTAGAAGGAAGTGATCAGGACTAAACACATATGAGTCAGTTTAGCTTGACATGCTAACGCTAATGTTCACATACTACAACGTGAGCAGTAATGTGTATTATGGACAGAGCATAGCAGTTATACTAATTCTCAATGCATATCATAGCACAACAGAGGACTAATTACTAACTGACATGCACAAATGCCACCAGATTGCCAGATTGTCTCTTTTATGATATAAACAAAGATCCTTGCCACAAAAGCACTTAATAAAATGCAGTTTCCACTATTACTTCTTAAATAAAAAAATGCAAAGTGCCATAATATATAAAACATTGTAAAAAGGTTAAAGGTAATGTTTGTCACATGGGTAGAGTTAGTGTAATCTTGGACACTGCTGTGCTACTACTCATAGATAACACTTGCTACAGGCAGTTTAAGGCCGGGTCAATAAGGAGGAATGGGACTATAACTCTTGAGTTGCCCACCTCTCACTCATCATTGTTCTTCACTTTTATATTAAAGTGCATTGAAGCATGGCATGAACATTCTGGACTGTGTAGATTTGAATCCCACTGTGAGATACTCAGCTGCTGGTTGAGCCCTGGTGTTTACTGAGCAGGGCCTCCAGGAGGCGCAGTTTTGCTTTGAGGTTCTTGTACTGGCAGTACTCCTCTGCCATGGGTCCACGGTCCTCCTTTTGACAAACCCTGTTTAAACAAGAGGAACATAAAGAGTGAAGAGAACCGGCCACAGCTTCCACAGACATTGGATAGTCCCTCCTATGTTGCCTTACTCAGATAGCTTTTACAGTGTGTATTGTAGTCAGACTTTGGAGGACTAACATAGTACAAAGAACGTGTACAGTTCAGATCTACAGTCTACTTCTGTCTTTTTCCTGAGCTCTCTGCTTCATTAATGTCAAGTGCGTGTGTATTACACTGATGTATCATTGGGATTTTTTTGTGGATGTCTTTTGTTTTACACATGGCATTGTTGCAAACCAAATGTTTCAAGGTTTAATAAAAGAGAGAATAAACTTTGAAAGAGATGGGCTATAGGTGTGATATGTGATTTGTACACTAGGATTACCTGCCAGTTTGTGAGTAAAAGTGTTCCTCAAACTCGCGCAGCACAAAATGCAACCTCCGCTTCTCACTTCTGGCCATCTTCAGGTGATCCAACAGCTCTGACCTGTACATTTTTACATAAAAAAAGAAAACACAATAATGCATAATACACATTTTGCTATCAGCATACAGAAAAAATAAGAAATTTGACAAAATACCCTGAAATAGTTTAGATTATTTCTCATATTCTGATTAACTAAGATCTCTTCAAGATATTTAACACTTAGAAAGAATTTGGTAAAAAGGTAATTGTGATTGTTATATAGTGAGAACTTCTGGCCTGACCGGGTCTCTTTTAATCTATACTACCTTAAATTTTAGTAATAACAAGTCCAACAATTGTAAAGTATCTTTTTCACAATGTAAAAAAAACACCAAACACATAATAAACTTTCAACACCATTACAATTAGACAGTAGTTTGAATATAACAGATACTATTAGACTTTTACCTGGATGCTTCATGAAGTGTTGCCATGGTGATGAGATGGGGCTGGTGTGTGTTTGCTTCATCTAAAGGGGACACCGGTGGAGATTCACAGAGCTCCATGAGAGTCTTGTCTGACGAGAAGGACTGAGATTTAACCCAGTGAGGCAGTGGACATAGGCTAGAGGGTTTGGGGCTTTCCTCATCTGAGCCCTCCTCTTCATCCTGTCAGCATAAAAAAAGCATTTTATTAACAAAAACACATATGTATTTCAATACCAAGGTAAAATACAGTCGTATTTTAAGGTAAATTGTGTTTTAGAACAGTACACAACAAGTTCGAAATCATTTGAATTTGGCTTTTGCAGTTTGTTGCTGTAGCATTCAGAACCAGCCACAAGAGGGCACAGGAGACAAATAAATCAACCCACTCTCAGCATCCACCACCTCATACCAGCCATTAAGAGAAACATTTTTGAAGTCTTATTTCAAAGGAACACATGATTGACTTACAATAGTTGTGATCACAGTGGAGGTAGAGGAGGAATTCTGAAGCTGTTTGACAACACGGTATCGGTCATAGAAGGGCTTAATCAGAGTCCGCTCTTGTCTGGTGCTCTACACACAGAGATAGAAATTTTGTTAAAATTTTATGTAGGTAGATGAGTTTTAGCCAGGCCCATTAAACAGTATTACTTCTTACCGGTCGCCCATGAAGACCTTCATAGTATAGCAAGCACTTCTGCAAACAGGTCTTTTCCAGGGCTATTTGGAAATGGGACATCTCCTACACAACAATTTAAATGAGTAATGCATTACTCAGTCTATTTATTTTCTAGGATGTAAACCTTTAGATTTGTGTAAGAGTGTCTTCCCAAACCTTGAGGCTGTCTGGCAGTTCCAGCTCTCTCCTCCTTTCCTTCAGTCTGTTAGTGATACTATTGACCGTTTCCTCCACATTAGGTTTTGTGTTGCCATTATTATTAAGCAGTTGAAGCTCCAACCCTGCCAATGCTGACCCCCTGTGGTCATGACTGGCTTTGCAGGACTGACGCAGTTGGTTTACATCTCCTTCACCCTTGATTGATTGTTTTAGTTTCAGCTCTGGAGAACGAAGGCATTAACCATTATCATTTATTTAAGTATATTATTATTTTACAGTGATATGTTAAGCTAATTATGTTGTATCCTACCTTTGAGTCGTTTGCGACTCTTGATCAACTCCTTCATTAGCCTGGCCACCTCTGGGTTTGCTGTCTTGTCATTATGAGCTGGCTGAAAAAAATACAACATGGTTAGAGTTCAGGGTTAGTGGAATAAAATAAGTCATGGTATAAGGACTATATATGAATATTAAAAAATAATAAATCATGTTAAAGAATAAGATATCACAAACAGGAAATGGGTTTTCTGTTTTGTTTGTGGTGGGGACTGTTGCTTATTAAGATTATTATGTATTACAGTTTGGCCAGACAGTAGCAACATTGGTCCAGTACAGGACCAATGATCCAAACTAGTAGAAATACTACAAAGTACAAAGAAAATACATGTTAGCAAATTTACAACCTCTAGCTATCATTTGCACAAAATGTGACAAAGCTGGAATATGGTGTTAAAGTATTTGATGTAATTATGTATGTACCCTCATTGTGTACAGATCATAGACTGTATATCTAGCGTAGGGTTCTCCAAGTTTTTTCCTCTGGTGAGCTACTTTCACAAAACGGAAATGCCAGAGAGCTACTAGTTTTAGTGGTCACAAGAAATTGAGTATATATAAGCTCTTCAGCAAGCCTTAGATGAGGTACAGTTAGATGCCTATAAAACATAAATCATTATCTATTTAGTGGTGCACAAAATTAGGCATCAAAACGAAACATGTACAATAATCATAATAGGCATTTAATTAATAAAATTCAAATTATTCGGCACAATACATATAATTCAGAAATCCTAAGGAAGGGGGTGGAGCTACAGGTCGATTAACACAACACTGAAAAATTGTCATCTCTCTGTAACTGATACAGTAATCCTTGTCATTTTGGTCTTAAATTGTTCGTATTAACCTGCTCTAGATGATCCTGATGTTTTTGTTTCGCTATTTTATCTGTAAATAAATTCGTAATATGGAACTCAGCTCAAAATCCGTTCCTATAAGTGCCAACCTCGGTGAGCTTCATTTGACTGGAGACTCCCTTAGTCCACTTCCTTATATCTATGAGTCATGTTATTGGTTCAGACAGCATTTTTACAAACACAAACAACTAGCATGAAGAAAAGTCCAGGGAGCAAATTATTGTTTTGTTTAAATGTTTTTTTGTTTTTGTTGTTGTAGAACTGTTTACAACCTATTAAAAAATGAAATCAGTTTTATTAAATGAATAAAAAGACTAAACAGGAAAAGCAAAAACAAAAAACAAAGTAACTCTTCATGCAATTATTATGCAATTATATTATTCAGTGTTAATGACTAATGTTTGGTGTTATCTAGAGGAGGGAGTCACGCCATCATTTTAATAATGATAACATAATTCTGACTCATATGAACTGATTATATTCATTTAAGCATTTCTGACCTTCATATTAGATGGCTGGCTCACAACACAAGCAAAAACAGAATATGATTTGAATTAATCCCACCTTGTAGTGTCTTTCTTGTTCAAAGCGTTCTTCAAATCGTCTGATCCTTTTCCTCAGGTAATGTATATGTTTGTTTAGCATGTTGATGGATGGTTCTTGCTCCCCTGTCTCTGTGTGGACATTACTGCGCGCCCTGCAGACACAAATGCACTTATCTTAAAAATGCGACATGAAAGATTTAAAAACAGCCCTTGAGGAGATGTTATTCTTTCAAAGCTAGGACAAGCTCAAACAATCAAGCTTTGAGATGATTTCAGAATCCCAAAATAGCATAGGTGAGTGGACGTGTTGCTTACATGCGTACTTCCTGTGAGCACGGTGGGGAGGGGGCTGTATCAGGGTCCAGGTTGTACCGAAGACTGTGGCTGATGTTGGGGCATCGAGGAGAGGGCACTGGGCAGTCGCTGGTGGTGATGTGTGAGAGGAGAGGGCTGGTGTCTGTGGCAATGGGAGACATGGATTTTTCTTCTGATAAAGTGGCAGTGCAGACAGAACTGGACTCTGATGAGGATGGAGATGTGGCCTTTACTGAATGAAAAAATAAAAGGGCTTGTTATAAGATCAGGTTTAGCAGTTTCTCATCAATATTTATTCAATTGATGTATTTATATTTTGAAGATGAAGAAAATCCTTTCTATTTATCTAGCTTTGAAATTGGCACAAAACGTAAATAACTCATGACCCCTAATGGCCATTTCATTTTAGGTAATAAGACACGTAGCAGAAAACAATATCATAGAATAAAAGCTTTCATATGAAGCTAACTATATTTAGGCAATAAAGATATGCACTGAATATGATTGTCCTTGTGAGTCAGTTTACAGTATTATTTTTTGCAGTAAAACGAGAAAGAAGATTTCATTGTTGTTATTGTGCTTCTATAACCAATAAATGTGCAAATAAGATATTTAATTTGTTCTTTAGTAAGGGAAGGGTAGACAGACAGAAATTTTAAAAAAGCTTGTAAGTTGTAACACATAACTAATTCCACATTAGAAACAGGAGTAAGATGAAGACTAAATATTATTTAACCCCTATCCTATCCTCTACACAATATAAAACATAAACGTAGATGGCTTCATGCAGATTCTATGGATTTACAGGAATGTCTGAATTTTTGTCTCACCTGATTGTGTGGACTGGGCTGTATAATGGTCTGTTGACAAAGGTAAGTGGAAGAACAGAGGGCGGTAGAGACTCTTCTCCTCTGAGGTAACAGGCTGGTGCAGAGCAGGTAAACCTTCTGGATCTTGGGGGTCAGCTGGTGTTGGAGAGAGTCCCAGCTCAGCATCTAGGGCTTGGAGTTTTAGGGAGGGGCTCTGAAAGCAAAAGCAGAACATATCTTCAAGGGTGGGGTAGAAATGAGGTACACGAGACTGTGGAAGAATCCTTATATGCAAGGTGACTGTTCAATTGTGCCAAAATACATCAAAAACTTAGAATAAAAAGTTCTGCATCCAATAAAGTCAGCAACAAATGTGTAATCCAGCTCTTTCAGACTAAAGTACTCGTTAACTGTCTTGTTTCTATATCTAAATCCTCATGGCATTCCTTGGGTTTCTGTGTCCGAACTGCCTGCACATGGATTATTTATCTTGAGTGGAAGCAAGGGGGCGGTGGGAATGCCTCTCGATGCCGATAAGTGTGCTTGTGCAGTGGGTGTGTATGAGGAGAGAGAGAGGATGCTATATATGACGAGGAGGCGTTTCCAGGGCAACGTTATGAGTCTAAGCTAAGAAGGCGCAGAGTCACGCAGTTCTTCAGTTTGTTGTCTATGACTATGCACATGTGGGCGTATAACATTACACAGTGACGTCAATTGTTTTTTTTTTATTGTTTTTACTGCTCTGGGTGACAAAGAAGAGGAGTAAAGAGTTATGCTTTACATTTTCATTTCAAAGGTGTAAGCTTTTCTTTTTTGGCATGTTTTGTTCACTGGTAAAAACACCTCTTTGTGCGTCATAGGGGAACTCAACAGAGTTAGGAGCAGGGATTCTGTTAATGAGACTAAACTCCCACAGATAGCATGTTCAAGGTGAGGTTAGGAACATGTACTCAATCTACTGCAGGTATCACAGCTACCATTGTCATAGCAACAGTTATAAATAAGAGCTAATTTTCTGTGTGTAAGGCTGAGGTGATGAAGAACTTACGTCACTGCTGTTTCTGCCTCTGTAATCAATGTGTCCATCAAGACAACTGCTGCTTCCATCTCTGCTCCACTGAAAAGAAAAGTCCTAATGAAGTACATTAGCTTAAAATGCCCTTAAATGGTTTGGAGAAAGTAGGTCACACTCACACAAATACAAGGTTAAAAACTACTCCAAATAATTAGTGGGAAGAAGCAAGAAGGAAAGAAACATTCTTTGAAGGTTTGCAGCCTTTCTCAAAATTAGCACTGAAGACATTTTTGAAAATCTAAACTATCTGACAGTGAATCCAAGCAATGAATAAAACTGGATTTCCAAATTAATGTAATAGTTCATTCATGGGTTTCAGGTTGTTGTTATTAGGTGACTTTTGAGGAAGATTTTGAATTGATAAATGCTATGCTCTATTGATAAATGCTATGCTCTATGTTTTCATTTTTCGTCATTCTGTAACCCATGGATTCATTGTCTTCATTGGTCCCTTAAACAGTATTAATCTATTAATTACCTCTGGGCTTTGACAAGTCTCACTTTTCTTCTTTTCTGTGAAGAAATGGGGACTGAAAAATAAAGTGACATCAGCGGAGTCACAAATATAGCTCAACAGATCATGAGCATACTGCTGTAATATAAGAATCCTTTAGCTTTTGACATTGTAAATACAGTATGTGGAAGTATTTTATTGTATGAAAACTCAGTAATCTTGTTGTCTGTCACTAATATTAAGGTTATGGCTTCCTCCTGTCTGATGTTGTTCACACACCACAGCAGTGACCTGTTCAGTGAAGACTCTGTGCGGACAGCCTGCCACCAAGGGAAGCTGACCTCATAATGTACAGCTAGTCGGTCCATGTGAGAGCCTGTGGCAATCACAGTTATCTGAACTGGAATCAAGAAGAGAAAACGTGACTGTGGGCAGCACATTGCTCTGTTAACCTACTTCTCCACTGACTCTAGTGCACAGAGACATGTACAAAATGTAAGGAAAATACAAATAAAATGGTTACTATTATAATACAGACTACTTTGACTATTTTTAAATCCAGGCCCAAAACGTTTCTGTTTAGCTAAGCATATGACTTAAAGGTTTTCATTATGCACTCTTCACTTATAATGTTAATATTATGATGATTATTTATGTTTTGATTTGTTTGTATTCTGTAATGTCTTTGTATTCTGTAATGTCTTTGCTTGTATTCTGTAATGTCTTTGTTTATATTCTGCACTGTCTTTGTATTCTGTAATGTCTCTGTTTATATTCTGTAATGTCTTTCTTTTTCTGTAAAGCACTTTGAATTATTTGTGTACAAATTATGCTATACAAATAAACTTGCCTTCCCAGTATTTGTCACCTTCTCACCTTTCAATGTGACTATGAGCTCTGTTGTGGCAGCTCATATCTGATGGAACAGCTGAATTAGCAACCTAAAATAGACCAAATTAACAAAATACTTTCACTTCATAATGTCACAAATTAATCTCAACACATACATAATTAAAGTTTGGATGAATAACTCTCTTACCACTTGGCAGTCACTTTTGGCAGCATTTCCTTTCTCATTTACTCCTGAGGTGGCAATTGATGTGTTGTGGTATTCTGGTCTGTAAGGGGAAAAACATACAATCACATTTAAACACATTATAATCACGTAAAAATAATAAAAAAGTAATGTCCCATAGAACACACTTGTAATTTGCATTTGAAGAATCCAGTCTAAAATGGTCTGAGGACTTCTCCTTTGCTGACCCTGGGGAAGTGGAGCAGGGTGATACAGGGTCTCCTATCCCAGTTCTGTCCAGTGTGTGCAAATCACACAGGGCACGTATGCTGACACTAGAGCAGGCCTGAGACTGTGGAAAGTCAGGACTAAAAACAAAAAATCACAATGATATGATCAGTAACTATTTAGTGTACTTTGCAATTTCTCAGTTTTGAAAGAAAGTTGTGATTCTATGCAATGTGTTTTGTTTTTTTCCAGGAAAATATATCCAATATTTGGCACCAGTATTTTTTTCTGCAGTCCACCAGTTTGTGTGCCCACGTGTCATTCCCATTTTGTACTCACTTCAGACTTGTCTTTTTTAAACAGAAAATGACAAACACACACAAACACACAAAAGAAATGATTTTTATATCCCAGATAAATACATTGACAAAAACAAAAAGTTTATTTATGAACTTAACAATAACTAAATTTAAATCTGTGGTCCTATAAGCAAAAAAAATATATAACATAATATTGGTATCTGCAAATATCAGTTATTGGCCAAAACACCAAGAAAAATCTGGGATATCTAGTCAAAAATCCATATTAGCCCATCCCTAATGATTATACTCATTTGGCTGTATAAGATGTCTGTTCTTTATGACAAAGCTGAAGCTGGAGTATGAAGTCAACAGCAGTCCCTACCCCAAGGCAAAGCACACACAACCACCACTACAACATCCCAGAACAATATTGTCCACAGATATTCATCCGTCTCAAATAACAGCAATGAGTCATGTTTTAGGGTTATCCAGTGGCTCTTCTGGCATTAAGAAGCTCATACTGAATCACAGCAACAATAATATTAAGACCCAAATAATTTGATCCCTTGAAACCTAGTTATTGTTTAAATTATTTTAGATAGATAAATACATAGATACTTTATTTATCCCAGGGGTGAGATCTACAAAATTCAAAACTGGGACACATAAATAAAACTGTGAAAAGAGCGTGTAACATTGTCTACTCTCGACTGACTTGTGGGTTAGTATCAAATCTGAGGGACTTTTGTTGGTGCATTTTTTTTTTTGCCTTGTGGTCATTTTCAAGCACAGTTTTCTGTCATTTTGCTAAACAAATGACAATATATTCCCCTTTTTACTGTTCATGGGTTTCAAATTGGTCAAAAACAGGGACAACTGGAACATTTCTTGTATAAAACTGGGATAAATTAATAGTTTTGGATTAATCTGTTGGGATAGGGGACACAGAGGTCAAAACTGAGACTGTCCTGAGTAAATAGGGACATCACCCTGAGCAACAAAACATAATAACATCAGTAATTAAATTTATAGAGATACTACAAAAACAGAAACTTTAACTTTTAACCTTTAGATATTTAGGTTTTAGGAAGATATAGTAATTTGTCTGGACAGGGACTAGCAGTTAGTAAATGAAACAATAGGGCAAATTAAAGGTTTTAGAAGTTTGATTTTCAACAAAAAATGGTGAGAGTGACTAACTGAAAAACAGCTAGTAATGTTAGCTATGTGACTGTAATGTTATTTGAGAGAGACTTGTTTAACAGCACACAATCAACTCTTCTGTTGTAGTTCCAACTAAACCAGCTTTTCATGGTCAGACTGTGTTAAAAAGCTCAGATTAAAGTGTAACAAGCCTCAGATAGAGCAGTGCCTACAGTTACTATCACATCCCCAGGGAATTTTAATCAGCTGCCAAGTATCAATATAGTAGAGGCAGCAATAGCGTTTTGTTTTAGATGTATTTGGTTAATTCTCATTAAGAACAATTCACACAATACCGATTACTGACAATATTACATTTTTTAAAGTGTAAAAAGCATACCGGTATTTGTCAAAGATATGTCAAAATGTTGGTGTGCTAAACAGATACAACTAAAAAAATACTTTTCTGTGGTGCTGTATTTCCCAGCAGTAGGCTAAGTTTTTATATCTTAGATAGACGACATAAGTATCGGGGGAAAAGCTGAGAATTTTAAGTGTGAATGAATAGCTCCAGATAGACAGTAGCCTACCTGTTTAGTCGGGACTGGACCTGAGTTGCATGGGTGAAAGAACTTGATGAAGAGAGAGACACAGTTTCTTCTCCTAATCTCTCCACATTATTCAGCACTGATAGTGGACTACTGAGACATGCCTACAAGAGTCAAATAAATGTCAAATATTACATAGTATTGATTTACAAAAAATCTGCTTGAGCACTACCTGAATTTGTGAGGATGCAGACAGGAGGAGGAGGAGGAGGAGGAGGAGGAGGAGGGGTTGAGGCAAGTTCATCATTACTAGATATTAGTTGTTTTTCTGTTTGGTCTGAGAAAAGGGTTGTATGGTGCCTTAGAAGATGAAGCAATAGGGCATTACACACACTCTGCTCCTCGATCATCCTGGGACCAGCAGGTACACTGTAAATGAAGACAACAAAACAAAAAACTATTACGGAAATTCTAAAAACATTGCCAATTAGTAGTGCCATCTAGTGGAGGAAAGCCTAAACTGTACAAAAAGTTATTGGCATGGCAACTGCACATGTCTTAGAAAGTAAACTACATGTGTATCTAGAAGCTGAGACATGTGGTCACGATCTATGCAGCATGTGTGGGTCTTATTTCATACATCTGGTAGGCTATGTGAAGTATGTGAATATTTATAGCAGTGCGTACAGGTCGAAGAGACATCAACAGTGTCACATGTGTTACATAAGACTTACAGCAACAGATTAAATGACAAATATACAGAATACTGGTGGTCATATACAGTAGGGGCTGCTAGACCTGGAAACCAGTTGGCAAGTCAATGTTCAACCCTGAAATATTTAGTACATAATGTATGTACATAGTACATACATTACTAACTCATTGCTTATATGCTTTATTATAATAACTCCATAGTTGTTCTTGTTAAGTTGAGTGTGTGACAAAAATTTATAAGTCTTGCCTTTATTCATTATTTTACTAATGTTCTAAAAGTCTACACTGCTTTCAAATGTGGCAAAGGAGAAATTCAATTTATCAACTGGACAAAGTTTATTTGGTCAAATACGTTTCGCAGCTCCAACCAAAACTGAAGAAGCAGCTTGGATGAGCTGCGAAACATATTCAACCAAATAAACTTTGTCCAGTTGACAAATTGAATTTCTCTTTTGCCATGGATTCTACCTGGACGACTGAAGGATTTTTCACAAAGCTTTCAAATGTGTTATTATGTAAAGAATTAAAGTATTTTAGGTTGTGTTGATTTCTGAAAATATGTAAATAAATATACAGCATACTGGCAATCACATATAGTCTCATTGTTTATACGCTTTGTAATAATAATTCTATAGTGGTTCTAAAGTTGAGCATTTGACAAAACTGTATTTAAATCTTACGAATTCATTCATTATTTTACTAATGTTAAAAAGTTACTGTGCCCAAGTAAATTTCCTTGTTAATCAATCAGTCTGTAGCCTACAAGTTCAAACAGCTTTTAAATGTGTGATTATTTAAAAGAATTAAACTAGTTTAGACTGTGTTGATTTCTGAGCATGTGTACTTGTAAGCATGCCTCCCGTGAGATGGCATCTGTTTACGGTGAGGAGTGACATCTATAAACAGCTAGCGTGAGCAGCAGCCTCCCAAATGCACTGTGTTATCAGACCCTCTCCACACCCATTTCCTTAAGGCAAAAGTGGCTACACCCCAGTTTTGCTTTACACAGATTCAGAAATTTAACCAGAATTGATCTAAGAACCAAGATAATTTTTCCCTATAACACAGTGAAGACTTCAGACAGAGCTTATACTTTCCAGTATTAGTTGGAACATGTAATTTAACACCCACACCACTCAACTGCATGCGCCTTGTCTATAATGATGAATGCTGGGAACTCTGTGTGCAAGTTTCCTATGGAGAGAATGTTGAGTTAAGAACCATTACTTACTGAAAAATACAAGGTCCAAAAATGGTAGCCAGATTTTCCATTGGCATATGATTTGATTGGCTGAGAGTGGCCACTCTGGATAGGAAGTTTATTAGGTAAGACAAGATAATAAGGTTGTCAGTGGGGAGGTGCTGAAGATTTTCTTTCAAAAACTGATTTGTTCGGCTGTCATCTGTATTTCCTGAAAGGGTGACAAAATCAACATTTTAGCATGGTGGTACTCTATTATGATAAAAATATGTTTGCATCTACATAATAATTTTATATTCATGGTGGCCAAAAGGTAAAACAAACGTGCACAGCCAAAATGATGAGCGCAGTATTCTTAAACGGTTTTGAAACAACTAACTTTGCTACAGTAACTTTCCTAACAACTAAAAGATACAGCAAATGTCAAGTTTTGTTATGTTGTAAAATAAAAGATAAGATAATACAAAAAAGGCCCAGAGCATGTCTCTGTCTGACTAAAATTTTCATTACCTTTAAGACAGCAGATGAGCTGTTTGCGGAGAGTTTCAGGGACTATGGGAACAGGCAACTCTCTAAAGAAGAGTTTAAGAAGAGACGCCACTGTTGGGATATCTCCGTCATTCTGCAGATCAACCCTCTCCCCCTTGTCCCACCGCTGTTTCAGTGTCCTCATCCGCACTACAGAGCCACACAGTCGAAAAAGGCCTCTGTGCTGCAAACCTGAAAATGTCATGATTAGTATGAAGTGCATATGATGGTTAGACAGTTAATGACATAAGGAGTTACAGTGGCTCAGTGGTTAGAGCAGTGGTCAATACATCCTCTAACCAAGTTTTGTCGTTGTGTCCTTAGGCAAAACACTTCAGCCGCATTGACTAGTATGTGGTGTGCATGAGTGAATAGTAGTAATCAGAGGGACCAATGGTGCAGATTTAACTGATTTATAGTTTTGTGTTTTACTTCCTGGTTGGACATGGCAGCAGATGTGAAATAAGTAGATTAAGTAGAATAAGTAATTCCTATTAAACTAGAAAGTTGGTATTATAATTATCATTTGAAAAATGGAAATAAAATGTGTATGAGTGTGCATAAACTGTAATTGCATTATAGATGGGTTTGTGTGCACTGATGACAGAGGGATTCGTTTTTAGAACTCAACCCAACTTTTTCTTATCAATTCTTCTCAAAATTCCACTTGACTTTTGCAAACCTATGAAAAATATTGACCAGAGGCACTATCACACCAAACAAAGTAATAATTCTTAAAACATGAAATCCTGTCAAATGCACTTTAACATGCATATGAGGCACAAATGACAATAGATATTAAAATGCAGGTGTAAAGTGATTACCATTGTTGTTGAGGTATTCCACCATGTCTCTCAGAACAGCAGGTATTCCACACACCATCTGCCCATCCTCCTTCAGTGTCTCCAGGGCAACACCAAACACGGAGCTGGTCCTGGAATCTGGCTCTGTCCGCGTGGAAACTAAAGGCTCCGGACTAACTTTTGCAGAGGAACGCAGAACTTTCACTGAGGAGGAGTCGCTCTGAAATACGCAGAGGTAGAAACAATACTGAAAATGTACACTTAAGTAAAAGTAGTGTTACAAGGCTAAAAAACAACCTCAATTCAACCTAAATCCACATATTTTCTAAACTCTGGCAATGCTAGTGCATTTAATCCAGTGTCCGTATGTGTTTTTGTAGGTTTAGAAAGAAACAACAGTGAACAGGGACAACTGGAACTTTAGCTTGTAACTCTAATTTTAAATTTGGCTAGAATTATACTATTCACAAAGTTTTAAAAACTCATTTAAATATTCTCAATTACAATAAAATGATTGTAAGATAGTCAGTCCCTAGAGAAAGGGTAGCCTACATTCAGCAATTCCTTTGACCCATAAAAATGGTTGTAGCGTGTGGTCTTTGTCAGCTACATTTTGTTCTTGTAGTAACCTACCTGAAAAGCATAAAACTTGATATACAAGTCCATTCAGCACTACAAAGGCCATATTAAAAGGCTCTGGTGTATTCTCATATAAAACTAGTAAATGCTATCTACTTTTTAATGTTGTCTGGCAAGATCTCAGCTTTGGCCTGACAGGAGAATAACAGAGACCACATGTGTATGTGTGTGTGTGTGTGTGTGGGGGGGGGGGGGGGGTTACATCCTAAAGTAACTTCTAGCAATAAGGTTAGCAGGCTATTATTAAAATGAATTGTTAACACTAACAGTAACATTAGATATCAGCTCACCAGTATAAACATTTGACACAAGCTAATTGAAGATAAAGTTAGCTAAAACTTACACAAAGCGATACGGAGGCGCTCGCTCCCATTTTCAGCTCAGCTCATCTCCGGACATATTACGAGCAGTTTACTTTTTCGAAATAGAGCGTGGTGACTATGGAAATTGTCCTTTAAAATGCACACAAGACTTAATGCCATCCTACAAGTTCAGCTGTGACCCAAAAAACGAACTAAAAAACACAGATTAAGCTTCGTAGAACCGATCTTACCATTATCCTTTTAACTAGCGGGGAATTGTTTATGTTGCTGGTCACGTGACGCGAGTGTAACCATGGCGACAAGAGGTAGGCTTGCCCTTGGAGAAAGGATGCTTAGTGAGGATCATGGACCTATGGTGAGGATAAGCCTCATCTTTGGGAAAGCTTTGAGAAATACAAAATATAAGGGATAGTACTGGTGTTTTTGCACATTCAAATTTATAAGATATTTAAACATTTTTATTGCCATGTTTTAAATAATATACAATACAAAAATCAAATGAACATTAACAAAATACTGGCATATAAAAAGAACAGCATTAATAAAAAGAGACAGCCCAGTAACTGCTGTGCTAGACGTGCCTAAAACGTCCATCAAATACAGTTTTAAGTGGTCTATTTTAGACACATTCAAGTAATTCTAAAACCCTACTGTAAAACATACAAATGTAGTCAACTTTCCTTTTGGGGATCACGCCATTTTACAGAAGGCCAGTGTGTGCATCTATGACAAAGTTTGTGCATAAAAATTTCAGCTAGGCTATAACAAACGTATTAGAGCCCACATCATGAACACATTTACATGGGGCTCACAAACAAATGCACAACTCTAATACAATTACAAGATGCTATATATATATACATATATATAAACTGTAAGAATAAAGGAAAAGTCAGCCTGCTATAACAAATGTAGGCAGAGGCTGTGCTTCCTGTGCCACAGTCGTGAGGTTGAAATATATGTAGGGTAAATAAGTTCAGTTAATGAAATTAACAAGTAGTGATGAAGCATTTCGCTTCCATTGTTCCAATAGGCATTGTATTACACACTTTGGTATGATTAAAAATATAACACGATAAAGTAAAAACACACAAATGAAACTCTCTTCATAAGTTAAAAATAGTGTGGTTATGCTTGTGTGGCATTGCATATATACGTTTTCTGTCATCATATTTGTATTAACACTCAGTGGTTTTAGTGTTCCAGCAGTAGATACAATGTGTGCGTAATAGCACAAAACCAAATGTCATAGAGTGTTTAGGAATTCTTCAAAAATAAGGCAATTAAAAACACAGCCAACTGTGAAAAATCTTTGCAGTGTTTAGTGTCAACCTGAGAAATGCAGGCAAAGAACAGTCCAACAGATGAGCCTGTATTTCAGAATGTCTGGCAGTTATTTTGGTATCATAATAAGACCCTGAAGCAAAAATACCAATTCTCCTTCCAACATATAAAAATATTCTTCTCAGAAGATCGTTCATGTCAGCTTCATTAGCAGAATGTGGCCGGGCAGTGGACAGTTTCTATAACAAAGAGTTACACATTTAAGCTACTGAGATCACTTTGTCACAGGTGCTGGTGTACTGGACGTCTGACTTGGCAGTCTCCATGTTCTTCCTGTTCCAGCAGGGAAGGGTGAGGACAAATAAAATAAAGGCACCAAGGACCACACAGGTCCCACTGAAATAAAACGCCAAATCATAGGACTGTGTCCAGTCAAAGAACCAACCTGCAAAAGAATAGAAAGAACAGTTTTTGTGAAATGAATACATGTGTGCACTGCTGGAAAACAAACTCTGTCAGTTATAGGATTCTTACCTACACAGGAGGTCCCAGCATGATCCCAAAGCCTCCAAAAAACATAAGGATGCCATGAGCTTGTGTCAGTCTGTCCAGGCCCACAATCTTAGTGGTAATGTAGGAGGTGAGGGACCAGTTCCCAGAGAAGAAGCCGAGCACGGCAGTGAGGATCTGCAGTCCCACATAACTTTTGGTAATGGGGATGAGGAAGAGTGCCAGGCCTCCTGCAAACATGGTGAAGCCATACAGATAGATGCTGTTGATCCATCTGAGGTCAACCAGAATGCCCAGCACCAGTTTACCCACACACGTGGCAATGGCCCCTATGGAAACCAGGGGAATGATACTAACTTCTTCAATCAGTCCCCCACTTTGAGCAACATCTTCAATAAACAGCACAGGTGGAAATGCCCCGAGGCTGAATAGAAATATAGCAATACAAAAGGCCACCATGGCTTGGTCCTGTAGAATTTCATACATAGAGTATATATACTTGGAGTAAGCTTGTTGCTTCTTTTTAATCATTTTCATGATGACCAAGCCAGACAGGCAGCAACCTTTCTTTGTCTCGGCCTGAACAGCCAAGTCCTTAGTGTCTATGGAAATGAGCAGCTCCTTGACTGTAGGTGGGGTGGCTGTGGAGGAGCCATTCATGATTTTCAGATCCTCTAGAGGAGGCTTCTCCAAAAGCTGCTCCCCTGTGTTGCGCTCCAGAGCTGCCTTCTGCTTGAGGTAGTAGCCGGGCATGTTCAGGGGCCTCATGAAGCCAGCACAAGCCATGAGGTTCAGTGCGATGGCTCCGATGATGAGCAGGCAGCCATCCAGACCAAAAAGCACCATCAACTCATTCTGTGCAGTCGCATAAATGAATGCTCCAACACTGGTGCCTGTGTAAACAGAAGCAAATCTGAGAACTGGAATTTGTGAAACTAAAACCCCTCCCTAAATATACAATGCACTCTCTAAATATACAAAATCACCATCAGTAAATATTGGCATAGACACAGTCATCAGCAAAAGTCTACACTTTTAAAGCTTTTTAGAATCTGAGCCACCAGACCTGGTTGGTAGTCCAGCTGACTAACACAGCCTTCTGTCATGGCTACTCTGCAAATGTTTACCTTGGATCTTTCTCCCAGCAGCCCATGCATGAAAGAGGTAAACATGGAGAAGTTGTGCATCCCAGAGCTGTATGCAGAGGAAGGGCAGAAGTACCTGTGGTGACAATGCCGAGGGCCAGGCCACGCCTCTTGTCGAAATACTGACATGTGATTGTTAATGTAGCAGCATAGACCAGACCACAGCCCAGGCCTGGAGTGACAAAGGGGGACAAAGGACAATACATTTACAGTTAGCATAGATCAAAATAACCTAAGGACATGATACAGTCTAATGTAAGTGTAATGACTGATTAGTGTTATATACAGAATATAAAGCAGTAAACAAGATACAAAGTGCCTGATAGCAACTCATTGAAGGGCATCTCTAAAAATAAATTATATAACACGCGTGGGCTCCCTCTTGGTCACTCTGGAATGCAGTGATCACTGTTCACTACTGTGTGCCCCTCAATTACACTGAGCTACACAGGTGGAGAAGGCCTACAATTTAACCTTTTTAAAACAGGTAATGATATTTACAGACATCAATAATGTAATATTAAGGCACTCTGGCTCAGATAAGGTTCTATTTATTGCATAACATTTTAGCCTGACCTGATTGCATATTACCATAATTAACAGCAAGGATAAGGCTCTTGGTTCATTGACAAAAACCACTCCCACTGTGTGTCAATAATGTCTGAAGTCTAACTGTGTGGAGTATTTCATTTTACAAAATACAACAAAGAAAGGAACAAAATATTAATCATAGTAATAATTTCTTACCAACAACAATTCCATATGAAAATATAAGGAATTGTACATTGGGAGCAAAGGCACTGAGCATCAAGCCTCCAGCCACCATTACACCACTGAAGACAGTCACAGGGCGGGCTCCAAAGTTTTCTACACAAGCACTGCAGACAGGACCTGAGGGAGAGACACAGATAAGTCAAACAGAAAAATCTATTATTGAGTACACATAGAAGGAAGCAACAAAGTGTTGGTCATGGAAGAGTTTTAGAACTGCAGAATAAAAAACAGAAACATCAGTGAATCCTTATACAGTTAATTACAGGTCCTTTATCACGCAAAATTTCATCTTCACCTTTAAACCATGTTAGAATGCTGTTACCTCATCAAAACATACCTGGAGTTTTGTTTCATTCACACGTTTAAGTAATCCTTCAGTCTTCATCTCGAAAGCTCACAATGCTCTGTTCCACCTTATGATGTCATGTAGTTTTCAACTTAAGAGCTATCTTTTACTTTTTGTTCAGTAGAGTGGCAGTCCCAGGGTTGCAATTGTCCACATGATTCTAGTGACATGTATGGAGTTTAAAAACACAGTGGAGCACTTTTTTCCACATGACATCACATGGTGTTGTCTGTTTGAGAGAAGAACCCAAATATCAAACATGTTAAACATGTGTGAATGAAACAAAACACAGCTGCTGGTATGTTTTTGATGTGGAAACAACATTATATTATAACTCAGATCAGAAAATAGTGCAGTATGAGCCCTTTTAAATTACCTTACATGAATTATATCACTCAAGACACAATATTTTCATACCCTATGGTGACACCATTAACATGACATATACTGTATGGCAGCAGCAGACCCTGGGCAGAGCAGTGAGTGCAGCAGGAATGTGCACTGTGACTCAGAAGACACGTGTCCAGTGCACATCCACAGGTCCTCACCAATGTGTTCAGTCAGGGTTTTTAACCTCCCCTCAGGGAAAAGAGGTCCTGCCGGCCTGACAGGCGCTATCTTTATACAAGTGACACAGATACAGCCCGACTGTGTCTCGACCTTCCACAGGGCTCACATTAACTTTAAGTGATCCTTCGACATTCAAAGCATGGATGACTTGCAGTTGTTTCTTGCCCTCTTAGAAAAATCAATACCTGTAAGTCTGTCCAGGGAGCAACTAAATACCATTCCCTTTACTGGTAATTACTCTCTCCATCCAGTTAAAATGCAGTTTAGTATTCCAGTTATACACACATCCTGGTTATAAACAAATACATTTAGCAATTAACTGAAAGCTCATTAAAATACAAAATGATTTGCTTACTGGCAATAAGACCCACTCCGGCAACCAGGGAGCCCACCCATGCAGTCATGCCTTTGCCCTCCTGGAAGGTGTGGAGCCACTCGGGGTACAGCACCCCCACAGACTGCGGGGAACCGTAGGCCAGGAGCTGGGCCATAAAAGAGGCTGCCACGATGGCCCATCCCCAGCCTCCATCCAGCTCTTTAGCGGAAGCCATGGCTGTTACTGCCCTCTGGGGTCTGCTACAGCACTAGCACAGCAGGAGCGCCTGAGAGGAACAACAGGAAAACACATTGGAAAAACAGACACCAGCAAAACAACAAAAGTTTGGTAGAGCGAAAACCAAACAGATGAGCTGCTCTGAGCCATGTGCACTTACAAAGCCTAGATGTAAGAAGGCTGCTGCAGAGCTGAGCTAAGGCCAACAGGCACTTCATCTATGAGTGTAGCTCATCTACAGACAACCTCTTTTTGTCGCTTTCTCTAACCACACCTTTAGAGGAGGGGAAAGAAACAAAAGTAGCCTGCTTTGTAGTCCCATCCCCCTCTCCAGTTTTATATTAGACAACTAAACTGCTTTACTTAAAGCCAGCAATGGTCCGCAACTCCAGGAGACCCAAGTCTTTCAAAGCTTTATAAATAATTTGTGAAGAAGCCACTTTATCTCTGCGGCAAAAGCATCACTTTCTTTTTCTGAACTGTTTTCCTGTCTAAACAGTCCTCATAATAAGACTTAAGAATTAAACATCAAATACGCATTCAATGACAGTTACGTTATTTAAGCGCCTTTACTGTTGCCAGTAACACCAAATATGTACACAATTTCTATGTCAGTGTGATGTAAACAAAAATGATACAGACGTGGTAGGGTATGGTAAGAAATACATCGCGAACTTACCTCAGCATCTATAAAAACAGCTGCACTCGGCCGCAGAGGTACGCGCTCTGCAGAAACTTTCCATGTAGGAAAGGTCTGACGATATGACTAATATGTTAACCTCTGCAACAAACAAAGACACATCTATGGTCTGAACCGGACAAAGAGGGAGCGATGTGCGCGCATGAAGCCTTCTGCAGCAACAATGCGCACTGAATATCCGTTCATCCTGCTTTGTAGCCGGCAGCCAAACCGGTTCAAAGCTGTTCTCGCTGGTCCCCGACAAATAGAGGAAGACGCGCTGGCTCCTCTTGCGCGTCAGGAGCGCACTGGACTACATCGACGCGCACTTACGGCTCACATTAATAATACCACTTCCACTTTAGAGCTCGTGTGCATATACGCATATATAGCATTTCCTTTGTGATAGAAATCTTGATCTTAATCGGGAGGGAGCATAAAATCACACTCATATGCAATTTATCTGTTAGACTTCCCCTTCATCGCCTACACATTGCAGATTGTCTTTTTATGTTATTTGTGTGTATGTTATTTTGTGACTGAACAATATAAAAGTTGTACTGACTAACGATTGTGGCTGGTTTCTTCTACAGGAGTGAAGTCAGTCCAGTCTGAGCCGGTTGCTGGTGTTAATAACAGCACCACGTTGCACAGCAGATCGCACTGCCGGGGTCGTCCTCATCTTCAGCTTTTGGAAGATTTGAAAGAATATCCTTACAACCTCTCCACAGTCTCATATTTAACACGACATAAACACCAAAGAGGATATGATTCACCCGCAAGTGTGTGAGAATCAGTCACAGACAATAGCAGACCGCTGCGTTTATAATACGATCAAGTTTATTACTACAGCCTTGACCCTTAGTATTTGTCATTGTCACAAACATTCAGTCAGTCTGGGTGATTCTTAGACTTTCTCTGTCTGCATGAGATTGAAGAGAGACGTACTCGTATTAAGAAGTAAAGAGAAGAATTCATGTCATGTGAGTGCCCTTAACCCGCGGTCATTAGCACGAGGAGCAGTGTGTGGTGAGCGCCTTTACAAAAGCTGGGCTGATGGGAAAGAGCAGAGATGAAAGCACGCGGCCACAGACGGGGAGGGAGGTCAAACTGGCCCTTACACCAAACGCACTGGACATTCTTGAGGACCTTTCACGATTTTCCCATAGTGGAAAAATGCTGCCATGAAGGGTCTTACATTAAAAAAAAGGTTTAAACTGCATAATCCCCTCGTGCCAGGAAAAAAAAAAAGTGGAAAGGCATTGTGCTACACGTTAACAAGCTGTTCTAGACCAGTTCCAACCAGTGAAACTAATATAGCTTTATACAGTTACAGGACATGGGTGAGAGTAGGGCAATGATATGCTTTATAACACATGATAGCACTTTATTGATCTTGGTTATAATCAATGCTGGTGCCAAATATCAAATACTGACGTGCACAAGATACTGTTACTGTTAATGGGTCCAAAATACTGGAATTCCAGATTACACTGAACATTTAAAGGGCCCGTGTTACGCTGATTTCTGATCTATCCGTTTATACTAATCAAAAACATACCTGAAGTTGTGTTTTGATTCATTCACACGTTTAACACACAAACTATGCATATTTATTAAGTTGAGTTCTTCTCACAAACACAAAACACTCTGCTCCATCTTGTGATGTCATGTGGTAATACAAGAAGTGCTCCACTGTGTTTTTAAACTCCATACACATTCACTAGGATCATTTGGATGATTACAGCTCTGGAATTGCCAGTCTCTACTGAACTAAAGGTAACAGGTAGCAATTAACTTAATAAAACTATCACTTCATGACATCACAAGGTCGAATTTTGAGCTTTGGAGATGTAGACAGAACAATGATAATGTGTTACTTAAACGTGCAAATGAAACAAAAGACCACTCCTGGTGTGTATTTGATGAGGTAATAACATTTGAATATAAAAGTTAAATTTGCCTTATATAGCCCCTTTAAAATTCAAACTAAAATGAAAAAGAACAGTAACCCAATACTTGTGAGTTCTAACACACACAGCGTGGTCAATACATGTGAAAACAATAGCACACTGGAAAACAGTATTATGTCACAGTGAGCTTGGCCTTTATCTATACAAATCCATATAGTGATAAGGTGGGTCACTAATCAGTTCATTCAGAGCTATTTTTCAAGATATTCTTTTATCTCTGAATTTTCACACTGTTGAGGAATTTGTTGCATCATCATTTTACAAGATTATCTAACCATACTCCCTTTGCATCTCTTATGTCCTAATAATTAGCAGACCATGGAGTATGCCTAGCCAAGCACTACATCATGCATTTACAGGTGACCCCTTTCTGGTGACAAAACAAGCAATTAATTGATAAGTTACTAAGTATAACATATTTCCTGGACTTAGATAGGCTTTGGAGGCTGTGGTGCTCTGGTGTTTATTTGGGTATTATTTGAAGATAATGTCATGGTTGAAAATGGTCAGACAATAAATAAATTCCACATTAAACATGGAAACACTGGCCAGTGAATTATAATATAACATAATTAAAATTATAACTGGCTCTGATGTATTACTTATCATGGTCTCTAATCATATAGGGCTCACTCTCTTAACCCATGAACCACAAAATTATTTTGATCGAGGGAAAAATAGAAAGTTTATTCAATAGTCTAAACAAGGCTTGACACTCTTCCAATGCAGTGCTAAACAGACTGCCATATGTTGGTTTATGAAATCATATATCAAGACCTCTGTCCTAAAGCCAAAACCTTTATTAGACATAAGGCATTTAACCATTTGGAGACTATCTTACCTTTTGTGTTTGGGGGTCACAAATGCCATTGGTTGTTTTTTATGGGGGTTACAAACATGCAAACACTGAGAAGCACAGGTATAGACCAACCAGAGGTTCCAGATGAATATAGTTATGTGCTCAGAGTTTTAAATACAGGCTATTCAGGCCAATATTTTATATATTTATTAGTATTTATCACAATTTATGTACACTACCTGTCAAAAGTTTGGATACACCCTCTCATTCAGGCTTTTTTTTTTTTTTCTTAATGTGTATTCCTTACATTTTATATACATACAGAATATATAAAATATATGATGCAAGATATATGGAATTATTTAGTAAAAGTAAAATAACACAGATTATATATATATATATATATATATATATATATATATATATATATATATATATATATATATATATATATATATATATATATATATATATATATATATATATATATATAATCAAATCCTCACAGTAGCCACCCTCAGCTTTGTTGACAACACTGCAAACCCTTGGTCTTCTCTAAATGATCTTTATAGTAAAGTCTCCTGAAATGGTTTTCACTTCACTTCTCATGGTCAAAAACTGCCAAAATTGCAACTAAGGTTCAAAGCAAAGGCTGACTTTTTAAAAAAGTATTTTGTGTGCTACATTTCATATGTTGTCCATTCATAGTTTTGATGCCTTTCGTGAGAGTCTACAATGCAAATAATCATGGAAATAAAGTGGAAAAATAAATGCATCCAGACATTTGACTGGTAGTGTATGAATGAGAGGGTACTCATGGTGGGATGACTAAAGTCCAGGTATTGAAAATAAAATTATAATGATAAAAATCTAATAAAACTTAAAATGAACTATTTTATATAGAGAAAGTTTCCCAGCAGTTCCACCCAAGCTGACCTGAAATCCCTCTCATGCTGTTATGTCTGTTGTAGTGTGACACCCAAGAAGCCGCCTCTTGCTGTTCTCTGCTGAAGGAGACTTGACCACTGGCTCCACAGATCCATAAAGGTCAAAGGTCATCACACCACACAGTCCGATTCCTGCTTGGATTAGTTCAGGTTTCCAACTTGGATTGTGACAAAGAACACTGCGTCATAGAAATAACACATTTGTAACATACATCTCCGTAAGATTTTCATTAAAAATAATATTCAGTGCTCTTCAGTTATGTGCAGAGTAAGGGTCAACCTACCGCAGTGTGTGAGCAATAGGAGGCCGGAAAGTGTTGACGCAGAAAAGAGTCATCTGTGTCAGGTTTATGGTGTCAAATTATCTTGATTTATGACGCTTTCATTGTGGCCATAACCTGGGAAGAAAGGCCCTACAGAAACACCTGCCTGTGAATAACATGACCCTCTGTAAAACATGTCAATCTCACAGCCAATAAGATACAAAGAACTGCCATGTTAAGTGGGTATCTTCAGGTGTTTTCTGCAGTTAGGTTCTTCCAACTAAGATCTTAAGAAAAGGTTAAAGGCGCACGATACAACTCTTCTGGTGGAAGGCCGCCACCTGGTTTTCTCCATGAATATATTTTAGCTTTGTCTAGAATATTTTCATCAATACGACATTGAAGTTACTATGACAACACAAGAAGTTACAGGTCAGATCTGAGGAGTTGTAATGGCCACACAGTATGAAAGTATGTTTTTCAAGGGATTTTGAGCAATAAAATCAGCTGTAATTGAGTAAATTCACAATAGATAACATGAATGCCATATGGTGGAACATTCCAGGCAATAATCCCCTATAAGTTACCTCAGCCATGATACGCTGCTTGATGAAAAAAAGGCACCACCAATGAAATAAGCAGTATCCTGTCATTGGATACTTGTCATGGTCTATAAGTATAGGTTCGGCAACATAAAACAGCCAAAGAATGAGATTAGCTGAGTACTTTAAGATACTGGATCATTCAAATTTTTTATTTAAAGGGGGAAATTTAAGTTGGTGACCTGGTTTTCCTTCTATGTTTTTTTTTTTCCTCCATGGCAGCAGGATCCAAGATGACTGTGCCAGGGATTAATTGGGCTCCAATTGCGACAGACCTTAAGTTAACCCCATTAGGACTACATACAATACCATAGTGAATGTGAGCCATACTAGAAGCTAAAAGGGGTCAGACAAAATGTGACACTTTGTTTGGCCAAGCAGTGTATAAAGCTCAATACTTATTACAGCCTTTAGCAGTGTTTCTCAAACTTTAACCATCTTAGAAAATAGTTATTCTTAAAACCAAATTTAAACCGGGTCTATAACAGGACTGTTTCAGGTCTAATTAGATATAAACAAGGTCTAAGCAGGACTAAATCACTGTACCTACACTATGCAACAGGAGTTCTAAATGAGAACTAAAGAGGTCATCCATATACGAACAGAACAAGCTTGTGTACCAGTTTGGGAACCACTGACCTATAGGACTCACCTGGTGTAAATATATTAAAGTTCAAATATTATATAAAATTCTGAGCTTTAAACCATGTTGTAATGTTGTTATCTGATCAAAAACATACCTGAACTTTACATTTTGTTCAGTAGTGATTTGGACCATTTCAGCCCTGAAATTCCCATCTCTACTGAACAAAATGTAAAGTCCAGATATACATAAACAATATATACAATATAAACAAAAACAAAAAACATATAACTGAAAGTTTTTTATTCCACAATCTTCTCTCTTCTTTAAATGTTATTTTTATGATAATTATTTGTTTTGATTTCTTTGCATTGTGGTTGTAATGTCTTTCTTATTCTGTAAAGCACTTTAAATTATTTTGTGACCAAGTAAACTTGCCTTGCCTTGATGAGGAAACAACTCTGTAACATAAATCAGAAAATTGTGTAATGAGTCCTTTAAAAATCTTTATGTGTAACAATCTAAACACAAACCAAGATGATTTTTCTGACTAAACTCCACTTCAAAATCTTTCTGAAAATAAAAAGATGCTTAATAGTTTATGTTTGTAACCATTCTTGCTGTAGAGTGCAGGCGTGGAGATAATTACATTCACAAAACTGTTAAGTGTTGTCATCTCAAGAGCTTTAATCATACATAGAAACTTTGATCAACAGTACCATTCAATTAGAATGTATAGCAGTATGTATATTTAGTGTGAAGAGCATTATGCGTTTTCCTTTTTCTGATGAGGAATATCCATTAGGATGAAAGAAGCGTTCACCAGAGAAGAGCAGAAAAGAGACTGAGTACATGACTAAGTGTTACACCTCGGACTACATTTTATACACCTCAAAAAGGCGACATTGATCAGTAAGTATGTACCAGTGTCCTCTATGTATTTTTTTCTATTACACTGATGAGCTGAAGATACCTTGAAGGGCTTTGGAGAAGAATTGCATGGTGAATTCTATTTGATCAATGCCCTGCTATTATAGACTTGCCCTGTTGGCCATAATCAAAGCAGTGTTAAATTCTGGGTTATGTGAAATGCGAACTGCTAGTGTTTTAGCAGTGGGGGTGTGCCAGCGTGGAGGACAATTACTGTGAGTCATATTTTAGGCATGAAAACAAAAGAATCAACCACATCCAACATCTTTTTTTCTCTAGCCAAACATCCAAGCACTGCTCCAAACATTCCAACTCTCTAGACCAATCAGAACACGCCACCATTGTCCTTTGTGCTATGTCAAAAAGCGCCACAACATCTCAGCCCGGCTACAGTCCCAAGCAACAAAAACAAAAACGTAACATGTACACGACAGAATGTGGAACAGATGATGGGCTTGCGAATCCCAAGAAGCGATTAATTTTTAGTCCATCCATTCCTTTTTAAGAGAAGTAACGCCACATTTATAAGAAAGGCAGCTAGCATCACTGCCAACGTGCCATGCCGCCTTCAGGTTTTTCTCCTTTTCGGAGCTGCTTCGTTAGTGGAGGTGGTCAGATGTTGCCGTCCACCGCTGGGATTAATGGAAGTTGCTGTTGCAGTAGCGTCGTGGCATTTGTAGGGCATTTGCTGGGCCCATCGAGGAGCGCTTGTGGCCTTAAGGCTGGGAGGGAGGCTGCTGTGCTGTGCTGGCTCCGGCCGTGTGCATAGCTGCCGGGGAGGACATGGACTGGACCATGGGCTGAGCAGGAGGGGGGAGCGGGGGCTGAGGCTGCAGGGCCCCTGAGTGCGTGTTCGGGGAGGGTGGGGGCGTCGGACGTTTGAACTTGTCTGGGCTGGTGCTTCTTCTAGGAGAGGGCCTCTGTTCACAAAAACGAAGACAACAACAAGAGACAGGTTTAACATCAGCATGTGAAAAAGAATCTTACAATATCATCACGCAAGGCTTGTCATAATAAACCAACTGATTATTCAATATATAGCTGGCATAATATATTTTTGAGGTCAGTACTTGTGTGTACAATTTCTTTGTACTACTGGAAAATTTGTTATTTTTTGGTTACACAATAAGATTTGAGCCATAAAAGACTGAATTAATAACTTCTATGACTCATTACAGATGCAAGCTAAGTAGTAAAGTATTTCAGTCTGCTATTTATTGCAGCTCATTATTTTACAGTATTTTACATTTAGAGTCATTTTTGTGGTTTCAATCTGCTCTTACATTATTGTGTCAGAGGCATAAATTGGTTTCAATATTATTGTTTATCATCTATATGTACATCAGCTCATGAGGCTAGTAGTAATAGGAGTGAATTAGGAACAAATTACAAATAGGAATGATTTACGAACAAAAAAGCTAACACCAGGATCATGTAGAGTGGTTTAATACAAACATTTTAAGACCAAAATGATGAGGCTCACAGCAGTAACAGAGAGAAGGGTGAGGAGTACTTTTCCAAATTAAAGTCACTTGGAGTCGAAGCCAGAAGAGCCTGAACACTTCCTATTTGGTGGTGGCTAGGGGGTTAACCATGTCCATTTATATATACAGTCTAGACTAGTGTAGATGATTTCTGGTAGCCTCCTGAGATGAGACCAATTTATATCAATGGCCTGCCAGTAAAACTCCTGTTTGAACAACAACTACTAATTAAAGCCACGCGCGGCGATGGTGGCCCTCGCCCCAGCGCGCAGTCGCCCCAGCGCGCAGTCGCCCCCCCACGCGACCTCCGGGGGACTCGCGACCGCCCCGGCACGTCACCCTCTCTTCCCGACAGCTCCCGAGGCCGACAGCTCGTCCACCAGAGAAATTACGCAGTGTACCTTTAAATGTTTCAGGAGTCATTGCGCCCCTACTGGCCAACCATGAAAAATGCCCAATATCCGTAATATACTTTTTAGTTCACAATCATGCATCGAATTTAATCCCCGACTTTGGTACAAATCCGACATTGTTAACGTTTCATGCGTATGCTAGGGGGCGCTATAGAGTTCACAGTTCATATGTTTTATAGTGTATTATAATCAGGTCGAAATCAGGCATTAGTGATTCAAATTTCAGCATGATGGGACTAAGCCTGTGGGTGTAATAATTTTTTAACTATTTTTTGGGGGAGTCTTTGCGCCCCTGCTGGCCAATGGTGGAAAATGCATCATGTCCGTAATTAACTTTTTTGCTTGTAATCAAGCATAGAATTTATGCCCCGAATTTGGTACTAATCCGATAATGTTGATGTTTCACGTCTATACTAGGGGGCGCTATAGAGTTCACTTTTATTAAATTTCATATTTCATTACATTCACACCAGCATCACGCAATTGTGTTTTGAATTTGAGTTCTCTAGGCCAATGCCTGTGGCCGTGACAGGTCACCGAAAAAACAGGAAATGAAGGCGTTTTTCGGCGGCGTGCTACAGGCGAACCGTAAGGAGTATCCCAAAAAAAGTTGAAAATTTCTGTGAGTTTATCTGTAGATGTGACATGTCAAATCTGAGCTCATTTGGACCAAACCCCGGGGACTTGAATCTTTTTGTAGACACCCAAGTCAAAACGGCGGCGAATCTTTGATCCAATATGGCCGACTTCCTGTTCGTCATAGGGGTGCACAATGATTGGCTTTTTCGCTTGTCTCCTTGAGTTCTATGACTGTTCCGAACTTTGTGACCGTAGGACAAAATATGCCTCTCAGCCTCCCATTCATTTCAAAATTTTCAAATTTCAAGGGGGCGCTGTTGAGTGGGGGGGCTTTGGGCATTGTCGCGATGCCCGTTTTATCAAATTTTTCGCCGGGCCGATCGATCTGAACCTCGGTTTGGGGACTTTTCGTCCATTAGTGGCGAGGGCCAATGATGCCCTGCAGCATTAGCATTTCCAATACTTTATTTAGAAAGAGTGGAGGATAAACAGAGTGAAGAGACACCAATAGAGATCAACTGATGTTTTTTTTTTTTTTCAAGGTCAAGGCCGATACCGATTGTCTAGAATACCTAAGCAACCGACAGCCGATAAGCTCGGCTGATATTTTTGGGCCCATATGTGAGGCAGATTACTTTGCCCATATTATTTCCCCCAACGCCTTTTTACCACAAACCTAAATGAGAGCTGTGTAGTTACATTTTGTGCTGCTATTTTGTGCTGCTACTTTAAAAAGTCAAAATATTGACCTGATATATCAGTCAACAGGTATTTGGTCCATCTCTAGACACCAATACTTCCCTTAACAAACAGATGTACCGGACAGTTGGACTGAGAGCAAAATCTTCAGGAATGCGTGGAAGAAACTGTCAGGACGGCCTAACTTTGTTTATGATATGGCATGTGGTGGACCCTTTACATGAGGCAAATTGGCTCAACAAAGAGTGTCTGACATGCCCCCTTTCTCCCACTGTCTCTTTGGGCAGTCTCTCTTGCATAATGAAACTGCTTCATGGAGCAATATTTAAGTTTGCTCAATGCTCATTATGTAGCAATACTATGAATACCATTTAGCAATATTTCATTCACAGTCACAAAACAACTTGTTGCTCAAAGTTGAATATGCTGACATGGTTATAACCTCCCACAGACTGAAGATTTGATGATTAATTGAAATAAAATTCAGATGCATCAGTGTTAAACAGTCCCAGCAAAAAAGAGCCTGCTGAAAACCCCAGGCTTGTGTAATTCACTGTCACTAATCAATGGGGCTAATAATACATGAATAAATGAAACTCAGACAAAGCTGAATTGTTGGTCAACATAATTATTAAAAGAAACAAACTAATGAAACTGGCCTGGACAAAAATGATGGTATCCCTAGAAAAGACTAAGTAACTGGATAATAGGGACATTTTAAACTTGTGTGTTCTCTAATTCATCATAGGTGTCATCAAAAGTGTACTCGGTCAGTCTGCCTATTAATGATAAATGGTCACATTTTTCTATAGCGCTTTTCCACCTTCAAGGTGCTCAAAGCCAACCATTCACACACCAGTGTACACAGACACTGTGAGCAAGGTGGGTTAAATGTCTTGCCCAAGGACACAATGACAGCATTCATCTGTGGGAGCTGGAATCACACCAGCCAGTCAGTGGATCTGACCGCTCAACCTGAGATGTTTATGTTGAGAGCTGGATTCGAACCGCCAACCTTTAGATCAGTGGGCGAATGCCACCCCATTAAAGTTGTTATTGTGCTGTTTGGAGACATGATGGATACAACACTGAACATGGACTAGAGAAAGCGAAGAAGAGAACCGTGTCAGGAGAATAGAAAGAAAATGATAGACAAGCAGGTTAAAGATAACAGCCATAAGACCGTCTCCAAGCAGCTTGATTTTCCTGTGATTACAGTTACACATGTTCTTCAGAAGTTTAGGACTGTAGGCAACCTCCCTGGACGTGGCTGCAAGAGGAAAATTTATGACAGTTTGAAGAGATGGATCATACAAATGGTAACCAAAGAGCCAAGAACAACCTCCAAACAAATTAAATGTGAACTTGAAGGGCGAGGTACATCAGTGACAGAGTGCACCATCCGTCACTGTTTATGCCAAAGTGGACTTCATGTGAGGACACCACTGCTGAGAGCAAATCATATAAAAGTGAATCATGAATTTGCCACAGTGCATATTGATAAGCCACAAAGCTTCTGGGAGAATGTCCTTTGGACAGATGAGAAAACTGAACTATTTGGCAAAACACATCAGCTCTATGTTCACAGATGAAAAAATGAACCCCACCAAGAAAAGAACACTGTCCCTACTGTGAAGCATGGAGGAGGCTTGGTCATGTTCTGGGGCTGTTTTGCTGCATCTGGCACAGGGTGTCTTGAATCTGTGCAAGATACAATGAAATCTCAAGACTATCAAGTCATTTTGGAATTAAATGTGTCACCTTGTGTCAGTAAGCTTGGTCTCAGTCGTAGGTCATGAGTATTCCAATAGTATAATGCCCCAAAACATATAGCTAAAAACACCCAAGAATGGCTAAGAACAGCACACTGGACTGTTCTGGAGTGGCCTTCTGTGAGCCCAAATCTCAATCCTGAACATCTGTGAAGAGCTGTTTGCTCATGTGGAGTGGGTCAAAACACCAGTTGACCAAAGCAAAAGCCTCATTGACAGTTCCAGAAACCGTTTGATTGCAGACTTTACCTCTAAAGGTTGTGCGACAAAATATTACGTTAGAGGTACCATCATTTTGTTCCAGGCCAGTTTTAGTTTGTTTTTTCTAATTATTCTGTTTACCCACAGGTGAAAAGCAATGCTTGATTTTCGCTGGACAATTTTCAGTACATTTTTATTATTGCTTTTAATCACTTTCAAGTTATTTCAGTGACCATTGTTGATTTTTCTTTCATTGCATGAGGGGTACCAATAATTTTGTCCACGTCTGTAGATATATAGAGTGCAAGTCAGGCATATTGTCCTGATCACTGTGAAATAATTTATACGACAGGAGACACGAAGGATTCTGCATTAGTTTGACTATATTTTATAGCCAGCAAAATGTATGAAATCTTTCTCGCTATATTGTTCCTGAGCTACAAGTGGGTGACCGACTTCATGTGATGTTGGACTCACCGCTACGGCGTGAGAGGAGCTTCCGTGGACGTGCAGGGCAGGCGTGTTGTAGTGGGGCATTGCTCGGGACAGAGTGGCTGGAGGCGTGAAACCAACTGTGTGGCCTCCATATGACAGACCTGAAAATAATGACCAACAGTTACCCATACACTGCTGACCTTAGCGTGCCATGATGAAATAACACTTTACAAAAGTGAAACACTTCACAATTAGCTGCCAAAACATGGTAGATAGCACATAGGAGTTCTAGTACTCCTGTACTAACAATAGACTCTAATCTAATCTGGCTAATTGGCCTTTGTGCTGATATATATATCAGTCATATTTTGAAGCCTTTGTGAACACAGGCAACAGAGTCTTGGCCTTACATAATCAGTTTTGATAAGAAAAAGGTGGCTCATTTTTATTACACCTTTTACTAGTTAGTTGATCCTAGTTTCCTTGTACATCAGTGATTCATTTATTAATAGTGATTACACTACAGTATTTTTTTTATTATTGTGACCAGTAGCAAAGATCACAGAAACACAAATGGACTTAGTGTTGTGAATGCATGCAGTATTTCATGACAAGCATAACCAGATGTACCCACCAGGTGATATTGGCCTGCTGGAACTGGGAGAGGGGGTATAAGGGATGGGGCTGGAGACAGTGCGTGCTCGCAGACCCTGGGCAGACATCTCATTGAAGTACCTACAAAAACCATCATCAACTGAATGCAATAAGTACCAAGCTACTCTACAAGCTTTAAGGCCTATTCAAAAGCTTGTGGACACATGTAGAATATATTATGTTCCTCCAAAATGATTCTATCAAATACTAATCCCAAAGTGAACATCATAAGCCCCTAAGCGTTTTGTGGTTCTCATACCTCTCGTCGTCCATTTCCAGACTGGACTCGCTCTCAGACAGCTGTCTGCACAAAGCCTCTCTGCGCTCCATCTCCCGCTGCAGCTTCCTCTGCAGCCGGATGTTCTCCTCCCTCATGTGCCGCTCCTCTTCAATGTACTGAGCACGTTTCTCAGTGTCTGTGTGGCCCAACAAAAGTTATGTCAACATTTTTTCAGTTTCAACCCCACATCACACTTCAGTCATAAAAAAATATATTTATTTTTATTTATATTTATATATATATATATTTATATATATATATATACATACATAATATATATATAATAATAAAAATTTATATTCATATTCTGGTGCGACTAATATTGATTCGTTAACAATGAGCCAAATGAGTACAAGAAGAAAAACTTTGCTTTTGTAACTATGTATTAAGTAAAGCCTGAAAAAGACCAAACAGGAGGCCAACTTGTCCATTTTCTTGAAGACAGTAAAAACCCTACCTATTGTACAGTTTAGTACTTAAGTATATATACACCAACTATTTATTTGGGGTCCTGCTATAAGGCTTAAGCTATCCACTGGCACCCTCTAGTGGTGAATCTTTACCATAAAACAAAATAAAAGCAATAAATGCCCCAGTCCATTTTCTTTCAGCACATTTAAAAAAAAAAAAAAAAAAAAAAAAAAGTTTTTTTATTTACACAAGATGCACTTCCTGCAGCAACCAGCCACACTCGGACATGGCAAGTGACCCTCAAATGTGGGGATGAATGCATAATTGTATGCAAACATTTGGAAAGTGTGTACTTGACTTAAAGGTCCTATATTATGCAAAATTTACTCTTGTGAGCTGTAAACCATAACATTGCTACCTCATTAAAAAAATACCTGAAGTTGTGTTTTGTTTCATTAACACATGTTTGAGTCCATATCTTCAGAGGTCAAACTGCTCTGTTCCACCTTGTGATGTCATGAAGAGGGAGAGGTCATGTTAACAGCTACCTTTTATCTTTAGTCCAGTAGAGATTGGCAATTTCAGGCCTGAAATCATCCAAATGATGGTATATGGTGAAGGTATATGGAATTTAAAAACACAGTGGAGCACTTCCAGAATTATCACATGACATCAAGTGAAACAGAGTGTTTTCCATTTCAGAGAAGAACTCATGTTTAATATGCAGGATTGAATGAAACAAAACACAACTTCAGGTATGTTTGTGATGAGGAAACAACATTATTATATAGATTAGAAAATAATGTAATAGTGGCCCTTTAGCTGATTATTCACCCCTCCCTCTGTGTAAGTCATTTTTGCGCATCTCAAGTCTGTAAGATGTGGACCAGTCATCAGGCCACTTACGCTGCAGCTCTGTGGTACGGAGGCTCTTCTTCAGCCTCTCCACCTCATTCTTGAGGAAGCGGATATGCCGCATCATGTTCTCTGGCGAGTCGATCTCCATGGAAACATCCCTGGGGGAGGGAGGAGCTGACACAGGCTGGTCCAACTTCTCCTGAAGGATCCTAGTTTGAAAATTAAAAACAAAAACATGAGTACTCCATTGGCATCAAGATGAAAGCTAGCCCTGTACTGTATGTTTAGTTGGATGACAATTACCTTTTCTCAGCCTCAAGTTTGTCCATCCTTTTCCACAGCCTGTTGACCAGGGCCTCCTGTTCTTGCTCTAATGTATTCTCCAGGTCAATTTTTTCACGCCGTAACTAAGCATGAGAGAGACATGTGTCCAGTTAATGAAAAAACACACAGACAAATCCACATTATGGAAGGATGCTTTTGTAAATGCTAAGTAAATTAATAAAAAGAACAAAAACATTTGAAAAGAAAAAATATCATAAAAATTTCATGGTTGCAAAACACAGTAGAATTGAGGAAGCATGACACATACTAACACATGTGTACTATACACACATTGAGTGTATACTGATAATAAGAGAATTATTGATACTATGTGGAAAAAGACACCGTTGTATTGCAGTCACTGTGGATTACTGAAATGTTTATGCATCTGAGCTCAGGACACTTACCTGTTCTAGGGTTAGTTGCTTTGAAATGGTCTCATTCTCCATCTTCTTTATTTTCTTCATGAGCTTGTTTACCTGGAACTCCTGCTCCTGTTCCAAATGCTGTTCCAGCTCCGCCTTCTCATGTTGGAGCTTGAATAAATAAATAAAATAAAGAAAATAGTTGCATTTATAAAGAGGACAAGGCCATAACAAAGAGGTGAGGAAATGAAAGCATGATGGATTATGTAACTGATTAGTCACTGCAGAGAACAGAATACAAATTACAATATGTATAATAAACATGGTGGCACGCTTATAAACATGATTATACTGGTCCCACAAAAGGAAATTGTTTGTTGTTTGAAAAGATATAAAACAAAACCAGATGCCCTGCTGCTTTAGAAATGTTCCTCAGTTCAGTTGAATTATTCAAAAGTAACCCACAGTAAGCACATAGTAGTTAGCCTTGCAAGAGTGAACCTAACCCCTGAGCCCTTTATCAAACTACAGGGCTTTTTAAGCAGACTAAGCAGTACATAAAGTTTTAAACCTGCAAAAGGGGAACTACTCAGGACCTATTCGGGCAAGGGTCAGATAGAAGGCTGGCCAGTGACGCTCAAATCCATGTCAATTGTCAGGTAATGTAAACAATGATTTGACAGTTTGTGGTCATCTTGAACACTTGACCACTTCCAAGTTAGACAACACTGAAGATGAGGAAAAAAACACACAACTTTATCACCTACAGTCCAGCTCAGATATTTGTAATGTGTGGCCTTACAAGATTCCTCCTACATTACACATACACACATGAGTAATTCAACGTCTGCAGCTTGCCACAAACAGTCCATCTGCATGTTAAGTGCTAAAGAACTTGAGCAAAAAGAGAAGACTGGGCCAATTAACAGTCACAAGTGAAGAATGACTACAAGGAACATGACAAGACTTGAGACAGACTTGAGGACTTGTTATGATACCTAGTTTGAGTCACATGCCAACATAACCTCTCAGAAGTAATTAAACATGCAACAATTACATATGCAGAATTTGTCATAAATTTTGAAATCACTGCACATCACCTTCCCACTAAAGATGCTTAAAAATGGTGTTATCTTGGGTCCCATCACTTACTTGCATGAGCTTCCTTGAGAGCTCATTTGTGAGAAATTCCTCCTCTTTTTCATAGTTAACTGCCAAGGTCTCCTTTTCTTTCTGCAGGGCTTGGATCTTTTTAAACAGGGTGTTACTGATAAATTCTTCTTCTTGTTCAGCTCTGGCTTGCTGCAAAACAAAATGGCAAAAATGGGAAATAGTTAGTACGGAGACAGTTTATTTCATGGACTAATCAAAGTGAATACAACGGTACCTTAAGATAACACTAATAGAAAGTCCACATTTAGTCAACATTTGCTTGAGATTACCAGTTTTGCCACAGTTTAACATTAAAACTATGCACAATCAGAAAATCGGCTTAATTATGTAAGACTGAAATCAGTTTTGAAATAATTTAACAAAAAGAGTTACATCTCCTTGATTAAACCAAAGTAGTTGCAGCAATGGTTGATTTAAAGAGGGGAGTAAAAAGAACTGTGAGTAATAAATAAAGGAGACAGCCTCTGCAGCTGGTGTGATGATACAGCCAGTTTCCCGGTTTTCCAGCCTCCTCTTTCTACCCTGACCTCAAAGCAAAATGCTGTGCTGCAAGCTGTGAGAATGTGTCAGCTGGGAACAATGACAGCACAATGGACACCAAACAGCCAGTTAAGCTACACACATATACACAGGGTGGGCTCACGGCACCGTGGCTTTCTCGCTTTACACGAGCCTGACTAGCTGGCTAACTTTGGCCTACATACTTCCCATCTATCCTCCAGATCGGTTACACATTTTATGAAGCTAGGTTGATTAACTGAGCATGAGGACATATGACGCATGGTGCCGCTAAACTACTCTCCTCACTCAGTTGCCATCTCACATCTTCATTGGCATAAGCTGGGATAATACTCAACAAAGTTATCATTGCCATATAAGCTAACAGCGATCTGCTTAACTCTACTGGGCGCTGTCTGGGTGATTTCAAGGCTACTAGAGTTAGCACAACTTAGCAAAACTAGCAACCCAAAACAAAACAAAGCAAAATAGCTGACTGACACTGCCCAGTCACACACAGCAAGGTTTAGCATAGGCTAGATTAGCAATATCCAAATCAGAGGTTAGCCAACATGGGAAATTCTGTGCATGCTGCTACATCGGAGAAGTTATATATACACATAATGCAATGGACTGATAAAAGATTGCTTCCAACAGTAACAGAAACGAACAAAGATATAGCTAGCCCGCTGACAAAATGTGATTATACAGGCGGCGTGGTTAGCACTGAGCTAGTTAGCTTCTAGCATTACTCACAATGGTGACGCTAGCTTTGCGGAGATCTCGGTTCTCCTCCTGCAGCGCTTTGCACTTGAGTTTGAACGTTTCCAGTTCAATTTTGAGAACTTTGTTTTCTTGTTGTAGCGAGGCCAAGCGGTTCGTGAGCTCCTCCAGGCGAAACTGTGAAATGACTATGCTGGGTTTTCCAGAGTTCGAGGCAGAGGAGGACATCGGGGTAGCCGAGCTGCTGCCCGCTCCGTCAGTGTCACTCTCGCTTGCACTGTCCGCCATGGCTATGCCACAGTGTGGATCAGAGCAGAGCACAGGCAGAGCACAGCACACACAAGGAGCTGCAGCGTTTGAACAGCTCACTACTGTCCAATGGTACTGCTATCAGTACACCGTGTGACCTTGTTCAGGATCTGGCCACAGCGCTCCCAGCAGGACAACTCCAGCACTGCCATGGATCTGAGCCTGACAAAGGGTGTGTCAAGTCAGGAAGGCAGTACTGCAACTAACAGCGCACTCCATGTAATTGTAAATACATAACAGACTCAAGTATACACCCTCTTATGGGACCAGTATGCTTTTTGCGTAGGCTCTAGGATCTTTCGCTCTATATAACCGTTATAAAGTTTCACATTATTGACATAATTTCTATTCCCCTCCAGTTACCTTTTCATACTGCACCTAAAACACAGCCCAAGCACAAGGCCTTCTTTGTGAGCTATAGTAGTATAGTATAAATTGTTTTTTATTAGTCAGATACATTACATAATATGATCGTCATTCATTTAAAAACATAAGACTCTTGATTTCTTCCCCCGCGTTCCCACCTGCAGCTGTGAGAACACTGTAGAGGACACCGGTGTGTGGGAGCCAATACTGATGTGCTGAAGGACAATGTATTACACTATTGTCAGAACAGAAATGGCAAAAACATACAAGGCCACAAGGAAAGAAACAGATTTATTGCAAAACCAACCTTTTTATTATTTTCAGTTGACTTTTTAAAGATGTCTAAAACATTTGTGGTGGCATCATTGCTGCTATAGCTTCTAAAAGACCTTGAATAACCAAAGTGCTAGAATATTACATATCAATGGCTTCACTCTGTTAGTAAGAATTGTACATCAAAAGTCTTTATGTAAAACACATATCAAAGAAAACTGACAAAAAAAACAATATCAAATAATCCTTTAACCCCCTGATTGACATAGTAGTATATTGGGATGTTGTACAAACAAACCCGTTCTGACCTTCTCGACCTACCGGAAAGAAAGAAAAGTTACATAGTTTTAATGTCCACAGCATAGACATCCGCATAATGAGCCATTGCACCAATAGAACATCACACTTACATGGGCTATATAAAAAAAAATACATATTATGTAATTTAATGAAATATTGCCAATGAGCTAATGAAAACAATTCTATGTGATGCTGCATATATGGACTCTCAAGCCTAATATAAAATATTACACAGTTTCAGAGTTAAACACAATTTTATGCTTAAATAATTATTTTTGACCATCCAGTGTTTTGTCATACAATATGCTATAGAGCTACAATCCAGTAATTACTTTATGTGTCTTCAGTGTGAGTACGATATAAATAGAACATTTAAAAAAAAAAAAAAGACAAAAAAGAAAAAGAAATGCCCCATTTTCCTTTTAATACCACACCAGCTTTTGGAAACCAAGTGACACACCACTTAGTGTGGTTTAAGTCTAGACTCCTACACCTTAAAGCCAATATGCACAATGGTAAAATCTAACAGACAGCCAGTTTACTAGCATTTACATTCAGACTATCAATCAGCAGATGCTACTCATTCATTCAAAGGACAGACAGACAAAACCAGCTATGAACATTTTTCACACGGCTTTGTAAGCCCACACATGATAAATGCTTCTCCTAAAATATAAAAGTGGTGACCAACATCAGGGCTATGTGCACACACGTAAAGGGTTGTATTTGTTATTTGAATACAGTGTTTTTGCAAACTTGTAAAAATTGTACTCAAAATAAATGAACATGCATGAAAATATGAGTCATCTGAAAGGCTGCTTTTGCAGAATTAGAATAATTCCCATTTTGGAAATTACTGAAATCTGACTTTTTCTGGAAAGTTTATATTTAAAATCAAACCAGCATTATCATGTACAAACATTATATTATACCAGCTCTATTAATAAATTATACAAGAACCTGTTTCATTACACTCATCTTTAAAAAGTGAAACCCTTTTCATAAAGTTCAAAAGCACTTAAAAGGTTGCTCTTTTAGTGCAAACTTGACCAGTAACATTGTAATTTCAGAAAAGGTGTTAGTTAAAAACAAAAACAATGGGTTCAAGAAAATAAACTATAAGGCGAGTGTTGAACTTGTATCAGAAGTGTCCAGCAGTTTGTTTGTTTTTTTCAGTTTTGTGTCGCCTTTTTTCTTTCCAGGCAACTTGTGGAAAGAGCTCTTGTGCCATCTTTGGTCACAGTTTCACCTGTGTGTCTCCACTGCAGTCCACAGTAACCAAAGTCTTCACCTCAAACCTCAGAGGCTCTCTTCTCAATCGGCCAATGGCACACACCCTCTCAAACTCAAGCAGGATTGATGTCCATGGTCCACAGTGGGAGACTAGAAAATGAGTGAGTTTTCATGCTCATGCGCAAATGGTCAGCTCTTCTGCACGAGAACCACCCATAAAGCTGATCAAAGCAGATTGGACCCTTTGCCTCAAGTCCTCACAGTGGAACATTATTTCTGAGAGACAATCTGTGGGAATGAGGCAAAAAAGACAAAACAGATGAAGGGATGAGAATATGTTTAGGTGAAATTTGGACACTGGAAATATGCTTTCTTTTACAGTACAAATGTTCTAGTACCTTGCTATGAGTGGTGCTTTTTGTCGCTGGACCTTCTATCGTCCTTTCTCCTGCTATTTCTGGACCCACTGCCTTGCTGTAAAACACAAAAAATATGACATTAATACAGTTTCATTCTAAAATAAAAGCCTTACTCTTTGTATTTTCACATCACACCCCAAGCCATAAATTCAAGTAGATTACTTGTTAGTAATATAAATTAATGCACACCAGTTTAGTCACCTATAAGACGAAAAACCATGTTAATGATTCACAACAAGAACAGATTAGGTTCACCGTCATTTCATAGTCAGTTGCATACATTTTCTACACTCACAAAAAAGCACCAAAAACACCAAACCCAAAATCAGCTTTCACTTCACGATAAGTAAACAGTATCAGAACATGTGTTCATTAGCATGTATTAGTATTACTACTAGTATTAGTAGTAGTTGATTTACATAGTTTTCAATACAAAAAATACAATTTTGCTGTAGTAAAACTGTTTCGTTTACATTCATATTCACATATTACTGTGTGTTTTGTTTCATTCACACATGTTTGAGAAACCCTTTATTACTAGTCTGTCTATAACCCCAAAACTCAAAATGTTCTGTTCCACCTTGTGATGTCAAAAAGCACTAGTTTTCAACAGCTACCTTTTACTTTTTGTTCAGTTGATTTTAGCAATTCCAGGTCTGAAATTATCCCAATGATTATAGTGAATGTGTATGGAGTTTAAAAACACAGTGGAGTGTTTCCTGTATTACTACATGACATAACAAGTTGGAACCGTCTGAGTGTCTTCTGTTTGAGAGAACAACTTAGTCTAGATATGCTGGATTTGTGTTAAACATGTGTGAATGAACCACAACTCCAGGAACATCTGTGATCTGTAAGGAAACAAGATTATACCATAGATCAGAAAATAGCACAATATGAGTCTTTAATGACTCATGACTTGTTTTGAGATAGCCCTTGTGATTATAAGACCTATGCACATGTTCTGACACAGATAAATCATTTCAACCTGGACAAACTATTCCAGACCTCCGACCACTCCTCAGACAGAGCAGGGCTGTGCCGAGGGTCTCTCTTACGCCACACGCCATTGTCACTGCCCTGGTTGTCCGGTGTTGGCGTGGAAACTCGCCGGATAACTTTTCTGATAACCTACCCAAAGCAAATGGGGTTCAAAACACATGAGATATTACCAGACTCTCCTGTAATAAGTAAGTAATAATAAAAAAGATAATATTAAAGGTGCACTATGTAACTTTTTGCTTCGGGGTCCGTCACCTACTTGTTTCTATGGATATGTCACTGCTGTGCCTAGAATGTTCCACAGTATAACATTAAACAGCTCTGTTTTACATTTTTTAAATTAAAGTGAGTGGGGTTGCCTCTCCTCTCCACAGATCTGGCCTGTAATTTAGTCTGATTTGGTCTCCATGAAGATAGAAAAGTATAATACTATATTGTGAAACATTCCAGACAAACCAAAAACATCTCCATGGAGAAAAGCATTTCATGGACCCTCCACCAGAAAAGTGATACAATGCACATTTAAGGGTTCATAGATATTATTAGTTAAACACTTTACTTTTCTACTGATGATGTTGCCATCGTTATCCAAGTAGTGTTCCTCAGTCATACTCTCACCTGGGATGTTTCTTGCCTCTTCGCCCTAAAAATGTTTGTCAAATTAACAGTAAAATGACTGCGTTATATTTTGGTTGACCCACACCACCAGCACAGCAGGAAGAAGCACTGAAATGTAAACGTCATGGCAATAGAGGAGGCACTACAATGAAAGGGGAAAGATTTTTATTTTCTCAATCTTTTAATATTTGTGTTATTATTATGTTTATAGTCTGTATTTTCTTATGTCTTATGTTTGCATGAGGTCCCTTCTTTATGTGAATGTTATTATTTTTATGTAATTTAAAAATATATATACTATTAAAGTGGACATATTATATAAAATTAAGCATTTAAATGTGTTTTAGCAGCGTCCCCTCACCATTAGCTTACTCACAGTTGTATTTTGATTAATTAATGCATCCTGTATTGTCTAGTATTTGAGTTTGAGTACTCCCTATCTTTGCCTACTGCTCTGTGCTTATTTGCAATTAAATTATTCAAAAAAATTCAGATCCCAGGTCATACATGTGGGGTTAAAGTATTTTTCAAAAATGAAGACATGTAAATGAAAATCCATTCACTGTTAAGATGAAATGTCACTACAAAGAGATGGTGCCTGTCAGTTCTGCAGTTTTAAATAGGAAGTCAATGGACCTCTATTATTAAGCAACTTTAAATCCATATTATGGTTTACAATGAGCAAAATGTAATTTCATGATCTGCTTATGTTAATAGTTCAATATGAAATACCTGAAAAAGAATGTGAAAGATGTGAAGAAATATGTCTTCTTTAATATATAATTGACAAAATTTGTGGAAAAAATGGCAAAAAAGCACACCACCACCACCACTGCAAATCTACTACTACCTGCACAACTCAAGTTCAACAGCTGCAAGAGAAAAGCCCCACCAGAAACCATCAAACCAGGCTCACATTGTACCTTTAAAATTATACGGCGTCTGAAGATTTTGGTGGTTACAGTTTGTTCCTCCTCTGAGCCAGATTCAGCACTAACCCGCTGATGATAAAAAAGGATTAACACAAAACTGACACAAAGACGAGACAATGAAATAATTTTTACACAGGCACGGTTTAGGTCAACACTGATCTGGGTGTGCTGCTGTGACACATAAAAGGGTCCTCCTCTGGAACAATGTATGTGCCTTGTGAAAAGAAACTTAAAGAATTAGAATATAACACTACTAGGTTCTGTGTGGAGGTTTGAGATCTGCTTTGGCGGTAAACTGATTTCATGAGGCTTATGAAGTGAAGTTTGAGGGAAATTTGAACACATAATCCAAACTAACAAACAAATATAAATACAAACTGAGTATGTTTTGAGATGCACGATCTTATGTTAAGATAACCCAAGTGCCCCAGTGCTACTCCAAGGCTTCCTGCAGGAAAAATGAATGTAACCAAAGTTATTATAAAAACAATAAAATTTATTACCTGGACTTTTTTCTCTGAAACTAGTGCCCCCTCCTCCTTTTTGACATTCGAAGACTGTGATGAGGTGTCCTGAGGTGAGTGTTTGGCGTTGTTGCCGTTTTGTCTGGATCTGCCTGATTCGCCTCTAGACGAGGAAGTGATGGAGTCACTAGAGATCTCGTGGCTGTAGGGTTTAAAAAGAAAGATTAGGGTCCTGTTATGACATAACTGTAAATAAGATGACTGTGTACTTATAGGTAAGCAATATATTAATTATTGAGAAAATGTATAATACAGTCCTTAAGATATGCAAAATGTTATAATTACAAAATCTTTTTTTTTTGTGAGATATGCTTCAGCTTTGACATGGGTATTATCTAGACCCAACAAATACTCAATCTGCTGTCTCTCAGATCATACTCAGGGACACCTGGGTATGATGCCTATTCTTATATTTACCCCAAATAATTCAGGCACAACTTGAAATTTCACTTTCCTTCTTGCACTTGTTCCCACTTAAAATGAAAGTAGATCAGACAGCAGATGTCAAAATAATCTCAGCCTCACAAAGACTCTAGCCACTTGTATGCATTCCAAAGGGCTCAGAAACAGATTCAGTTTGATTTGAGTCATTTTACTCAAGACATTTTTGTTAAAAATAGGCCTGAATAGTAATTAACATTTGTTAGATTCATAAACCTCAACAATATCTTCTCTCAGAATACCCCAAAAGAAAAAAAAAAATGCTCCAAAATGTTTTCATATTTTCCTGATAACATACCATTCACGTTTGTCAAGGAGGTCTGAGCTGACACTGCGTCCTTGTGTTGGCGGCTCCACATTGACACTGGACGAGTCACTACTGTGCCAACCTGAAAGTGAACACAAGTCTTTTTCTGCCTGTTCCACCTGACGGAGCATTTCCTTGATAGTTGCACCGTTTGTTTCCTCGCTGTCCTCCTCCACCTCTGAGCCTTTATCCTTCAGTATTTCGGCAGCTGCAGGTGCCTCTTGTGTTTTCATTTCTTTGATGGGTTTACAATCCATTACATCGATGTGAGGTGTGGGATGAGTGGCCAGACATTCAATATCTTTTGTATGATCCTCAGCTTGGCTCTCTTCTAACTTTATTTCACTATCTCTAATGTTTTTAACAGATATTTCGCTGCTATGCTTTTTCAAAAACTCACACTCTGACTTATCCTGACTTAAACTCTCCTCATTAAACCCTTCTACTTTCACTCTTACATCAGTACCTTCTTCTTTTTCACATTCAGCATTTTTGGCTTGGACACTTTTTTCTACTTTATGCTCTGTTTTTATCAGCACAATCTGCTCCTCGGACGGATACAGCACATTTTTTACCTCGTCAACTCTACACACTGTACCTTCTAGAACAAGCTGCTCCTTTGTCGTATCCGTATCATCTTGCGCATACCTTTCCTTTGGTTCCAACATGATTTCATTGGTCAACTTCAGTTTATCTTGTATGACCATTTCACATTTCATTTCCACATTCTGAATAAGCTCCTGCTCAATCCACTTCTCCACTACAATATTACCTTCTAACTCTGCCTTGGCCTTCTCTGCAACTTTCACTATTTCATCTGCTTCTACATCCTTTTTGCTTTCTTTTAAACATACATCCTCCTGGGTAAATATGGGAACACTGTTCAAAGGGGAGTCTCCTATATGAACTCTTTCAGGCGTTGATGGAGTAATGGATGATATAGATGATAGCGATGGAGAAGATGTGGAGAAAGCTATTTCAATGTCCGGCTCACACAGACCAGTGGCTAGTTGTGTCTTGGGCTTGTGGGTTTGCTGTGGGCAGGATTTGTCTTCTTCTTCACTCAAGAGAAGCTGATCATTTAGAGCGATGTGCGGCTTTCTGACGAGTGATGGAAGGGTATTAGGGAGATCAAAAACGGGGGCTAACAGGGCGAGCTGGGAGGGTCTCGGGGGACTACTGGGGGGACTGTCTCCACCAGCATCATCCACTTGTGAGCTGTAGGGAGGGGGCACCATGGAGTCTGGATCAGTGAAATATTGATGCGCAGATGGGGTGAGAGAAGGGTTGGGAGTGACGGGGAGGTCAGACTCCAAGAAGCTGGGACTAGAATGAAGTAGTACGGCAGGGGACTGCAGCTCCGCTAGAATGCTCTGATAATCTGTAGGTGACAGGATCACATACACAGGCTGAAGCATGCTGCACAGACAACAGACCCGCAAACTCCACACCCAGTCAGATGGATAATGGCACAAGAGCAAAATGTAAGCATACATATTACAAGGAATTAAGAGAGAAACATTCACAGCACCACAAGCATGTAAAGAACTATAACTCAACACATCATAACTATAATAATATGATCATTCTAATTAGGGATATAAAGATCATTGGATTAACCCAGAATTATGATTATTCATATAAAAATTTAAATTATAAAGAACAATAATTGTGACAATTGTAAAAATAAAAGTAGTTTAAATTCAATCTACAAAGTTCATCTCATGTATGTAAAGAGCTTTTTTTTTTTTTTTTAAATCTGCTCACAGTAACTATACTTTACTATACTTACAGAAGGTTTGAGTTCATAAAGCTGCTCACATACTAGAGGAATAATATATTCTATTAGAAAACGTGTTGAATGAAAAAGATTCACTTGGTTATTGTGTCAATAATTGTGAATAATTGTGATTCTTGCAATAATCGACACTCCTAACTATAAATGTTTCTCTTTTTTCTTCTTCTTTTTTTTTTTTTTTTTTTTTACATTTGGGATAAAACATTAAGCATGAATGGGTGAGTGTCACACAGCCATATAACATGTTTATTAGTGGGCAAATTTCCATCTAAAGTTTTAACAAACTAAAGTTACTGACTGTGTCTTGTGTTATAGTGAGGTAATCTGATTAAAGAGCATCGTGTACAGATGTAAGGCGATGTTAATAGACAAAGCATGCCACTCAATATGTTAAACGGAATTAGAATTTGAAACCCATGCTCACACATACAGATGAGAAACAGATGAGAATGCAACCCTTAAAATGTCTAAATATATATCTCCATTTTAGAAGAGTCATGCTGGGTCTGGGCAGTAGGAGGAGGGTTAGGGGGGGCACACTGACATGAAGGACAGGGGGACAGGGGGCGAAGAGGTGGAGAAGAAGGACACGGACTAGCAGAGCGCGATCCCGAGGCAGATGCGTTTGGCAGAATAACCACAGACACTGGAGAGACCTGACCTGAGGAGGGCAGCTGTGCAGCTAAAGATTCTCCACTCAGGGAGGTGGTGACAGGAGGAGGACACATGTTACCAGAAGCAGATTTGGGGACAGAGTTAGATTTGGGTGCATCTGGGGCAGGAGATGAAGGGACAGTAGATTTTTTGGAGAGAGCTGTTGACCCAACAACTGTAAAAGAAGAGTTGTCTGGGTCTGTTTGCAGAGATGGTGTTGGAGACTGTGGGACTGGAAAGGACAGAGTAGGTGGTGGAGAAAGACAGATAGGGGTTGTGGGCAGGGGTGATGTGATCATTGGGATAGGGGAGGGTGGATGAGGGGAGAAAGGGTAGGATGCAGACTGTCGTGGGTCAAGGATATTCAGGGAGAGAGGTACAGGAACAGGAGGACTTTTAAACCGTGCTGCTGGTGCTAAATCTTTCAGAGAGATGGAGGACTCATAACTGGGAGAGCGGCGGGGGCTGAGAGTGGAGGTAGGGGTGAGTGGAGTGGGTGGGGGAGTAGGGGTTGGTGTTGGACAAAACAAACTAGATTTTTGAATAATTATAGGGGCAGCACTTCCAGGAATAAGAGGAATGATGATTGAAACTTTGAGAAAGATCACAATGGAAGGCAGAATAGAAAAGAAAAAAGAAAGAATGAGCATCATGATTTGACAAACACTTAGATTGTGACAAGTGACAATAAGGTTCAGGGTTGTGATGAATGCATAAGGAGAAGGGAGGTTTCAGCAATACTTGACTCTTATGTTAAGAGCAGTTATGTGCTGGCATGAGCAGTGAATACTGCTAGGGGACATGATGGGAGGGAGGTACAACAAAAGGGAGTGGAGGCAGCTTAGTTTTGCAGCAAAAGAGATTGTTATCTATCCAAGAAGGGCTCAGAGGAACTGGAGGAGGACTAAGAGAAACAAAACAGGCAGTGGTAAAACCACAGGGTTAAATAAATGCCTATAGCATTTAAAAGCGCTGAAGTTACAAACATGCATGCACAACTCTGTTTAACTATATACTACATTAAGGGGTACAGAGGAATGAATAGCAGAGATCAGCTAAACAAAGCTAAACTTTACCATCAGCCTGATCCCGGAAAACGTTATCATCAGCAAAACATCTGGTGCCTGAAATGTTACCATAGTCGAAAATTGGGCCCTCCAGTAGAGTGACAATATCCATCCGATTGACTTTTGTCAGGACTGTGGATAAGGCATCCGCTGTTAAAAAAACAACAATTGTTACTGATTCATGTAAAAAGAAAGAAACCTGTTTAGCAAATGAAATAAGGCCTTACTTGTGGCATTTTTTCCTTCCCTGCTGACCCACTTCTTTAGCAGCATGAAACTCTGTGCTGTTAGAGAGTTAGGGTTCTCTAGTCTGATATGGTTGATCTCATCCACAGTGAAGTTCATCTCCCGAGCTAACTCTGTCACAGGAAAAACAGAAAACTCCACTTAATCTGTTTGTACATTTACAAACCTTAAACCAAGTGTTTTCAAATCAGCTAACCTGTCCAACTGAGACCCAGGTGATCAGCAACAATAGCCATCCGCAGGTCTGTGCGCTCACATGGGCTTTGAGGACCTGGTAAGAAACAATAGTGATTAGGACTTTGTCAAATAACACCTATTAAAAGAACATAAAAAAAAACCTTGATGTATTAATCCTTTTCTGGCCACTTGTGTTTCAGTAATATTATTTAATAAACTGATGATCAGGAAAAAATTTGTATTCAATATAATTATAACAATTCGTTTAATTACAATTGACAAAATATATAAAAAATATACATCAAAAATATATATCAAAATAGTATGTTATATAATAACAATTATAGTGATTACACAGTAGTTGTTGCTGTTGATTTGTTTTTTTCAAAATGGCCAGAAATGAATTAGACACAAGCAAAATGATAAAATATGTAGTATACAGAGTAAGTGCTTTGTGATTATATGTGGATATGTGATCTCTAAGCAGGCAGTAACTGTCATGAAGATCACACAAAACAAAGAATATGACACATTTCTACATGTAAAAAGAGGTTATTATAAGTACCTCAAATACTATGCATGCAAGACCTTTGTGCTTTTTGATTCTCCACTCAACGCCCTAATGACAATTTATGATTGCAAAAACACTACACCCCCCCCCAACCCCCCCCCCCCCCCCCCCCCCCGCCTTGACAGACAGACCAATGAATTGCCAAACTAGAGACTGTGGCTGTGCCATTTGACCAGTCACTACTATGACTAACATGCTTACACTTGGGTAAGTGAGTAAAGAGAGAGGAACAGGAAGAGTATCTTGCAACAAGGACAATACACTACACAATACATCAATGACAAACAGAAATTTAAATGACATAACTATTTTCAACAGAATATGTAGACACGCCACAGGCATTCCAGTCATCAATGATCACAACAAAGTCATGCAACTAAAAGTGAACTATATAAATATAGATGTATTTTAACATAGTGTGAAAATTTTACAAACTAGGCTTGATCTCTGCGATGGGAGGCGTTCGAGACCCTGTGAGTCCCTGACTGCCCTCCTTCCCACCAGTCCTCCTACTCCTTCTGCTCCTTTCACTGCCGGAGGCCCTGTCCGTCGCCGCCACCTTTGCCCTTACGGACGCGGCCCCGGCCTCAGCCCTCGGACCTCTACCAGACCTGGATGAGCCGGAGGGCTGGGAGGGCTGGGAGGCGTCCGACAGAGAGGTGCTCCGGGAGGTGCTGTCTTCCTCCGACTGCTCTGTCTGCGTCTTTTTCTCCTCGTCTGACAGGCGGTCCACCAACTTTTGCGTCTCCCCGCTAATGTCTTTAAAGTATTCGATGGTGCGTTTACAAACATCACTAGGGGTTTCCTGCCTCTCCTGTTTACATCCTCCTACAGCAGATACTTTGCTAACCTGATGCCTGTCCTTTAGAGGCAGTCTTGAGGGTAATTCTATAGCTTTCCTTTCTGTGGGCAATATTCTTGTTGGCTGTGAGCTAGCACGAACCAAACCAAGGGAACTACAACTGGGTGTGGTGGATGGGGCTGTTCTTTTAACATCTTTAATGGGTATTCTAGACCTGGGTTCAACTTTTGCTATGGCTGGCTCTCCTTTCCTTTTAATCTCAACCTTAACTGTTCCTTTGGGTTTCTGTTTGCCTATTGCTTTTCCCTGCGTGTGAAATGACCATCCTGAAGCTTTTACTGGAAGTCTGGACTTGAGCTGCTTTACTTCTGTGTCTTTAACTGTTTCACTTTTTTGGGCCTGCTCTTGCTGCACCTCCACCTTTTCTTCATTCTCTTTACAGCTGAGTGTTTCTATTCTGCTGGCTTTCTGAAGAGTGGGCTCAGATGAGGACTGCAAATTAAACACCACACTGCCACATTGAATGTAGTTGGCCAGAACACTAGACGACTCAAGGTTATTGTTATTGTTGCAGTTTTCCGAAGGGAAATCCTTCCTGTCTGCCTTGGGGTCTGTGGGACTGCTAGATTGGTCATCTGTACACTTCTGATCTGTACTCTCTATACTGATATACTCTGGCACCATTTGTCCCTCCGACATTTCAGCTTTAGAGTCACCGTGATCCCCTGAGTCTTTTTTCACAGTTATCGAGGCAGCTATGCCCATTTTAATAGGGGTGCGTAACTTAGAATCAACTTTGGAGGCTGTGATTGTACATGAGGAGGCAGTCTCAGCTATGGCTTCACAGGCAGCAGTGCCATTACCAGTAAACCCAGTGCCATTGCCAGACTGTGCAGGGCTGCATTTTGCTGCTGTTGCTGGTGTTGTTGGTGTAGTGCTGTTAGTGGTATCTATTACCTTCACCATCCCATCTCCTGTTTTTGTTGGAGAGGACATTACCCCCACAACATTGCCCACTCTCCCCTTTTCCCCTGTTTTAGGGTCAGAGGGATGCTCACCAATTTGGAAAAACTGAAGCCTCTCTTCAACAAAGTCCCGCTTGCTCATGTCAATAGCACCACTGCGGGTCATCTCAAACATCTTCCCTTCGTGGAAAGGGAATGGGTTAGGCTCACTAGTGGGTGTGCTCTCATCTGTCGGAGTTCTAGCAGGGGTTGTATCTGGTGTTGTGGCCTGTGACTTGTCCTCCACTGATAAACCAAAGGGTTTTGGATCTTCATCTTTCATTTTGGATTCAAACAGTCCCTCATTATCAGTCCCTTTGGTTGACCAGGGGTCGAAGTCAAGACCTTTTGTGGCAACAGTTTTAAATGTTGAGTTCAGCTCTTCTTCAAGTTGGTATCCAAAGTAGTTTTCTGCACTTCCCTTTCTATCTGGATGCCTTCCTTCAAGAGTATAATCTTTTTCATCTTCACTGTCTTTTGTGCTGGATGACCTGGTCTTTGCCTTTCCATCCTCTCCTGCTTCCTCACATTTCTCCTCCTCTATGACTTCAAGCTTGGATTGACTGAATGAGCGGTCAGTGTTTTTTCCATCATTGGAGAGACTGGATGTTTTAGGATCCTCACTTAATCCATCATCTTCATCTTGAAGGTCATAGCCATCTAAAGAGTCTATCTCTGTTGCATCAGTGTCATGTGAGAACTCAGCAGTTGTGGCTATAGAACAGTCAGTTATTGACTGATCATTGCCATTTTGCTCAAGGTCAGCATCATCTCCCTTTGATGCACCATTGCCCCCAGTTTCCTTATTACCATTTTTCTCTGATCTTCTATGTTTTGGACGTTTCTCTCCCTCTTCTTTCATTTTGAAGGTATACTTTTTGATAGGGATGGGATGGAACACAGACTCGTCATCACTTGAGTCACTATGATCTGCTCCTGGGGGAATTGGTGATGGTGGTTGAACTCGGATCACAGGCTCGGCTAGAAGGTGCCTGTCATGCTCCTCCTGAAGGTTGACTTCCATCATTTCTGTCTCTGCCTCAGACGAACCACAAGAACCCTTTTTCTCTGGATCTGACTGCTCTGTCTCAATAGGTGGAGGCGGAGGAAACTCTATATATGCCACTCTTTTGTCTTTCAAACTGGTTCTCACTTCTTCCTGTTTTTTGCTGAGACTTTCAGAAGAAGCTGGCTTAGATTTGTTTTTTACAGGTCCTTTATAAACCTGGGTCTTGGCTTCCTCTTCCTCAGACTCTTCTGGTATTGTGCTTGGCATACCAGGCATTGAGCCTATCACAGAGTCAGGTGTTCTAGAAGCAAGACTTGCCTCTTCTGAGCTTGGGGTCTCAGGAGTTACAGGGCTCTTTCCAGAGCTGTCCATGAAGGTCACTTGTTCAAGAGTGTCATCTTCTGGACTACCTTGAGGAGACGGCTTTTGCTTGACAGTGTAAAATGCACCCCTTGTTTCGTGAACAGTTCTACTTTCATGGCTCACTATCTTTTTATATGTTCCTATCTGGCCTGAAGCAGTTTCTTTCTCATACTGCTTTCCTACTTGGATACTAACATAAACAGGTAAAGGTTTAATATCCTTGTAGCCCTCTGTAACAACCACAGGCGTGCCTTTCTCCAAATACTCTACTTGATCAACATCTACCCCATTACACACTATAGTTCTCTGAGTACTATCTAAACAATCTATGGGTTTTACTACCGACCCAAGACTAGACTTGCTGGCTTCAGAGGTCTTGTGTGCCTGATTTCTAGCTATAGTAGATATATGGGGTACTATCTTTTCAGACAACTGAGAGGATTCTTGTTTTTGTGGTAAATTACACAACTTTCTTACAGGAATTTGTGATTCCGAGTTTTTTTTTAGACCATCATTGTTATTTGGACCTTCTCTAACAACAAATTCAGTATAAATTATTTTCTTAGTTGTTTCTTGTGATTGAGAATCACTGTTTCTAGAATGATCATGAACACTAGTGTGTGTCAATTTTAGGTGACTGTGGTTTGTAGTTGCCATAGCCCTGGCTTTCCCATGTTTTAAAGACTCTTTTCTCATCATTGTCTTTTACACCAGCTTCATGCTTGGGAGATAATCTATTTGATTCACTATCTAGACCCCTCCTTTGGCTTACAGGACTATCTGGAGTTTTAGGTGTATTCGAACCAGCAAATACTTGATAGACAGGAAGTTTACTTTCCTGCAGTTTCCTAATTGGAGATCCCGGATTTTGACTACCCTGATAACCTTTTTCATTCTTCTGAGCCTCCTGTTCAAACTTAAGCCTTACTGCACTTACTTTTGAGGAAGACATTTTGTATGGCTTAGAACTCTCTCCTGTGGTTCCTTGAGCTTTCACATCACCCTGTTTTCTTGCATCTGTGTCACTAAACTGTAGCAGCACTCTCCTCTCTGGGCTACTGGGCAGACTGGAACATTTCCTGTCATTTGAGCTGAATCTGTCTCTGAGTCGTTCTAGACTCCACTCTTCCCCACTGCATCTGTAAGATGTTCGCTCAGGGCTGCTGTGTGTAGAACTAGGCCCCGATCTTGTTTCTCTGTAGTCTGACCTGCGGGATTTCTTCTCTGGAGATGAGAGTTCATCATTCAGTTGTTCTGTTTTATCACGAAAGAATTGTGATACTTCACTAAGTTTTTCCTCTGCCTCCTTGACTGTTTTGTCCACTCTATCCTCATACATAACCTGCTTTCTTTCTCTTTCCTGTGCATCATCTGATACTCGCATCCATATGGATTGTTTTGGACTACCTGACTCAGATGAGTATTGCAAAAGAGTGAGTTTATCAAAATTATCATCCACATTGGTCATTCTTCCTGATTTATCAAACACATTCCTGGATGACCTAAAGACATACTCTGTCTTTGGCCTGCCCTCACTATGACTAGTTCTGTCTGGGGAATGGAATCGAGATCTGTCTCTCAAATATTCCTCTGTATCAGAGTGACACTGGTCAAACTTCTCAGAATGCAGCATTTTCTCAGCAAAATTATAAGATTCTCCCCTGAGCTCAGATGAACCATCCTCATTATATTCTACAGACTGCTGACTAAGAAGCTTTAATGTTTTGTAAGAATCATCAGCCATGAGCTGAGCTGAACTAGGGCGACTATCATCATCTTGTGACATGGGGGTGGTAATTCTAGGGGATTCTAAGTAAACTGGAAGTGATTCTTCAGGTTCACCCTCCTCCTGTCGACTTCCTGGGTAATAATACAGTTCTTTTTCTCCATGGTTTTTGGTTTCTCTTATAATAACCTCTGTCGGTTCAGCTTTATTGCCCTTTTCAATGTGAACTTCAATAATTCTTTCTACCTTAGGTTTGGAGCTGAGGTCCTCAAGCACCCTGTGTGATGTTTCTTCATTGCCACCCTTGTGTTCAAACAGTCCTGCAAGTTCTCTGGAGGGGTCTTTGCCTGCCTGAAAAGCCTTCATTATGTCATGTACAGACATAGTTTCCTCACATCTTTCAGATGCACTTTCTTTGCCAGGTGGTTTGTGATACACCATCCTGGTAGTGGTTGTTATGTGAGTCTCCTCCTTAACTCTCATACCCTTTCCCATTGGGTCCTCATCTTGGCTGGCTTTAATCTGATAGCATTTATTATGTTCTGGACTAGATGCAGTTTGATTTTGATTACCTTTAAACTCTGACTCCACATACCTGAGGGGCTGTGTGTCCTCCAGCTGTTTGCTATCTTCTGGAGATTCATAACTGCGTATGACATGAACCACCTCAGTTCTAGTCTCAGTGATCACTGGTGGTATGGGGATGTCTTGAAAAAGCGCCTTGGGGCCTGTGCCCTCAGCGCTCTGTGGAGCAGAGGGTGTTCTTTCACTTCGGGTCTCAAAACCACTGTCTGATAGCGGGCTTTTATCCTGTTCATGTGAGATATCATCAGGTGATTCAAGCACCATGTCTGCTCCAAAGAGTGCTTCAGCTACTTTACTGATCTCCTTGTCTGAAGGTGATGAACGCATATTAGTAGGAGGCATTTTGAGCTTATGCTCCTGAACTGCCACTGCTGGTTTGAGAACACGTTTCTGCTTTTCTTTGACATCTACTTCACTTTTTATTTCATCTGCTTTATTTATTGTGTCATGCATCTTAGAGAAAGTGGTACTACCTACTTCATTTGTAAGATAATCAACAACTTTAGAGAGGTTAAAGTCTCTATCTGAAATTGTTTTTGTTTTAGCTTGAGGAACTACTGTCTCATATCTAGGTGGAAAACTCCAATTGCTTGGAGGTTGTTCTACTGGTACTTTGGAGAACTGTATGTCATCCAGTGATCCTCTAGACATGGTAACAATTCCATCTCTCACTGAATCTTTTGTGAGTATTTCACTGACTTTAACTAAATCTTGCTTTACCTTCTCTACAATCCTATATGGCTCCTCATCATCAATTCTAGCTTCACATGGTGAACCAGACTGATAGCCTTTATTGGCCACTGAATTTGGATCTGTTTGTAAGATTGCAGACATGCGTATTAAGTCCTCCTTCATGTCAGCCACATCCTTCAAAATCTCTTGACTAGATGACAGTGGTGTTGTGGTGCTTGATTTTAGGCCAGCCGAGTATAAATGGGATTTGACGGGGGAAAGTGTTCTGGCGAAGGGGGACTGCATATGAGCACTGAGTTCTGTAGGGGGTGCTTTACGAGGGGACAAAAGTGCAGCAGCTGACTTGGACACTTCAGGGAGCTTTTTAAACTGGGGCTCTGGCAGCACATTTATGACAGAATACACTGGGACAGTCACTGTGCTGCATGTCACAGCAGTGGTGGTGTTAGGAGGGGCTCTCAGAGAGGCATACAAAGAGCTAGAAGCTGACGATCTGATGGACTGATACGAGGAGGATGCAGAGGACGACAAAGACTTCAATGTACCATAGCCTGCAGAGCAAGAGTTAAATGTTTTTTCCACTTCATCAAAGGCTGCATTTACACTTGTTGTTGCAGCATTAGTGGTTGCTTGTATTCGTTCTTGTAGGCTACTTGCAAGTAAAGAGCTTGGAGTTGAGGTATGATATTGGGTAGGTGACACCGATCCATTAATTAAAGCTGCTGCACTCTGGGCTGTGTTAGACTTAAAAGGTGATGACAGAGAAGAAAACAAGTTTCTTGCAGGTCCTGTGTTGTCTGCAAGAGTTCGAACAGTTGAAAGCCCAGGGACTGTCTTTATTGGAGATGAAGATGTACAACTGGAGGCCCCCATGACTGTCTTGTAGGGCAAAGGTGAGCTGAACATACTGAGAGATGTTTTGGGAGATGTTGGTGGGGTTGTGTCAATAGGTGTTTTGTCATGAATATTTACTCCAGATCCTGTTATGGAAGAGGTCCTTGCAGACAAAGCTGCCAGTCCTTTCATGGACATGTGGTCTGAGACACTTTTGCCAGGTGAAGCTAACGGACTGGTGGTAACTGGGTATGGACCCTGCTGTATTACAGTTTTTATTGGAGATGAGATACTTCTGTAAGAGCGGATGGGAGAAGCCACGTCACTAGCTGATTTTACAGAAGATGCTGGTGATCCAGGAATGTTGGTTTTGATAGGGGATGCAGAGTTTATAGACCAGACAGACTTTAGTGGAGAGGCAGAGGGCGTGTTGGATGACGAACTGGAGAGGGAGCCAAACCCAGACTTGGTTTGGAGGGCGACAGGAACAGGCGACCATGCCTGATAAGATCTCGTTGTAAGGACAGTTTTGTGAGGGTAGCCAGAAGGTTGTGTTCTCTGCGAGCTTCGATCAGTTGTTTCTTCAGAAATAAGTAAAACCAAAGTAAAAAATAAAAAATAAATAAATGCAAAATAAAATAGAACATAAAATAATGTAACAGAAACATACAAAACAGAAAGAGAAATTGTGTAAGTCAGAAACAGCATTTAGAATATAAGCATATATTTTAAAAACAAATCATGACAAAATGCCTAATATGCAGGTCTAGGATGGTATGACAATGTTGAGCTAAATACTACAATACAAAGTACACAATGGAGTGTGTTCAGCATAAAAGTAGCAATAGGCTCAATGCTGATATTGATAAATGTGAAGAAAAAAGTGAATGGGGAAATGACAAAAAGTACAATTCTATTGACTTTCAATGTGCTTGACTTTTGCAACAGTGCCTTTCACACAACTGCCTTTACTTTTTCAAATGTTCTGTTGTTCTCATGGACATGCCAGAGAGGACCCCACAAGCAGCAACCAAAACATATTAATAATTGGAGATGTTTTGTGTGGTTGCACTTTACAAATAACAACTTATTCAATAAAATAACAACAATAGTTAATGAATGCATGACTAATGCATGCCCAAAGTGGTGCAAATAGCTAACATTCTGATAATATGCAATAATTATTCATGATTCTTATGACTTATAATAAAACATGTCTGGCTTGTCAGCACAAACCAGTTACATTATAATGTAATAACACCATTCATGTTTATGTAAAGTGCAACCTGATCACAATCATATACACTTAAAGCTGCACACATTTACAAAGCCAATAAGAGTGACATGTATTAATAAAACAAGAACATTAAAATAGTTTTATTGAACATGAATTTTAACATTTTGTTAATAAAAAAAAAAAAAAGACCCCCGTGTTTCCACAAATGTAAACAGATGAAACAGATGATAGTTTTGGAATGAGGTATGTAAGCAAAGCGTAACAGTAAACCATGCAAATGTATGAATAATGACGGTTAACAGATGTCATGGGTCCCTATTCATTTTTAATATTCAGCTTCCTTCTCAATAAACCCAATCAAATCACATCCATTTGGGAAAACAAAAGTATGATGTGAATGTAAAGGGAAAACTCACTCAAGGCTGGGTCGGTCAAATAGCTGTAGCGCTTACGCAAAGCTAAGGAGGCAAAGGTATGACGTCGTTCGGGCTTTTCAGTCTGAAACAACAAACAAAAAGTACAAAAAAAGCTTTAACATAAAAAGATGGCAAATGTGATGACGTGTTTCTGAATATTTATGTTTTTTGTAACATTAGTAGTTTAAATTTTAAACAGCACACATTTCTGTTATCTGGTTTAATAGCATGGATACCTGTTTTTAGTGCATGTATTAGGTGTAACTGCTTGCATAAATAGTTAGTACTCTCTTTCTTACTTTTAAAATAAATATATTAATTAAAAATGTTCAACAAAAAAATTTAAATATTATATTTCCTGGTAATCTCTTTATTGGTAGCAGCATTTTCATATTTGTATGTGTGTGTGTTTTAGAAACAAAAAGAAATGAAAGACATGTTTTTTTTTTCCCATGTGCAGCATGATGGTTTGTTTCAAAATGTATGATATAACTGATGCAATACAAGCTGACTTGAAACACATAAAGACTCCATTGAACTTGAAATGAGGACAACAATAAAGATTTAAATTAAGAAATAACATCTGTAATTTCCATTGATTCTTTACAGGAAATCACATTTATCACACATAGCTGTGTAACAATAAGCATGCTGCTGTCCAAAGCCTCACTTGACTGGGCTATGGCACAGAAACAGTATATTCTGAAAACATACAGCATATTTATTAAATGTAGCATTAGCGGTCAAGCCAGCAACAAGATCAAAAAGCATTTTGTGTGATGATGAAGACTCAGTTTACCTCATCATCAGGATCAGACTCCAAATCCTGTGGTTTCCCAAGATGCATTGCAGGTGCAGAGAGAGGTGACATGGAGAGCAGGGGCGTTACAGTGAGCGGGGAGGAGAAAATAAAATACAGGGAATGCAAATGGAGCAGCAAAAACAACCAAGAGCATCAGAACAAATCTTTTGGATTAATGACCAAAAGTAAAAACAGCAACATAAAAAGCAATAGCAAAATTCAGTATCTTGTGATCAATGAATACCACAACATTTCTGCATTTCCTTTCTGTGACCAAACTGAGCCAGCCAGGAAACAGAATAAAAGGCAGAACACTGTAGATTGTGGGGTCTTATAACTGGCACAGGCTTAAACACTAATATAAGACACAAGCTGCAGGCAGTCGTTCCCAACAACATGAAGTGCAATGGTTCCTCTTGATGTTATGGCTGTGCTGTTTTCCCATTACTTTTATTTATGAGGATGGTATGATAGGGACTTCCGAACATTTTCCAAAAACGCAAGCCTACCTTTTTGTGTGTTGGCAGTGTGATATTCAAATTGCATATGGCAGTCTGAGGAAGACCTTTAGTGGATTTTGGTTCCCTCAGGAAAGACAGGCGGCCACAAGGGTCTTGGCCCATGTCTCTGATCTGGAAGAAATAAAATAATTTAGTGTCAGTGTTTAATGCTTTCTATGCTTAACCTCTGTAAATATTGAACCATAAAAAGACATAAATATGATAAGAGTGTCAATCAAGCAAGCTTTATTAACTGAAAAAAATGATTAAATAGAGAAAAAGTTGTGTGTGTATTGCCAAAGAGAATACAGCTGTGTTAAATAAATACCTTCACATTGAAAGGAAGTCTGTTTTCTTTGAAGGAGAAAAAGTTAAAAACCAGTTGATGTCCACTTTTGGTCAATGGGGATAAGTTGCCGTAACAATCAATAAAGATTGGCTTTCCCTCCAGAACCTAAAGAAACATTTATTTTTATGTTATAATTTACATGTAATAACAACACTTATCTTTACTCATGTTTGTAATGAGCAAACCTACCTCAATATCTTTACTGCGTGCTACTTCCTCAAAGTTCTCTTGCTGCTCCAGAGTCTTGTCCACCTTGTCATCCGTCATGCAGAAGCAGCGCAGCCGAGCCTCCACAATGTCATTCATTTTGGCAAACACCACAAATTTGGCCAGATAAGGCACGCAGATCAGCTCCCGGTATAACTGAGACGCTAAACTCACCGTCTCAGGAATCTGGTGACAGTCTGCGAGCCAAAACCTGTGAGTGAGGTAAAACAAATTAGTGAAAATAGTTTTTCCACTTTATGAAAAGGCAATAACAGCATTTTTTATGACATGCAGTACTAGCTTGTGTGAAGATGTCAAAGTCACATGATCGCTGTGCAGCAAACTAATCCAATTGAACTGCTCTCCCAGCACATGATTCAAATTTAGGGGCCAAATGTGTGCCTTTGAATACACCCAAAACAAACCTACTTAGACATGTTTGATGTTAGTCAAAAGGACTGGTCAGTTTGAAGAATACATCCGTACCTGGCCGATACATTTGTGGTGAAGGAGACACAATCTGTAACAAAGGACAGAGGTGTCGTCCCTGTGATGTCCTCCCACTGGGCTGGAGAAGTACCTCCTGTAAAAGAGAGATTATTTTATAAAAATACACAAGACCAGTTTTTTCTCCGCTTCTAAAAAGGGGGACTTTTTACCTGTGATGCTGCAGAGCAGGCGTAGGCATGGGGCTGCGTCGCCTCTCTGGCCACTTGGATGACCCTCTGCTGATCGCGGTGGAACAGGTATCGTCATGGTAATGGGCTTGTGGAACTTTCTTCTTCTAGGCTCCACGGTGACAATAGGGCTGAAGGTGGCTCTGTTACCAAGAACTGCTCTCACTATTTCATCAGGCACTGGCTGGGCCTAAATAGAACAAGTTACACTATATGTAATTTTCCTTGGAGGTGAAGTTTATGTTATGTTATGAACATAATATTCAGGAAAAGATTAGGGCCAGGGGTACCTGAAGGCCAACCCGTATCCGCTTGGTCAGTGCCCCTGGTGGAAATGAGGCCTGGACCATTGGTACTGTGGTGCTGGACAGCACACCTCCATCAGGACCCATATGGTTGGACTCCTGTTTGATTCGTGAAACTACAGCAAAATACTGAGGGAAATCTCTCGTGACAATGCGGCAAATGCGTTTCTTCTCTAACTCAGCTGGGCTGTCTAATTCTGCACACAAAAACATATCAACTTCATTAAGAATACTAGCATATAGAGAGTGCTTTTAATTTTTAACTGTTTTCCCCTAGCTTCACAAAATGTCACTTGACTGATGTAAAACTATAATAAATAATGACCAATGGTACTATCCCACCAAACAAATGATTAGAAAAGCATGAAAACCTGTCAAATGCACTTCAAGTCTGAGGTGGACCCTGATAAACACTGCATTATTATTATACAAGTCTGTGATTTGCTGATTTGACTTTACCTTCATCCATTCCACTGAGCAGCTCCACTAGGTCTTCTGGTCTAACATCAGACTGATGCTCCTTCCAAGTATCACCATTGTCACTCCTTAAAACAATAAGCTCCCTCTCTTTGCCCCGCATTGAACCAAAATGAGGAATCTCCACAATCACTGGTCTGAAAGCAATATCATATTTGAATAAACATGCATTTATAGACAATGATAACATTATACGTTCAAATTAGATCCAGCTACCCAAGAAATTGTGCTCCTGCTGGCCCGACTTCCACCAATCGACTAACCAGGCCCTCTCCCTCCACCATAGGTGGTGGGTATGCCAGCTTGTGCCTCTTGGCCAGGCGGCAGGTAATGCGTGTGGGTGCGGTACACTTCCTGGGAGGAATGATAATGCGCATGCCATTGTGCCGACTGCCCCTCATGGAACCACCTCGAGCATCCACCATGAAGCTAACCAAAAACCTGCGAAAGCAAACAACTCCTTTAGAGCAAAGAAACAGGGCTGAAGGGAGGCGGTATAAAAACCACACTACTGACACAAGTGAGGAGGACAGATCCCATGCTGTGATCACTGTACACCCAAAAGATCAAGAAAGAATACACCCAAATATAAGTAAGAAGAGACTGAAAAAAGTAGAGGAAAGAGAGGTTTTGAGTTCTGAAAAAATGTAAATTTTCACCATTAGGAGCCCCAAATAAAAACATTCAAATTTGTGAAACTAAACATGGCGTGAAATTGCAGGAAGTTTAGTTTCAAATTTTGGGGCTTTAGGTGTTGCCAAAGTTTCAGATACTCTAAAACAACCTCCAGTGAAAATATATTTAACAGTTGTAGAGATTTGCACTAATAGGTATTAAATAATATGCAGTTTCCATCTTTTTATGGTTATTTGCTTGAATTGAATAGATGTACTAACTGTGTGTGTGTTATATGTACATACATTTGTGTACTGATGACAAAACAATAATAATGTTTCAAACACACTAACTAAACATTTCTAATCTACGCATTGCAGATGAAACACCAAACCACACAAATGAAAATGTGAAGAAAGTGGCTAAAGAGAGAACAACAAAGAGGGAGTGACATCACTGTGGCATCATGGGTAAGAGCAGTGGACTCAGTCATCACCTGGAGTCATACTGAGGGAGCGGGGAGGACAGGCTGCAAAGAAACACATGGGGACAATGCAGGAGACAGACCTTGAAAACCTTACTTTAGGTGTGCTATACTGGGCAACAATACTCTCATATTATTCACAACAGCTTCCCAAACACCCATCACAGATATTTTTGTGCCAATGAGTGAAAAAATGTTTAAATGACAATGTCCAGCTGTAACGTAACCCTGGAGGCACACACAATGATGATAAACTGCCATCAACAGCTAAATAAATATGAAGGAACAACATTAGTGGTTTTACATGCTCCGCACTCATGTAAACAAAGGCTTAATATTAATGTTCCCATCATAATGTCTTGTAACTCTTACTAAATGTGAGAGAAGAAGCACAATAAGGACAAAGAGAGTAATGATAATAATAACTAAAGCATGGCAAATCTCCTGTTTAAGTTTAGTTCGTTTATCTACAGCATTCACATATGCAAATTACATACAGATTAGCTTTACCATAGGGCTTCTATTGTCTAAGAATAAAACTATGCAAAATTTACTTTTGAATGCTGCCTGCTGTGTACAGTAGCAGAACTGTATTCACTGAGCTCTGCACCTGCACCAGCGCTGCAGATGTCTTTGAAATATCGATTCGCACAAAACAGAGTAGCACACTAACTTCTGTGTGGCACGGCTATTTGTATGAGCTATATAGTACACAGTAAAAAATCTATAATGACAACATTTAGGGTATTGTTCTCATCAATGTATCGAGGATTGCTATAAGATTTTTATGAATCCAGCTTTGGTATGCATTCTCCTGGCTTAGAGGGAAAAACTCGTAGCAGAGTCAGTCACTAATGTAAGACTTTGCCGCATACCACATGGATACTGCTGAAATACAATGTAACATGTATGTCTACTCTGTGAACCGTAATTTAATCTGTGTCTAATTTAGTTTTAAAATATGTTCACGCTGAATTCCTATTCTATGGCATCAATAAAACATTTAGTTGACCAGGCCGCATGAGTCGTACGTCATTTGATAACAGAGTAACAGCCTGTACTCACCCGGAGTGAATGGGACTGGACACTGTGTGGTGGCTGTGGTCCATCATGTCCGGAGTCCAACTGTAGCGCCGCATACACTCAGTGCTGTAATCCCTGGTCACAGCGAGGTGCTGGTGAAAACAGGCATCAAGGGACAAAACAGCAGATGTAAAAGAGATCATGGGAAAGAACACACAAACGGTAGAGTATGGAGATATGAGAATCAAATGTGACCTGCTTCACACTTGTTACCTAAAGTATGAAAAACAAAAGCTTACATGAATACACAAGATATATGATTGAAATAACTTGTGATGAGAAAAAATAAATTTGTACCCTTAAATAAATAAACAAGTAATTAAATCATGAAAAGTCCCAAAATCCAACTGAATTTTAAAAACGAGATCTCCTTGACAATGTGAAAAAATGAGACCAAACAAATGAGAGCACTGACTATGTCAACAATGAATACCTTGTTTAGGGGGTCAACCAAGTAGGATATGTCTTTACAGACACTCTGAAGCTTTAGGAAGAGGAGAGATTGATACAATATGTTGGGAGATGGCAATAATAATGTTTAAAGGGGATAAGTGAATACACTTTGGTAACTTTAAATATAGAGCCCATATTTACTCAAGACACACAAGGCAATGACATTCATTCTACCATACAAGTAGCTCTGTTCTAAACATAAAAGTGCAATGAACAAGCAATATCGTTATACCAGTTTTTGTTTTCTGGCTGAAAAACTCAGAGTCAATGTGCTATTAATTTACATCTGCACAATTGCAAAGGAGCATACCATTAACCTTGTCTCTGCCATGATCTTTGCAAAAAGTTTGTATTTTTACAAGAAAATGTAAAGATATAGAGGAAAGAGGTAAAATATCAGCAACACAAACCGTTCAGACGGACAAACTCACAACTTCATTTGTAAAATAGTATTTACCGTGTCTTTTGTGGGTGCCAAAATCTCCTCGATCATCATACTGTCCCGTGCATAGGAGCTCCGGTTGAGAGTGTTGGACCTATCCGAACTGAAGGAGCGGAGGCTATAGGTTACCACGCAACCCGGTGCCGCAGGCAACAAGAAGTTATGGGAACACAAAATAAAACACAAAGCAAGAAGTCCATTACTACATGCAACCTCCAGGGAACTGTGTGGACAGAGAGGGTCCACAATGAAAGGAAGAAATAAAATTTTGGCTGCTGGTTCAGGACTAGCAAAAGGATATTCAGAGATGGAAATAGGAGGGAGGACAGTTTGTTTGCATTATAAGATAAGATAAGGATGAAGAAGGAAAGTAGGGACACTACATTAACTGTTGTAAATGCAAAACAAATACTGCATGATGTAACTAAAACACCACATAAGGGACACAGAGCAGGTGCTAGCGTAGAAAATTTTGTCGTTGTATTTTGTCATAGGTTTTGCCAATGTAATATCTTTACTGACGAGAACTAAATAACAATTAGTGATGACTAGTACTATAAATATCAGCAGTCATATTTTTGCCAACTATTAAAACTGAACAATCAATAGAAGGGACACGTGCAGACTATACTTGATATTATAGTACCATACTAAAACTGAACAGTATTATTTGACAAATCCTTGAATACAACTAAAAATAATAATGTCTACATGTAAATTAAATCTGGTTGTCAAAATGAACCCTGGCTGATAGAAGTCGATGTAATGCAATTGCTGCCTGTTCTGGCTGTACTCCTTTGGTCTAAGATTAGCAGCTGACCTAGACCAGTTTGAGAGAGACGGAGAGGAGAACCCAGCACTTTCTATTCGTCTTGCTGCAGTGTACTTTATGGCCGATCTGCTGGTCTTTAGAACATTTTTCACACCGGGAATTTTTATTAGATCTGAGCCAAAGGAGTTGTGTATTAACAGCCACTGAACCTCTGCATCTGAGTCATCCAAGTCTGTTACTGTATATATAAAATGGCAGAGCTGTCCCAAAGATTCAAAACTAAACTAAACTGACAACTGCATGCTTTATTATGTATGTGTGTGAACAGAGGGGTGGACAGAGGGGAAAATGCAGAGCTCAGCATGTTTGAGTGGGTACACATTCAGCACAGAGAGAAGGCCTTTATTCAGCAGGCCTGCCTAACCCTCCATCGAAGTTACCAAGCAACTCTGTACAGCCTGAATGGAGCGGCTGGCGTGATAGCACCACTCTATATCAATGCTGTGTCGCTCTGCTTTCCCCCAAATGTTTGTTCAGCACAGTCTCCTCCTCTTTCCAGTTCTCACTATTCTTCTCTAAGTTTCCATGAGTTTAAGTGTATGAAAAATATGTCTGAATCCATTTCTGGATAAGTTTCCATCTCTGAAAACATTACAACAATCCACAATTTACCTCTTAATAAAATATTAGTGACAACTAATTATATAGTGAATGTCCAAGGCAACATGTTGATCCCTGGAAGTTACAATACAAGGCACAAGGAAAAAAAACAAACATCCAGACCAAAACGAGAATTCATCCACACAACTTCAAATAAAACATCACTTAAAGTCACACTTAAGTAAGAGCAAATAAAAAAGTAAAGTAGTGCCTCCTTAATACACCTGTTTAAGAGCAGAGAAATGGCCAGGATGAGTTTAGATGGACAAACTAGCAAACGACACAAGACAGCAAGTAAAAAACACAGCACTCGGAAACACAAGATGATGTTAGTGTAAATTTATATGTGGATTAAGTGAAATAGTTTATGAGTCTATGGATCAATACTTAATGGAAAATGGAATTCAGTACTACTGTCTATGTTTATTACTACTATTACAACTCTTACCTGATTCTAGGGCTAAAATGACAGACAGGGTGCAAGAAGGAGAAGAGCAAAATATTGAATTGAAAAGCAAAGCAATTCAAAAACACTGAAGCGTGAAGTGTGTGTTTATATGTATATGGTTGAAAATTGCATATTTACATGATTGTATATGAGTGCAGATGTGCAAAAGTGAATCTGCCAGTCAAAATCAAAGCCAGGTTAATGTAATAAACAAACAGGACAAATAATGAATTTCTCCACAAATTGACTGACTGTGAAACTCTGAAAAATTTATGTTTTTTTCTTTCTTATAACAGTATTAAAGGTGAACTATGCAAATTCTAAGGTGGAGGGTCCGCAACTTGCTTGTCTCCATGGATATGTTATTTCTTTGCATGGAATGTTCCACAGTCTGGCATTAAACATACCTGCTTTGTTCAATTGCGGGTGTTTTACAGGTGTGATTACCTTTTTTTTTTTTTCATACTGTGGAATAATCAAGGCAAAACAATAATATCTCCATAGAGATTAACATCTGGTGGACCCTTCACCAAAAAAGTTACACAGTGCTCCTTAAAATAAAATATTTTGTTGAACCTTTAATTAATTTAAAGCTAAGCATGATAAATAATTAAATATGATCCACTTTTATCAAACACTGATTTAAACTGTACACTGTGCCCCACGGTTCATCACAAAGGATGAATGTTCATTGTTCACAAACAACTTCCTGTTCTAGAAATTCTAGATTAAAGTTAACATACAACTGTGGCACTCTCAGCAGTTTGGATTGTATATGAATAAAGCCACAAAATGCTGAATCATTTTGTCAGAGGGAATCATTAGATGCAATTGTGGCAAGTTCTATTATTTACTTCTGGGTGTCTATGAACTTGAGTTAAAGCACTGCATTTTAATATAATTGTTTCTACTGTTTATGTATGAAGTGTTGAAAAAGTAAATCAGCTTTATAACAGACATACATTAAAACAAATACATAAACAAATAAACCATCAAATTCAATCAATATAGAACATTCTGCAGCAGAGTACATGTTTATTGTTTTGAGTGACGAGGGCCTACCTGGCAGAGCGAGCTCCAATACTGAAGCCCATGTAACCCTCCTGAGGTAGAGAGTCATCCCCAAGCTCCTTGAGGTCCTGGGGCCGCAGGTATTTGTCTGTGTCTCCGGTCATGGCATCATCACCTGGCAAAGGTAACCACCAGTGTTATAGGACAATCCAGAGAAAGACTTGGATGAAAAACAAGCCCATCATGTCATCATATCCTACTACTTGTCTGATGTTAGTAGTTTCAGATAAAGTCATTATTCAGCATTATTGATTCTACACTGCATAGCCCACTGCAACTTTCACTGGCTGCAGTTATCTGTATCATAACAAAAACACCAGCAGCCAGCCTTGGGTCAAGTAAAGCGCTTTATAGGACAAACAGTGACGTCTAAAAAGATGCGGCACCAAAAGCACTTTGCACCACATCTGGATCTCTGTGTAAAACCAAACGCAGCTCTTTTCGCAACACTCAAAGACAAAACCAACATGTAACAGAGCCATCAAAGTCCCAGCGCAGACTCCAAAGAAGCAGAAACACAGCGCACCTCGATCGGCGGACCGGTGGACGATGACACGCCGCTCAATAAAGCCGCTGGAGCGGGCACCGTGTTTCTCCTTCTCCCTCATCTTCCAGCTCTGTCCTGCCTGCAACACTGTGCTCCTTCCCCGCAGCCCCTCCCCGTGCCTCCGATATTGCCGCACTCCGATCACACGGCAGCACCAGTGAGGCCAGAGCACAGGGACGCGCACACTTCCGGCACAGAGTTTCAAAATAAAACTGTCCTACTTTAGTCCATCTATTAATAAACACTACCACGGCAGTGAAACAATGTTCTATAATAATGACAGTGTTCTGCATATTCAGCAGAGGTAAGCTAGAATGTGGGGCTTCGGTAATGGTTCTTTTTCATTATCTTACATAAAACACAGCCTGGACATTAGCCTAATAAAGTTGAATGAATTTCCTTACATTCATGTAACTTCACATAGTAAATAAAAGTACGGGGATAGGCCTCTATGTCTTTGTAATAATTTACTACTGTCCCATTCACGCTTAGATAAATGGTTGGCTTTAATGGCCAATATACAGGCTATGGGCCAAACACAGTGTAGCTCATTCCATGCACGCACTTTTACCGAAATTTCACAAGTTATTTAGCCAACATAAAACAAGTTCCAAACATCATACCTTTCTCCATAGCAGCCATTTCAAACTTGCTTTTTTCGAACTAAAAAAATCCTCAGAGTTCAAGGGTAAATCCACAAAGGAGTTATAGCGTGACTTATCGACTCAGTGCAACAGTTGCTGATGGAAAATGTTGCCTCTTTGGTGCGCTCTTAATTCTGCTCCGAACAAACTCGGCTGGGCATGTGATGCGCCGGCGCGGGTGAGGCGCATCTCTATTAAAGTTTAGCACTTTAAATCGTTAAAATGTAAAGCCTTTCCTCTCCTTGCAACAAAAGCGACAAAATGTGTAGTCCAATCCATCTGACGCAACCGGCAACACCGAGGTTAATACTGGCCCAGTAGAGACGGCTCAACCAAAGCTCATCTGCCTGGATTTAGAGCCAGAGAGAAAGTAGCCTACGTCCACGGCGTCAATGGTTTCACCCGCTCTGGAATCACCGTAGCTGCTGTGGTTTGTCCAGTGTCAGAGGAAACTCAACAGAATGACAGTAAAGACTCACTGAACCCTCCCAGGGCTCCTCTGAGGGCTGACTGCGCTACAGACTGGGAGGGTGGGGGCAACAATTGTCTAATGATTAAGTAACACTACCACATATATTATAATACTGTTATTATCAGCTACTACTTACTTTACTTTACACTCAAAACAAGTACAAGATGTGGCTCACAGAAAGGTTCACAGTTTGCAGGCAAATCTTCAACAGTGGATAATTAAGGAGACTGTGATGTGATTACAGCACAAGACTTAAGTTGCATCCTAAAAATGGCCAAATTAGAGCAGTAGTAGTCTATAGAAAGCAGGAGCGTGTGGGCTAATTGGTCAAGCTTCTCCAGTGCACAGGAATACACCGTCATGACCTGTCACACTCACTTTACCGAGCAGCCTAATAGGATAGGCCTCCCTTATATAGGATTAAACAGTGCTGTGGAAACTCTTAACATGCAGTGCAATAAGTATTCTGCCCCCTGTTCTTCTCAGAAATCTCTATTACCTCAGAGATGAATTAAAACATGTCCAAATGTTACACTTGAAAGTAGGCCTATCAAGCTAATTACTATATTGACTTATCATTCAGTATATGAAAGCTAGGATGATACATTTTGGGGCTCAATGTTTATTGTGTGTACAATTTCTGTGCAATTATAAGGAGGTTTTTGCCATTTTTATGTAATACAATAAGATTTGATCTGTAAAGTGTAGAATAAATCATTTCTATGGCTAATTCTGCCCTTTATTTGTTGTAGCTCAAGCCTTTTAATGAAAGACTATATTTAAAGTTAACTGCGGTTATCCTGCTTTGTATCAATGGCATAAAGTAGTTTCAGTATTATTGTTTATGGCAACATTTCTCTGTAGCGATACATCGTGCTTCAAAATTTGATATCGTGATAGGCCTACTTGTAAGTGAAGCCATCCCAGAGACATCAGCCTGTTGATGTGTGTGCAGTGTTCCTGGTTCAAGTCCAATGTTGATAAATTATGCACATTGTATAAACAGTTTAGATGGAGGCACAAGGCCATGGACACTGCTATTTATATTTTCTACATGATGATGGTGCACTAGATCTAAAAAGTGCACTGGATATAACATGCAATGAGAGAATATTTTGTTTAACTAAATAGCTCTGATACAGCTCAACAAATCCATCATAGCAGAATCTCCATGCCAGCCCATGTGTGTAACCTGTGAGTGTATCAGCTGACAGAAACTCCACACGACTGAAGCAGCAGCCCATGAACGAGCTCATCAATTTTACACAAGTGCAGCTCTGTGGCTCAAAACAAGAGCCAGTGGGCAGGGCAAAAACACTGACTTTGGTCTAAAACTTTACTTAACAGGTTGGTTAGCTTTACAGCATTGTGGAGGTCACTCTACAGCTTAATTATGTTATGTAACTGCTAAACACACATCAAGTGACTATTTAGTGAGTGTGTTAAACACAAAGAGCTTGTAAGTGTCAACTAAATTATGTGTCAGTTGTCCCTTGACTTTGTTTGACACAGTCTTTGTCTCATAGCTTAAAACATAAACAAGTTTGCTAGAGTCAAATTACTACATATAAACAAATGTCATAGAACAAATCTTTTAAGTAGCAACTAAGTATCAGAAAAAGAAGCAAACACAAGAAGATCAGTATCAGTTCAGGGTTAAATTATGATAGATATATGCATATAGATACCTTATGTGGTACATGTATTATACGTTTCCATACCTTCATCATCAGACATGTCCAGGAACTCATTCATCGTCTCTGGGACATTAATTTTATGTTTTTCTGATGCAACCTGCTGGTAGAAGAATAATATTTTAGATTTTAGTAAACTGTAAAACAAACCAACAAATACAGTTTAGCTGAGTAAATGAAAGAACACATTTTCTGAATCAACATAAAACACTGAAGCTGCCACATGTTTAATACAGGCAGGATACAACAGCCGGCCTATGAAGATAAATAATAGAACAGTCGTATCAAGGTGTATGGAAATGACCTTGATCTTTGAGCCACATCACAGTGGAAAGGGACATTATTGAGTAATAGACCATGCTGCTGCTGATGCAGGGTTTTGTCCTCTTAGTTGACTCAGTCTTTATTCAATGTCTTCTGGTGCATTCTAGTCACAAACACACCCTTTGATAGCTTGACTAACACATTTTTTCACATGTATAGATCAGGTCATGTCAAGATAAATTATTTAAAATAAACATTTACTTTGTTTTAGTTACAGAGCTCATATTACACTATTTTCTGATTTATATTATATTGTTGTTTCCTTGTCAAAACATATCTGGAGCTGTGTTTTGTTTCATTCACACACATTTAACACATAAACCCTGCATATTTAGGTCAGACAGAAAACACTCTGTTCCACCTCATGATATATAATACAGGAAGTGCTCCACTGTGTTTTTAAACTCCATACACCTTCAGTAGAAATATTTGGATAATTTCAGCCCTGGAAATGCCAATCTTTACCAAACAAAAGGTAAAAGGTAGCTGTTAACTTGAAAACTACAATTTCATGACATCATAAGGTGGAAAAGAGAATTTTGAGCTTTGGAGATGAAGACAGACAATTAATAGAAGCTTGCTCAAACGTGTGTGAATGAAGCAAAACAACTCTGAGGTATGTTTTTGAAGAGGTAACAACATTCTAACATGGCTAATAGGACTTTTAATATATCTACAGCATATTTTTATTTTGTCTGATTTATTTTGATAACATTAGACTTACCACTGCGTTCAAGTTATCATCAGTAACAGGCCGCAGAGTATCCACCACAGAGATGTACCCGAGGCGGCGGGCAATGGACAAGGCAGTGTTCCCGTTCTGATCACAGACACAAACACAACACAGAGTCACAAAGAGTCACATGAGTTTGAAGTTGCAGTGAGTGACAGTTTGTTCTGATTGTGTTTGTGCACTGACCAAGGTGAGCTCATTGGCCGAAGCTCCATGCTGAAGCAGCAGGTTGACGATATGTGTATGGCCCTGTTGAGCGGCTTGGTGGAGAGGTGTGTACCCAGTCTACAAAAAAAGTTCTAATGTCACCTAGAACTCATACACGGCCAAATATATAGTATAATAGTAGGATGAACTGCAGTAAATAGATAAGTATTTTTCTCTACCTTGGTTTTGCCGTTAATTCTTGCATGATGGTGCAACAGGAAGTTTGCCATCTTTGAGTTACCATAGTGACAAGCCACGTGTAATGGAGTGTAGCCCGTCTGAGAGAAGCAAATATAAAAACATGAGGAATAAGACACAAAAAAGTAAAAACTATATATGCAATGTGTTCACATAGACAGTTAGGCTTTACAACTTAAAGATGCACTTAGTAACTTTTCTGGTGGAGGGGCTGCCATTTTCTGGTCTCCATGGTCATATTATTGATTTGCCTTGAATGTTCAACTGTATGTATGTACTCTTGAACATTCAAGGCAAATTACTTCATATTTACTTCTCAAAACTACCACAAAAACATGCATTATTTCTGTGAGCTGGTCCACCTTTCCACAGATCTGACCTTTAACTTGACGAGGTGACGTGGCTGCTTGTCTCCATGGAGATAGTTAAATAAAATGCCATACTGTAGAACGGGGTCTCCAACCTGTAGCTCAGGAGCTACCAGTAGCTCTCTACCCCATTCAGAGTAGCTCGCCAAGGGATTTATGAATTCTTTGTATTGTGTCAAAAAGTCAAATTTGATTAATTACCACTGTAAATGTATTATTTTCAGACCTAAATTTGGGCACTGATAAATGGATAATGGTTTATGTTTTAGAGGCATCTAACTGTTCCACATCTAAGGCTTGCCAAGACTCTTATATATACTTTTTTATCTATATATCTATATCGGTGACGGACCCTCAATCAGAAAAGTTACAGAGTGCACCTTTGACAGTATTTCCCTCGATCACATTTGGATTTCATATACAGAGCCTTAAAGCTACAAGAGATGGTGAGTGAATAAACTGCCGTAAACTGTCCTCTCAGCACATTTGTGATGCACAGGCCTGGTTCAACCTTGGGATACACCACTTTCATATACCCTAGGCTCCACTCTACTAGACCATGCACAACCCCAATGTCATATGTATTTCAGCTAAGCACTAGATTATTTCTCATCTTCAGTCTTTAGTTCAGTTTTTTGTATTTTTCCACATTTTAAAAGAAAATTGGACTGGGAGTGTGCAGACATTTTAAACCACAAGGGGTCAGTAAAGAAACTAATAATTGAGAGACTTGAGCTATACCAAGGTGAAAGCATTGTTATAGAAGTCTTAAACGTCTCCCAAGTTACATACATAGGTTCTATTTGTGTATTACCTTTGTGGGGGTGTTTATATCCGCCCCATGGTTGAGAAGGACTTCTGCAACATTAACTTTATCTTCCTGAGCTGCTAAATGAAGAGGTGTAAGTCCATTCTGGAAAAAAAAAGTTTTAATTTGTTTGAGTAATCGAAGGGGTCATTCACACATGTTTCACACACAAACCCTGTATATGAGTTCTTCTCCCAAGCAGAAAACACTCCACCTTGTCATGTGATAATAAAATAAATACTCCACTGTGTATTTAAACTCCATACACACTCACTAGGATCATTTGGATCATTTCAGCACTGGAACTGACTATCTCTGCTAACAAAAGGCAAAGGTAACTGTTTAATTGAAAACTACGATTACATGACATGACAAGGTGGAACAGAGCATTCTGAGATTTGAAGGTGTAGACAAACTAATATTTAAGGATTATGCAATCATGTAAATGAAACAAAACACAACTCGAGGTATGTTTTTGATGAGGTAACATTATAAAGTGGCTTAAAGCTTACATGTGTAAATTTTGTGTAATATAGGACCTTTAAAGTGTCATATATAAATTCTATAATGCTTACACACTAAATCAAGATGCAGTATTAGTCCGAGTGACTCTCACCTTATTGCACACATTGACGTTAGTGTTCTTGGCCAGCAGTAGAGACACCAGGTCGACACTGCCCTCCTGAGCTGCCAGGTGAATGGGACTGATGCCCTGCCGTGTCACTGCATTTGTGTCCGCCCCATACTCTAGCAGTGTGGTCCCAATGTCCATTTGGTTCTTTTTGGCAGCTATATGCAGAGGCGTGTAGCCATTCTGGTATAGACAGGATAGAGAACGATTCAGACAGTGAAACAGCACACAAAATGCAATGATTGATATACAAGTCTCCTTCTCTGTATGGTTTCATGTAATTAACTTTTTTTTTAATTGAGGCATATTGTAACAGTTATCCATAATATTTTCATAGGCATTGCCACAATATGTACAATATTTTCTTATCCTCGGTATTAATCATCAATGCAATATTATGCAACAGACTGAAGTAAGAACAGTCAAGTTTGTTAAATGCTGTTATGTATGGTTGCAACATTGCTATTTCCCTATTTTGGATAACTTAATGGTGTATTATGTAACTTTTCTGGTGGAGGGTCTGTCACATGCTTGTCCCCATAATGTCTTGAATAAACTATCTTGGATTTACTCAATTACATGTGTTTTATTGTCTGTAAAATATACATTCTTTCTGTGAGTGGGCTTGCCTCTCCACAAATCTGACCTTGTAACTTGACCCTGTGGCACCGTTTGCTTGTACTTAGTTGAGATAAATAAGTGTAATACCATAATGTGGAACACTCCAAGCAATGCAATAACATCTTCATGTAGACAGGCATGTGTGGCATGGCAGACACTCTACCAGAAAAGTTACACATTGCGCCTTTAAGGTTTTTGTTATTTTACACTACCCTTAACAATATGCACCTACCTTCTCAAGCATAACATAACAACATGTAATAATACTTAACTCAGAACATTTATCACCAAGTAATCACATGTTATATAGGAACTACAGTAAAATAAAGTGTATATATTTTATTATCTTATCTTAAATCCCTGCTCACAGTAAAGTTACAAACACAAGATTGATCTCATTCCAAAGCACTCTAAATTAGCCCAAGCATACCAATTTTATCACCCAGCCAAATGAAGACAATTTATAGACAGTAAAAGTGAAAAAGAAAGGAGTGACTAATAGTGCAGGGGAAAGAGTCCTGACAGGCGAAAGAGGGGCTAAGAAATAAATAAGAGTGAGAAAGAGATTAGAGGATTACAAGACAGAGGTAGAAATAGTGCACGGAGAAGAACATGTCAAGTAAAGATAAATGAAGGGTAAAGTTTATGTCTTCCCCTAATGTTCAGTATATGCCTACAGAACTGTGCAGCTAAAAACAAGATCGTTGTCTGGAGGTCCATCATTCCTATTGGGTGGTTTTAAGGCTTATCTGACAAATATTAAGCCTGTACAACAAATAAAAAAGGTAATTATTTTGAACTAAATAAAAATGTGTAAGAATTGTGATTTGTGACAACAGACATAAAAAAAAAATCTATAGCATGCAATTAAAAACAAGCTGGCAATATTGACTTGAACACCATACACACTGATGAGGCCTATTAATGTTATACATTGGCAATGGCAATAACTGACTGTAAGTATACACAGTTTCACAAAATAATAATTAAACCAGGACTAGAACAGGTCCAAACTAGAGATACACAATTCAGGGTTTTCTGTTCCGATGTTAATATTTAGGCTTTAAGTATTTGCCGATACCCGATATCAACCGATACTAAGGCAGAGACTGAAAATGTCATTTATTTCCTAAATGAGGTATGGTAAAAAAATATATATCCAAATGTGTGTATCCAAACTGTTATTTATCATCAAGTAACTACAGAACAACTAATATTACACGGTGTTTTTGGGCCAATAAAATGTGTTTACTACACCAATTTATAGATCCAAATAGGATATTGTCTGAATTGGTATCTGATCCACCAAAATGTTCAATATCAGCTCCGATATCTGATACCAGTATTGTATCAGTGCATCCCTAGTCCAAACCTATGACTCCTCGCATGATCCTTTGTATGTTTGAGTGCTTATACCTTGGCAGCAGAGTGAGGGGAAGCTCCCTGGTCCAGCAGTAGCAGTGCCACTCTCTGATTATCGTAGTGAGCGGCCACATGCAGTGGAGTTAGCCCGCTCTAAAACACCAGCCCAAACGGACACACAAACACACGAGCATGCAGCGCTAGGTTAGAATACTATTACAAAACACACAAATGAAGAAGGTATGCATAAAGAGACTAGCAACAAATATAAAAACAACAAAATGAGAGAATGGAGGAGATCAATGCATACTGTGTTTACACAAAAAAATCATGCTAAGATATGAAATAGAATAGACAAAACAGATTCAATGGGATTACGATTTGTGCAAGGTATTACAAAGTATACACTTAAATTTCAAGATAAAATCATGCTAAACTATCTAGACTATGTGTACCAGGCAGTAAAATCTGTATAGTATCAATCTAAAGGTTATATGTCTAAAGGTTATTTGCATTTTTACACAAACACACCTTTCCAGCAGCATCAGGAGCGGCTCTTTTTTGCAGGAGCAGACTGGCCACCTCCATCTTTCCGTACTTTGCTGCTACGTGCAAGGGACTGAACCCTTTCTGTGTAAAGAGAATGCAGATTGTCAGAAATTGTGCAACAGTAATTGATGCACGTTTTGAGACATCCTGGAAGCAGATATTATAAGCGACTTAAAGTAACAGTCACCAGTCACCCACAGAAGCCGAGAAGAAGCTATCGCATTGGTAGCAAAACGTTGGCTTCAAAAATCACAAAAAAAAATCACTGTACATAAGTACAGTTTTTGTTTTTGTTTAACTCACTCAATATAATATAATAAATTTATATTCATGTTAATAAAAATATTAATTAAATGACAGAATCTACAGGAATGCAATTTATGTGTACATCTGCAAATCTGAATAAAATGCATCACTGGAAGTTGTCAAAATGCTGTAATAACATTTTTTTTCCTGCAACCCCATCAGAAAATATGCTGAGGTCCATCCATTCCTCTGTGTCTACAATGATTGTTTTGTTACGTGATCATGTTAATCTTGGCTTCCTTCCTGTGTGCAAGATATTTTAAGACATTACGTCATTTTTTCCAGGAGAACGTGGGACTTTCACAGATTCCACGCTCTCCAACACTTGACCTCATTTGATACAGAAAGATAGTTCGAACTCATACAAATTCATAGAGAGCCAAAACTTGCCTTGAAAAAGTAGTACTAGGCAGAAGGACAGAAGGATCCAATGCACACTAACCAGATACATAAAAGTAATTTTTGCAAAAAAGATCAGTGTGCCTTCGATCCTTCAATCTTCAGTACTACTATTTCAAGGCAAGTTTTAGCTCTCTTAATACCAGTATATGTTCACGTTTTTACAGTTTAGTACATAATTCCTGACACAGTGAAGCACTCACTTCCGTGCCTGCCTCATACAAATTCATACTGGCAATTTGAAAGAAAATGTAGGCAAGCTACTAGTTGTACATATTTTTATCGACAAATTGGATAAATATAGATTCTTATTCCCTATCCATCAGAATGACAAAATTTCCTTGAACGCAGGTGGCGTCCCCACAGATGCTCCATGTTCAGAGATGGAGTGAATGAGTAAAGAAAGTGAAAAAAAAATAGAGGAAACAGGCCCAGTGGGGTTTACACTTTGTTAATTTGTCCCACTGAACAAGGTCAACTTCAAGGACAGCCTCCAGCAACAAAGCACACTGGCCACATGTGACTTATGGAGAGGAATCTAGTCCATCTTTCTATTTGACCTTCATCTGTGCAATTAGACAAATGCAGATCCATTTCAGCCAGGGACTAAACTACTAAACATTTCGTGCAAATGTAAAGATGTAAAGAAGCAATAGTACCATTACAAAGAGAAAATAAGACAAAATAAGCTGCTATTTCACTTTGCTTGGTTTCACTGTTTCACTTTGGTTTCATGTTATTAGCTTGACTGTACTAGAAACAAAGAATTCAAAGATTTTTCAGTGTTGAGATTCTGTTATTCAACTGCACACTTAAAAAACTAGTGATTGTTGCAAATAAATATTAGTGCCCTCTAGTGGTTTATTTTTTTCTTTATAAAGCACTTAAAAACAGAAGTATAGAGTAAGCATTCACATGATATTGTAACAGTCTAGCATGCCTTAAGTTTAAAATTGAGCAGAAGGACAGGTTAGAATTTGGAATTAACTGTCAGATTGTATTTTTTTTATATTTTATTGTTTGTCTGCAATAAAGATATCCATCTATTAGTTGACATAAGTGAATGCACAAATCGTAGGTGCATTCATATTCACAGACGGACCTTAGTGGATGAAGAGAGAGAGGCTCCATTCTCCAGCAGTATGGCCGCCACATCCTGGTGTCCTTCGCGGGCAGCCAGGTGAAGTGGGGTGTAGCCTGAGGTGGTGGCAGCGTTGGCAGAGGCGCCGCACTGCAGCAGCTGCTGGACTATTTCCACTTTCCCCAACCGACTGGAGATGTGCAACGCGGTCTGGTCGTCCTAAACAGAAATAAGTTTGTATGCCTTCATGTTATCACTAATTTTTTGTTTGTAATATAATGGCTAATGTCTGTCTAACTCACCTTGGACTTAGTCTCCACTTTTGCACCATTTTTGAGCAAGTACCGCACTACATCTGCTTGGCCTGCCCTCGCCGCCATATGGAGAGCTGTTTCACCTCTCTGGAAGACAAAAATGCTCATAGTAATGCTTTCTTATATTTATATAAATGAAACAGGTTACAGTTGGTTTATGGTAAATTACACAAATATATTGCAAAAAGAAATCCCAAACTATTGATTGAAAAAGTATAATTTACTTACTACATTGGTGGTATTTGGGGATGCTCCATGGTGTGTTAATGAATTGACTATGTTCTCATGGCCCATAAAGGCAGCCACGTGTATTGGTGTGAGACCAGACTGAGAAGAAAACATTTCAATTAATACAAAATATGTTAACAATCTACCTCACATAATTGTAAGTGGAGATAATAAGAGATAATATTGGGTATTTTTGAATTAGCTACCATATATTGTTATTTCAAAATACTTTACATAACTTCATTCTCGACAGTAAAAAAAATAAATAATAATAATAATAATAATAATGGGAAGTGGTGTTGCATGTACCTCTGTGACAGCTTGTATTGAAGCCCCATGTTTAAGCAACAGCTCCATCACTCGGACTCTGTTCTTCTTGCAGGCAATGTGTAGTGGTGTGAATCCATTCTGTACAGAAATATGAATGAGAAACAACAAAAGTAGCAAAATACTACTTATTTTTTATTTATTATTACCATTTATATTTTTGCTCTTTCTAATTATCTTATATTGTGATGTGTGAGCTATTGTGCCCAAATAATTTCCCTTATGGATCAATAAAGTTGGAAAGTTTGAAAGTATAAGTCTAAAAAGTCCGACCTAATAATTTCTAACAACCTTCACATAAAGAACAAACACAAAAGCCCTTACCAGAGCCTTGGCATTTGGGTTGGCCTTCTTGTCGACGAGAAGCTTGGCCACCTTGTAGTGCCCACAGTGCGCAGCCACGTGTAGCGCTGTCAGGTAGTCATTGGTCACATCGTCCACTGGAACATTGTGCTGCAACAAGAGCTGGACGCAGTTGAGGTGGTCCCCCTGAGTAGCCATGTGAAGAGGAGATAGGCCGTTCTGTGGAGAGAGATGTGCAGAAAGAAAGGAAGAAAAACAGAGAGACAGAGCGAGACCAGAGAGAGACCAGGACACACCAGACGCACACATAGACAGATGGACAGAAACACAGACACAGGAGTTAGAGTGGGGCAATTGGCTGCATAGAAAAGACTGTGAAGAAGTTGTGGAGGTTACAGGAGCATTGTTATAACGGGGTCATTACAACAATGTCTATTTGGTTACACTGGTCGTCCTGCGTGGTCAAACTGAAGGGCTACGCAGCGGAGACGGGCAGTTCTGGAGAGGTCGCACACATGTTTATAGGACACACAGCCACATCACTACAGCCATAGGGTAAGACTGTAACTATGGGACTGTTAAGTGAGATATCATGGGTCCAACAGTTCCATATATATAAACAGCAGAAATAGGGATATCGTTTGAACCTTGTGATAAGTTAAGGAAATATCATAGACTGTATATATAAATCGACATTGCTAACTCACTATCTGCCGAGTATCAAATACAAAGTGAGCATCGGGCATTTCCAGCTCAATCAACTCTGGCTCCAATTAACTTTACATTGAAAAATTGTCACCCTTCTCTCTGCAACTGCTGCAGTGAGCCTTGTTGTTTTGGTCTTAAAATGTCCGTATTAAACCACTCTACATGATCCTGATCTTTTTATTTCACTATTTTGTCCATAAATAAATTCCTGTTCTTAATATGGAACTGGTTGAGGGCCTCGTGAGCTTCATTTGACTGGAGCCGTATACTATGGGTGATGTCACACTCCCTTAGTCCACTTCTTTATTCAGTCTATGGAAAATATCATGGGGCCTGTTTCATGCTACATAATGTCCATTTCTACAACCATTTTGAATTGTTTAAGTGCGTTATTTTTTAGCTTATTTTAAAGTAGTATTATATTCATGGCTAAAAATACTCTCTAGAGGAAACCAGAGTACATTTGTCTTTTTTTGTCCAATAACATAAGACAGCATTGTTCAAATATCTGGACCAGGCTAAAATCTACTAAAGTGCAATTATAGTGACTGAAGGGAGACCCTTCAGTAGTTTAATGACATCATCATTTAACAGTCCCATAGGAAAGTATATGCTACAATCTATACTCAAATGACTTAAGAATTGTGTGGAACTGTTTAAATCAAAAACACCTAAATGATAGCTAACAGCACAATACATTTCCAATGGATACAAAACTGATAACAGAAGCTACCTTGGTCTTGGACAAAAAGGGAGCTCCTCTGTCCAGTAGTATTTCTACCACCTGTGCATGACCACTTCGTGCCCCACAGTGAAGTGGTGTCAGACCATCCTAAACAAAGTAAAGTAGAATTATAGAACAAGAATTATTATTTTGTCTCAAATAAGAAAGTGTAATAACCAACCTTGGTTTTTGCATCGATTTTGGACCCTCTGTCCAGCAGCAGCTTCACCATGTTACTATTGCCCCGTTTTGATGCCACATGAAGCGGTGTTATGTCATTCTACACACAGAAAATACATCAGAATCAGAAATCAGATCAGATCAGAAATGAACAACTAGGCCTATCACGATAACAACAACAACACGATAACAAATGAGGTGCAATAAATAAACAGCAGTACTTAGTTTGTATCTGTAATGGGGCATAGAAATCATTAATTCAACCTTTTACAGCTTAAATCTTACCATAGAGCCAAAAAAATAATGAAAATATACGCATGGTAAAAACTGACCCCAAAAAATATTGTTCCAGCTTTCATATATTGACCGATAAGTGGATATAGTAATTATCATGACAAGTCTTTGAACAACCATTATATAATGAAGATGTTGCAGAAAGAACGTAAAGTGACACTCTTGTCCTTAAATGCTTTTAAAACAAAGGTGAAACCATCAGAGACAGCTTCAATGCTGTGGACTTGTTTTTCCTAATCTGTGATGTTATTTTAACTACTGTCTCTTGGCCAGGACTTCCTTGAAAAAGAGGTCGGGTCCTGGTTCCTGGTTAAATAAATGTTAAAATAAAAAAATGTTGGGAGCAGTTGTTTTTGTAGTGGTTTGTTCCCATTTTAATTCTGTAAACTGTGAAAGCCTCCAGTGTAAGGCCTAACCTGTAATCAGTGTCAAAGCCCCGCACAAACACCAACACAATTACAGACTCTGCTGATCCTGCTAGTCTGATGTCAACCACACACTGTATGCCCCACAATTTACTAGAAATTAACATAAAATTTGCATAATTGATTAATAAGTTATTAATATAGCTTTTTAGTCCAGATAAAGTATAATCAATGTGATACATATGTTAGCAAACAATTAGTAATTCTAAGATCATTATTACTCATTCCATAGCCAAGTAATGCTACTTGTAGTCTGTACTAACATGTTTCAAGTGTCTAATATACTGGTGAATTACGTCTTACCAAGTGGATGTCATTACCCCTCCCTATCAGCAGATGGCAGAAAATACTCACTCTGGCCATGAAGTCCACAGCAGCCCCTCTATTCAGCAGAAGTGTAGCAACATTGATGTTCCCATAGTGTGCTGCGATGTGGAGAGGAGTGAAGCCACTCTGAGAAGGCCAAAACATATCACATTACACACACAAACACTGTATGTAAATGTCCTTGGTTGAATTCCATTGGACACTGGATTTATTCAAACTAAGTGAATACATTTAATAAGACTCTACAACAGAGGCCAACAGCATTATCACTAAAGATACAAGGTTAAAGCTTCACACATGGGCCCAGAGTAGGTAGTGAGCTCCACTAAAACCTCCTGTGATGTCAGTATGCCACATGTTATATTACACCAGGCAGCAAGTAAAAATGCCATACATAAACAACAACAACCAAGATGGCACTGATAGAGAGTGAGCTATATGAATACTTAGTTTATTCTATTTCTCTACCAGGGTCTCTCTAATCTAACATCTATGTGTTTGTAAAATCACTGGCACATAGCACCACCTATTTTTTGAGTTTGATGTAACAAAAGGAGAACCACGTTTCACTCCAAACAAGCATTAAATAACTGACAAATCCTAAAGTCAGGGCAGTTAATCATTCCATGCTACCACATGTTTAAATGATTTAAATAGAACTCATCCTAAATGTATGGACAGTAAAATCTTGGTCTTGGAATTTATTTTTATTTATTGCTTGACATACAGTCCCAGTCACAATTTGTCATCATGCCTCTTTTGTGAACATTTTAGATGGAGGCCTGGGAAATGAAGTGTTTGTAAAACTGTATGTCAGATGCCCTAGAAGCATGTAGGAAGCTTGTCAGTGTGGTCCCATGCAAAATGCTTGAGTTGTAAAGGTTCATGATTCAATAAACAGGTACTCACTCTAATCTGTTTATAGCTGTCTGCTATGAGAGGACAGGGGTTTTCTACTGTTTCATGGGAAATTGTTGCCATGCACATGATAGACAAACAATCGCTCTTTATAGAATGATAACCACATTACATGCCCACACTGGTTATCATGTTATTAGTTTCATGGAAACCGTGTTTTCAAAAGCCTACACATTTTTGTCCAAAGATCACAACACAAATTCATTAAAATAAACAAATAGATAATACATTTTGAAAACCATGAAACCATTCAATCAAGGGAAGTCTCTGAACCAGTCCTAGGAACACATGCGTCTCTAGTCTGGCCTTATCTAAGAAAAATTCAGATATAGAAAATGAAGCAATGAATGGGAATAAAAGAATACTAAGGAAAATACAAAGATGGGAAAGGGGCTGCAGAAAGAGCACTAAACTATTAAGTAATTTTTGATGAACTGCAATGAGACGTTTATGTGAAGTACAGAGTAGAGGTATACCTCTGTTGCTCTATTCACCATCATCTACAGTCAGCCAAGAGGGGAGCAGAAAATGGGTAATTAGAGGGAAAAAAATAAATATTAATGCCTCCCAAACAGGGGATGGGGGAGTAGAGCATGGAAGACGGAGCTGGGTGCATCTTATATGGTTGAATTATACGTTTACATAAATGTAAATCATCTGCCTCTTTTAAGTGTGTGTTTTTCTTTATATAGACACAAGTTAAATAACATGTTAGATAACAGTGGGATGAAATAGGAAAAAACGAAATAAAAATAGGAGAAAAAGCACATCAAATAATTAAAATAAAGGAAAGAAGTCAACATTAACATTAATATAAAAAACTGTAAAAGTCAAGTAAAAGCAGAATAAATCAACAAAATGAAAGTGTCAGCAATGGTAAAAAAGACTGTGTTTCCAAGGCAATAAATGAAAGTGGAGTGTCTCTCACCTTGGATTCCACGTCTGCGTTGTGGTCGTTTTGCAGGAGCAGGGCCGCGGCCTTGGTGTCGTCCTTGCGAGCGGCGATGTGCAGGGCAGGCAGGCGCACCTTGCCCTTTGTATCGTTCTCCAGAAGCAAGGAGACCACCTGGTCATGGCCCTGCTGGAGGGCCACCGCCAGAGGGGTGAAGCCATCCTGAGAGGAGGGATACAAGTGCCAAGTGTGAAACACACATTTATCTGTTACACTGTTGGGACTAGCTTAAGTAGCATGGTTTCTAATCAGTCCCACATAAAAGTATATTATTGTGTTCAGTAATTCTTCTAAAGTACATGTCAGTTACAATGCATGTTTAGATACACCAGCAGGTGTATTTCTGCTTACATGAGGTGTATTTACAGACAATCTAAATGCGTGAGAAAGTGCTCTGTGTACCATACAAGAATGTCCTAAAAAGCTGCACCTTAAGCAGTTGCACAGGCAGCAGTTTTATGACTGTGTGTATTTTGGCTTTTCACGCATGTTAAGTGTGTTGTTGATGTGTGTATTTTGCCTTTTCACACATGTTTATGTGTGTTTTTGATGGTGTGTATGTTTTGCCTTTTCACACATGTTTATGTGTGTTTTTGATGGTGTGTATATGCGTTCCACAGCCTGAGCAACGTAAATCAGAGCAGTGATGGCAGCGGCAGCCGAGGCAGGAGCCATGGAGAGGAGCAGACCTCATCAGTGACCCACTCAAGGTCACTCCACCATCATACACTAGCAATCAATGGAGCTGTGCCTAGTCCCTCACAGCAAGATGAAAGGGGGAGGGGCCGGGTGCAGAGTGTGAGACAGAGGTTAGGATGTAGACAAACTCACACATACAACACAGAGAGAGGAGCAGATGAAGGTGGTTAGTACAACAGCTGTAAGATCTAACATGATTCTGACACACAAATGTACAAAGGCACGTGATGTTGAAACTCATGTACACCAGGCTGTGTGAACTCTACCTCAGTGGCCATACTCTGACTGGCACCATTTTCCAAAAGGAACCGGACGACTTCCAGATGATTCTCCTGAGCGGCCATGTAGAGTGGGGTGAAGCCATTCTAAAATAAACAAACCAATAAGAACGTGTTGGAGATAGAATGCTTAACTACAAACATCACATGGTCCAAAAACACAGTTGCAGGCTACAATAATTCTTTATCATCTTTGAAAGTAGTGTAAATTCTAACAAAGGAAGCAATATTTCAGGCACTATTATCTGATGGAGTTAAAGTGCAGCTGTTTCATTTAAGGGCCCGAGACCTGTTGGATAAAGACCAGACACTGAGCAACAGACATTTTTCAAACAAAAAACAACAACTTATTTATACAAACAGGGGTTTCCTAGACCTTATAATAGTTTACCAGTGTGAGAGATATCCTACCTGAGACTGTGCATTGACATTGGCTCCATTGGTGACAAGCTCTTTGACAACTTCCGCTTGTCCTGCCAGCGATGCTATATGCAGAGCAGTGTTTCCTTTCTGGATTACATGGAACAACCAAAGGCATGTGAATTAAAATCCCATGCACCTGTCATGAGCATTCTGCTGGCCATTCTTGGCTTAGTATGTGCTCCCCCAGAAGTCATTGTTGTGGGCGGCTGTTAGCTAGCTCAGTCATCCTCTGCTGGTGTGGCCAAGTATGTGTCATTTCCCAAAGTGGTAAGCCTTCTTTTGAATAATACTCAAAACTAGCATTTAAAACATAAAATGATAATTTCACAAAAGACGAAAGACCCACTTATGTGGTGTTACAGAAATCATGTTTAATGCATTTATTTTTTTTAGATATAAAATGATTGCCTTAGTATGACCTGCGGCTCTACAGTGATCCTCCTACTGAATGTGAAACATTAAGTATAAATAATTGATTAAACCAAAAATGTTGCATGTGGTGAAGGGTTGGTGTAAACAGCCTAAAATGCCTCTCCTGGGTAACTGTCTCAGTCGTATGCAAAACAGTGAAAGAGGGCACAGACACAGAACTCCCCTGATCTCTTACTAATCCCTGAACCTCCTCAGGGTCAAAACACAGGCTTTAATTGGGCACATTTGCTCCTTCCTCTTGAATTTTGGATCATACCCCTCTTCATGCATGGAGTGTATATGTAGCTTGAGGTAAAGAGGCTACACAAGAGGACTAACTAGTGAAATAAAACCTCTGAGGGCATGATGGCTTTTTAACTAAGTAAGCAACTTTAAAGAACTTTTAAAATTAACACATTTCTTTTGTGTTTCTGATATATGATTGTTACACAAGACTTTGTTGTGAAGTGCTTTTAGTCATGAATATGAATGTAAACAAATAATATACTTTGCTCATATAGAAGCCAGTGCAGATTTCTGTCAGTGTGAAGGAACTGCATCAGCCCAGGCTTTACCTTTGTGGCTGCATCCACAGTGGCTTCAAGCTTCAGCAGCTCAGCAACAACCTCCACATGCCCCTCTTTGGAGGCCAGATGAAGAGCGTTCAAACCATTCTGACAAAAAGCACAGTACAGTCAGAATCACTGTCGCAGCAACAAAGTAAAAGCCTTCATACTTTTTAATACATAAGCAACAACTGCATCAAATCCAAAGCAAATCTCATGTTTTACCTGATTGCAAATGTTGATCTCAACCCCAGTCTTGAGGTAGTCAAGGACTTTTTCAAGGTTTCCAGCCCGGGCAGCTCGCAGGTAACTGGCATTACTGTCAGACTGGAGAGAAAAGAAAGAAGTCATGTTAAACATGCCGCAACATGACACAAACTGTATGTTCAAATGTTCGTGTACCAAGTAGAACTCTGTCATAGTTTCTCAAAAAACATGTTAATCTAAGTCAAAACAAGGCTTAAGCCACAAAATATACAATCACTCAAACCACCAACAATAAGAATCAATCCAGTGCAAAAGTACTCCAGATAATAAAATCCCAGATTAGTTATAATTTTGTAATCCAAAAGTCAGGGTGGTCAGTGTGAGAGCCCATGCAGCTGATATAATCTATCCTCCTCTATAGTAACCAGGCACTTGAGAGCATTTGACGCTGTGGTACAAGCAGCCGGCATCCTCTACACTGATTCGCTGTCCTTTATTTCTCAACAGAAACAGGCTATGCACACCAAAATAAAATGATGAGGCAAGCACGTTTTTTTTCCCCACTATAACAAATGTGATGTGCATGTGAGGTAGAGAGAGGGAGGAGAGGAGGCGGAGCAATGGTAAGGAGGTATGAGAGCAAGTAGCAGGAAGAGCTTTGAACATAAGATTCGCAGATGAATTTCAGGTCTGAGAACCGTTTGTGACATAAACAGACAGCCAACGCTGCACATTTTGTTTTTCAAATTCCATGTTTGAACTTGCCCCACATAATTTTATTCAAGTCAGCATAAGAGGTACTCAGTGCAAAATAAGCTGTGATTTGCAGCCTTGCTAAAAGAGGATCAAAATTCTCCCAAATTATCAAATGCCTAGGTTGGCTAAATTTAGATCCACATACTGTAGATGTGTGAAAGCACTTATCCAATATAGTAGTGCCTTTTCTCCTGCCGAGCTTTCCATAAATAACTGTGACGTACAAAGAGACTCGAGCTTTGTGACCTGAAGTGAAAGTGAACAAGATCCAGTCCACCTTTAGAAGCTTGGATGAAACCAAAGTGCTGTTGAGGGAATTGAAGGCACTAAATGAAATGGAGATGATGCATTAGAGTTTTTAAATAACAATTAAGATGACAGGTGCAACGGCTTTTCATCAGCCCAACTTGCATAGTCTGTGCAGAATTATATCTCAATAACATTTGTTTTCTTTTAACAAGCAGGTTGTAATAACACAAAACTTTTTCAGTATGAAATCTGCAATAATAGGTTTGTCCAGCAATGTTTTTTTTTTTTTTTTATAATTATTGATAAAAAATGATTTATTTACAGTCAAAATATGAAATGCCCCTGCCCTAGGTCTGTCTGTGGTTTCTTTCTCACATTACCACTGTCTGCTGCAGTAAGTCTATTTATCACAATTCATGGCATCAGTTTGATTTGTGGCTCTGGCAGAGGTCTCCCACACTGATAAATTTTTATCCTATACAAAATCTGACTCATGGCTTTAGGGCTGAAGTCAACAGGAAAAATTCTTGACTGCCCTGTCTTGTATAACATGCAATCAACAAACAGGGGGCAAGGATTAGTATCATGTATCTGTATGATCTGATCCAAACTGCACTGACAAGACCAGGAACTCACGTGAATCCATGTAATAACAACTTGCATATGAAACGTGATACAACATTTTGTATCAGTATAAGTCTAACTATTAAAAAAAAAGAAAGAAAAAAAGAGTAATTGACAACTCACTCCCAAAGCTCATGATTTTTTTTCAGCCATGTCAATTTTTTTTTGTAGCTGTGACTGCAAAGAATAAAAAAAGAAAAGATTTTTTTTTTTTTTTTTTAGTTTTTGGTGAAAAAATAAGCAAGAAAAACCTTTTTAATTAAATAAAATATCTTAGAAAATAGAGCCCAAATGATGTGCCTCTTTTTTTTTCTTTTTTTTCCACTCACCGCTCAGGGCGTAGAATCCTTTTCTACTATGGATGACTCCTGGATGAATTAAGGATTACTTCGACTTGTTTCTGATTCTTGCATTACTCATCTGTTACACCGTTCCTTTGGTGTGTCTCTCATAACAATAAAAACATTTTTACTTCATACTCATATGTATTCCACATCTCATTGCAAGAAAGTCTTGGGTTTGATCCCTGTCTGTGAAAGCCTCCTTTACGCAGTCCGGTATCCTCTATCTCCAAAAGTATGCCAGGTTTGCCCATAGTGGTGGTGCACATACTAGGAGATGCAGCAGCAGATGCAGGGACTAACTTTTCATCGGATCTATGCAATTTGGAAACAAAATGTACCTTTACATTTATTCAAACTTAATACATTTCTTGGTACAGGTTTAAAATGACCTATAAACCTTCTTCGTAGAGGCATATAAAAAAAAACAAAAAAAAAACATAATCAAGTTCTCTTGTACATTTTTCCATCACCAAAGCAACATCTTGACAATTTTGAGTACATCTACTTTATACATTCCCTTTGCACTCTATGAAGTCTACTAAACAACCTCTGTGTGAACATGCGTGCCTGCCTGGTGCACACATTTCTGCAGTGTCTCAAACAAGTGGCATGTGCCCTCTCTCTGCCCCATGCTTTGAGTGGCATACCGGCGAGGGCTCACATCTCTTGGCTCTGCTCTTTGTCACCAAATACTTGCCCTTTGCAGTCACAAGTTCAACTATTGCACAGAACGTCAGATCAGAACATAAACAAAAATTCAGTTGACTTAAGATTCATCCTTGTTATAAAAAATCTTGTGCCACGTGATTAAAATTAATTCTGTCTGAGCATAAGTGCCAACAGATTAGGTTAAGTCTTTAGCAAGTCAACCATCATGGCTGCCAGTTTATCCCTTAATGCCAGCAGTGAAAGCAGTGACCAGCAAGGTTCTCTCTCTGTCCGATACCCATCTCTAACTGCAGATCCTCAGGTCTGTGTGAAAGGGAGAATTACATGGGACATGACTAGAGATATTATACTATGAGAAATATCATTATGGCCACTAATATCAGAGGTTCAAAGAAAATGGGGCCATTAAAGACTAGGTTAAGTAGTATTAATCTAGTTCTACATAGAGATGGAAGATGAGGAGGCAAGCTGCAGAGAAAGGAATCTGACACATCAAGCTGATAAAGCCAGGAATTATAGTATCATTTACAATTAAAACTCCATAAAAGTTAAAATGTAGTTAATATTCAGCCTAGTAGCTGGTATTAGTATGCACAGTTCAAATTAAAATGCTAGTAGCTATAGCTGCTATCTTCAGAAGCAGAACGAAGCACTAGGTCTGTCACAAGCATTACTATATCAACTTATCATTCAATATATGAAACACAGAACAATATATTATGGGGCACATTATTTATCGTGTGTACATTTTCTTTGTATAGTGAAATAGTGAGGAGAATTTAGCTATTTTTTTGTACTATGACAAGATTTCAGGTGTAGAGCAGGGGTTTCCAACATTTTACCTCTAGTGAGCTACTTTTACAAAACAAAAATGCCCATGAGCTCCCTATTTTAGTAATTACAAAGAAACTAAATATATATAAGAGCCTTTGCAAGCCTTAGATGCAGAGCAGTTAGATATCTCTAAAACATAACCCATTATCCATTCATCAGTGCAAAATTAGGCATGAAAATGATACAATTACAATGGTAATTAATCAAAATTGATTTATTCAGCACAATACACAGAATTCCTAAATCCCTTGGTGAGCTACTCTGAAGGGAGTGAAGAGCTACTGGTAGCTCCCAAGCTACAGGCTTTAGATCTCTGCTGTAGAGTGTACAGAGTATAGTATTATATATATGTCCAAGGTGGGAATCTGTGGCAAAGTCTTCCATTAACACTGACAGAATGCCCTATGTACAGCTCTTTTTAAGCTCAAATGAAAAATTGGTTATGGTAACCAAACATGCACTCATGTATAGTTGTACTATGATTTTAATTGATCTTCTATGGACATATATTTGCATGTGTTGAATGTGCGGCCAAATGGACTGCAAAATAATTGGAATTGTACAATGACTGGACTGTGCAATATTTTGGACTGTGTAATGATGGGAAATGTGCAATGAATGCACTGTGCGATAATGGGAACTATGCATTGAGTGGAGTGTGCAATATTTTGGAATGTGCAATAATGGAAACTGTGCAATGAGTGGAGTGTGCTATAATGAGAGCTGTGAATGGAGTTTGCAATATTTTATTGTCTGGCCCCCTGTGACCCCAACCTTTTGGGACAACGGATGGAAATTAGCCTTGGGATACAATCCGGTGTGTTTGCATTCATGTTCTGTCATGTTGTCCATTAACATGCTCTGTCCCCCTGTAAAATAAATAAATAAAATAAGTATATTTACAACTGGTTTACTGGGAATATCCTGCTTTATGTCAGTGGCATAAAGTAGTTTCAATATTATTGTTTATTGCAATATTTCTCTGTAGCAATATATCATGCTTTCTAAATTTGTTATTGTGACAGAAGTATGGAACAGCATATTATATAGACTGTTACAATATATCAAGTAATAGTATAAGTTTACTGAAAAGGTTGCTTCATTAATTATTCAATAAGAGATAAGAATGTGAGTTAGCTGCAAAACAAATTAACAGTCAAATATTTGTTGTTAGATCACCATTGGCAACTAAGATGTATTACTAATGGGCCAAAATATATCTTTGGATGGTAGGAGGAAGTCATGGTAACTGAGCAGGTGTGCAGACAGATACTTGTTGCCAGTGGATGTTCAAAATATAAAATCTATGTACATGGCCCTGTTAGAGTTTATTTATTCAAAGTCAAACATGTACACAATTGCAAAAATATGTAATTTCAAGGACAAAAAGTTGATAAAAACGGTAATAGTGATGTTTATTGCGTCAGTGCAGCATTGATTGTGGCTTTTATGAATTGTGCAGTAAGCTGTATTCAGTGTCTAGACAAACACAGACTTAGTTGATGCCAGCACTTTGACTTTCTTACTGAAGAACAGTCTGAGTGGTAGTGTAGGAGACCAGCCTGTATTGTCTTACTTTATTCCTTGACAACACATAACATTTAGCTCTCTGTGAGGTCAAAGCAGGAGCCATTAAACTAGCCA